TGTACTATAATTACTCGATATATTAACAAACGATTTACTACATAAAGATACGTTTTTAACATATAAAACCTGTAATTTCTGTTCCAATCCGAGATCGCAGTCAGCAAATCTTCTGATCTCTTGAAAAGACGTTTGCATCTAAAAAAAAATATAACACATTAAATAGTAAAATTTTTGATTAAAATGCATTACAGCAGATGTGAAGGCAGATAACGTGAATCCGATTAAAATACAGGCAAAAGTAAGAGCAGCACAGAGCAACAAAAAGAGAATTTTCAACTCGAACTTTACTTCAGAAAAGTTGAAAATAAAGTACATTAGACGCGTTTCAATTAACAAAATACCGTATATTATTGTAAATACGTAATTGAACGGTCCGTTGATTTGATTGGTAAAATTCCAAAGTTCATCGTGTTGCGCTGTAATCTCATTCAGTTGAGATTTCAAATTTGGAACGTTCTTTTTCAGCAGATACAAATTTTCTGATACTTTTTCAAATGCTTTTGTGAGACTAATCGGGGGTAGGATGTTTACGAGGATGTTCCTCTCCTACCACTTACTCGACTCAAGACCTTAAGGTCCGGTCTCGCGTGTCTAAAGGATGGGGAAAAAGGGTTAGGAGAAAGGATCGTTAGATTCTTTAACCTGTCAGGATCTGACATCAATCTATCAATTTATCGCGGATAGATGAGGGGAAATTATCACGAGCGATCTCGTCGAGGACTTCGGGTTCATTATGGAGGTGATAATGGTGGAAGAAATGCACTCCAATCGTTCGTTAACAAAATACCCGTTTATTCCGTACATTTATACATGGTTAATAATAAAATTAGTTAATAAACCCCTTTCGGGATTTTCCAATCCGTATAGTTCATAAAGTAACGGCAAAGTATAAAGTAGTCGCGATCCTACCCGCGAGGTTGGAATATTTGAGAGAGAGCTTACACATCATCGCGTGTAGGATAAATACCTCTGGTTAGGTTGTTATAACGTTGATCCGAGGTTCTTCCCTCCAAGTTCAAAGTTCGAATCAGTCCAAAGTTCGAAGTCGAAGTTCAAAGTCTATTAAAGACGGTGGCGACGAGATGCAGGTAAATCCACGGGCACACACTCACAGTATAGAGAAAAGAACTTAATTTCCCCCTTGTGTCGTCATCGCACTTGCCTTTTATATGGGGGCTCTTTTTTCGAGATTTCCCTATGTACGTCACAGGTGATGATCTTCGTTGACCAATGGTGGGCGAAGTGACAAACTTATGACACAACAGTTAACTCATCTTCTACAGGGAAGTATTATCGTGGAAACGGAGTTTTTATGAGCGATTTTTATGAGAAAATTTTTCGGTTGTTTTTCCTTTTTTATGTTAACCCTAACTTAAAAAAAATCGGTTTGATTTTGAAACAAAACGGTAAATAAATGAACAAAATAAATATAACTATTCGAATCTTGGCCATCTTAAATCCTGACTCTCACACCTTCATTAAACTAATGTAAATCAGCAAGAAAAAACCAACGAGGTACACTACATCACCCGACACTATCAATACCATGAAATTAACTTCAATTAAGCATATAAACGGCTCATATTTAAAAGTCTTTCCTTTTTCTAATGCAGGATAAAATAAAATACCGATTATACATACAAGAAAAATCGTAAAAGTAACAGTTATAATTACTCCGAGAAGTTGTAGATAACTGATATTTAGGAAAACGATAGTACGATTTTAGTTGTATTTTCGGATTTAGTTTGAATCTTTTGACAATACTGAATACTGCAGCCCCGGCCAAAGATATACTCGCGACAGATACTCCGACAGATATGTCATACTCGAATACCGAGTACCAGGAAAAGCAAGGCGTTACATCCGATATGTAAGGAATTGTCATACATATAAGAAGAATGGTATGCATCCAATAAAAGCATTCAATAAATGAGATGAAGAATTTAAAAGGTGTGCTAAAGCGACCGTCAGTGTTTAAGTTACAGTAGCAAGGAGTAAAAAATTCCAAGCCGTATACCCTCGAAATTGAAGTAAATGAAGAGAGAAAACACTGCAGACATATTTCGTACTCCTGATTATCAACTGCAGGACTTACGCTTGAGATGATTCTTATCATATTTAATTAAGTAATGGTTAAATAAAGTATATAATTTAATTTAAAATAATTACTCAGTCATTCTTTTCTTACATAAAAGTAATTTCAACACTTTTGTGTAGAGAACAGAATGAATGCTAGCATCGTAGAACAATTATACTGCGTAGTCACTTATATAAGTGAAATGATATCGCATGTTTAAAGTAAACATCATGTGACGTGACGGCATGCGTGCGGTGGAAATTTTCAGACACGTGTAACTGTTATTCGATTCTGTTTTATTTTTATATGATCGCCTATGGATCTTTGACTATTCGACGTAATAAAAGATGGACGTTTCATAAATAAATTTATAAAACGAACGATTTTGTTTCGATTTTGTGTAAAAGATTTTTTGTTAAAGAATATTTAAAATATTACGCTTATAATAGTGATTTATTATGATAAAAAGGAAAAACATCGATTGAATACGCGAATTATTGAAATTAAAGAAAATGTCTTTGATGAAACTCTGTTCTATTATACACGAGTGTCGATTGATAAATAATAATAACTTTTTCTTAAACAAAAAAATCCAGCAAACATTTTGCAACATTTAGTGGTGCCATTTATTGAAATATTTGAAGTGAAAATTCTCCACGTAAAGTCTACGGTAAGATTTCGGTTTATCAAATGATCGCTCGGTACGTGTCAATTGAGTTGATGATTGTTGTAAATTTACTTTGATTTCTATGAAAAATTTTTGTTTTGATCTTTACGATGACTTTTTAACATGCCAGATGTGGACTCGATATAATATTTGAAAACACGCACAGGTGTGTTTTGCAGGTGAACATTTTAAACGTTTCTTCAAGTTTTCTCGGTGATGACGTTGGACATTCACATCCTGTGTCGAACCTATTACTTTAAATTGTTCTAGACATAACGTTAAAAGTACGAAAGCAAATTCGTGTTTTCGTGTTATATGCCGCGGTGTCCAGAAAATCTCAATTAAAGTTTAACATAAGCTAAAGTCTTGAGAAGTCGAGAGGAAAGTTAACGAAATCATTTTACGCCGATATCATTTTATTTTTGAAGACTCGCCTAAGTAAGAATCCAGTATTCAAGTTAAATTGTCCAGTTCCTCGCACGATACATCAAATTTGGTCATACGAATGCAGTGGACAAGAATCGAATAGAAGGAGAGAGTGAGAGAAGTAGATAATAATTGGATCTTTCTATAATTATTATTATTTTTTGTGTGGCGAAGGATTGCCATTATACTCCTGAGGACTTTTGTAAAATATAATTTGATGTGCTAAACTCTAAATATATTAAAATCGACTTTTGAAAAAATAAATCGTGTGCATAGACACCAATCTGTCAATTTCAACGGCACGGATGGCGCACACGATGTCACTCTTCACTACACCTTTGTAATGCATTTTACGAATTATTATAATATTAATATTAAAATAATTTGTAGCCATGCAAATAAAATTAAATTGAACGTAGTATTCTATCTACAAACCAAGCGTATCCTGGTAACATAGAACAATCAATCGTACTTGTATAACAGGGTGAGAACAAACTTGTAACTGCAAAGCTGTCATTCACTTTGCTATACTATGGTCCTTACTATATTACATATATTGCAATCTACAATGGATTAACGTTTTATAACCGACTCGAAACTCGATTTGTAAATAAATGCATCTGATTTAAATTACAGTTGACCCCCCAATAATACGGTAGATACGTTCCGTTTTATATGAATTCCGTGTTTTACGATTACATAAACACATGAGCCAATCACAGCCCGGCAATTGTGCAGTTTAGAGACAATGGCTGTTTGAAAGATTTTCTTCTATAAAATTAATCGATTCTAGACTAATCTGACTAAACAATTTCCAAAACATATATAATTTTTGGGAATAATTCTTATAAACTATGCTCTAAACAAAATATTGTAGGATTACTTACCGACTGTGCACTGTTCGACGACGCCATTGCTTAAGTTTGTTTTCGTCGTAGAGCGGCGCATCGAACGGAGGGCGCGTGTTTCCTGATAAGTTATTTTTTGATGAAGTTCAGAGACATCGTTAATATATATATATAATTTTTCTGGCCGTTAAATAATAAATATATTTTTAGTAGGTCCTCTGCTCGTTTAAACTCAACGGTTTGTGCAATATCCGCTATTTGCTGTAGATTCGACCAATCCTGTCGCGACACGAGTCGGCGATGACGTTTTACCGAATTATACGAGTTTCTTTTAGCGTGTTTTTACGAATACGTTCGCAATTTTTTCTGTGTTATACGAATCCGTATTATATGAACCTGTTTTATAGGGGTCTACTGTAATTGCAGTTTTAAGTCCTCACCCGTTTGAATATCGAACGGGTTGAAACATTTACAACAAATGTAAAGTATTTCGTTTTATTATTTTAGTTTCGTTTTATCAAAGGAAGGATATTCATTTTTATCTAAATTTTTCCATCAACACTCGAATTAAAACGCCGTGTAAACCTGCCGTGAAGTGATTCTAAAAAGTAGGTCAAAAATCTGGTTTCTAATTTCTGTTTCTATATTCTCAAGAGAAAGTTATCTGAAGTCAGCACTGTACATGGTGTCCACAAATTCAATTTATCCATGTTATAATGTGCCAGTATGTCTAGATCATTACTAAAATCATGTTTGAAATACCAGGACTTCCCAGCAATTTAATTCCGACGATAATATTTAATCCTCTAGAATTCTCTACAGTTCTCTAAAGCTAGAATTCAAGTATTTCTTTAACAAGACAGCTTTGAGTATTGGTTTTTCGATTTTCTCTTCCAGAATGATTTGTGAATCGATTTTTATAACGAAGTAAATAAATCGACATTTAAAGTTAATAAGCAATTAACTCGAAATTCATATATTGGACGAAATAAAGACATTTATTTAACAACAAAAAACACAATTTTTAAGTAATAAAACCAAGAAAGTTGAGGGCGATGAGTAAAAAAAAGCGTTAACTCGAATTATTTCGAAGGTGTTCTTTCCAGAATTTCTTCCTCGTGAATCAACCCTTTGCATTTTGTGCACTCGCACGACACAGGTTTACGATATTGTTTGGTGAGAAATGAACCATCCCTGCATTCAAATTCTATTGACATTGGTACAGTTTCTTTTGCCACGCAGCATCTACACATTCCGTCAAAGTGATCCGTATCTGAAAAATACCAATTGTATATGTTAAATAATGTAATATATGATCATGTATTAACAATATTACGTAAAAATATGTAATATTCTTCTTTGAATATTATTGTTCAAAGTACAATATGTAATGTAATATATAATGTAAGCATTTCGTCATAAACAATTCGGTAAATTTTGTTATTTACCAAGAGAAAAACTTTTATTGTAGACCTAATTATTAAGTCCACACCAAAACATGTTGTGTGTTTAAGGATAGCAGAAAAACACGTAGTGTTCAGTGATCATTTCCGCAATAGAAGTACAATGAGCGCTGTTGTTTCTAATGGTTTAACTTGTAAATAAAATTTTTCATAGCGATGGATAGGGGAGATGGATCAATTCGGTTTTCCCCGCTCTTTTGACATAACCACTTTCAGTTTTTTCTTGGGGAGTTTTGTGAAGGGTTTAGTTTATAAAACACGTGTTATCGAGATCAAAGCACTAAAAGGTCGCATTTATCCCTCTAGTCATGTCACCTGGAAGAAGTTTCGATATTGTGAGAATAATGCGTAATGCACCACGATAAGAAATCTTTTGGAATTTCCATCTATTTTTCTAAAATAAATAAGTTTCGATATTGTGTCAGTACTTGTTTGAGTGTCCTGTATATTTCAGGTAAGATTTAAGATGAGAATATTAATTAATTTTCCAAATAGAAGACAAAATAAAACTCTAAACTTACCATAATCATATCGAATTTCTGATAAGCATTTACCCGAACACACCGTTACATTATGAAGCGGATAAGTATTGTAACAGTAGTTTCCCTTTTTGTCATTAAAGTAAAACATTCGACTCGTATCTTCTGGAGGAATCACTCGAGGGTTGCATTCAACTAAAAGAAGAGAATCGTAATTTAAAAAACTGTATTATCCAATGATTTAACATTAAGAGTTGTACTCACGACGACATATTTGACAGCATCCAGTTTCGTCCAGAATGATTTGATCCTAATGAATAAAGAAGAAATTTGCATAAATGTTTCACAATTATAATACATCGAGATTCAAAGCATTTACCTTTGGACAATTCTCGATGTTGGACTTACACACGGTGGTGTAAACTATTTGAATTACACCGTTTATTTCGGCACATTCGGCATCGTAGCATTTTTTAATTTCAGAAGTCCAGCGCTGACCAACCTACAATAAATTTCAGAATTAAGCAGATTCTACGTATTAAGTGAACAGGAAAAAAAACACTTATCGTATCTTACGTCGTATATTTTTCCATTTTCTTCGCATGCAACTTGATTGCAATGTCCACAGCAATTTTCAGAATCGGGTGATGGTTCCACATAACGGAAATTCTGAAAAAAATTCGTTGAAAGCCTTACAAATACAATTTGTTAATTATTACTTTTATTCGAATGTCTCGAATTATTTAATTAACTACGAAATTTATTCTTTAAGTAATTATTCTGTTGAGTACACAGTAGGATTCTTAACACAGTGCCCTGTGCAACATTTTATTTTTTGGGTCCGATAATGTTTTTTGGTGGTAGAATATTAATCATAAAACAATCGTTTATGTTAATTAGCGTGAAGCTTATTTACGTGTATATATATTTATATTGGAGCTGGCAATTCTTTTGTCACCTGCGTTGTTACATCACTAAGTCAAGTATATTATAGTGTAAACTTATTAAATACGATCGATTGAATATATATCATTATTCTAAAATTTTAATATTTTAATGTGCATAATTAAATGTGTGTTGAGATACGTTCGGTTGCATAGCAGCAGAATACATTGGTAGCAATGGTAATAAGATGCATTATGATTACACGATCACTCAGTTATTTTGTTGGAAGTATTCTGAATCGAAAATGTTAAAGTATGTTTTAATTCGATGCTATTTAACAAATATAAATCACCATTATAAATTAATAGTTATATTACTTTTGATATATATTTAAATATTTAAGAGAAATGTGTACTTACAGGAGCGCACGTTTTATCACATTCATACTCTTGCCTTATTTTCTGAAGTCCATTATCGCCATTGACACATTTGTACTTGACACATTTTTCGCCCATTGACCATTCTTCTCCTTCCTGTAAATATAGTAGAGAACATTTCAACATCAATTTTGAAACTGAATATTATTATTACAGAGTGGTAATATTTTTAAAACAATACATATAACTGGAGATGTGAACAGATTCGACCTTTTATACAGACTAGTTTTATGCGACATTAATTTCCTAACAGTTTACAGACAAAGTAAACAACCTAAATGCTGTAAAATGTGCCATTTTTGTTACTCACAAATCCAAGAGACGTGGAAGATATAAACGTAATTAAAGTAAACAATGACAATCTTTCGTATTATTTACTTGTCAACCTTTTATTTGATAATACAGTATAAACTATTGCTTACTTTATACTGTTTGTCTCCTATACAAAACAGCTTTGTATATTCTGGACAGCATTCCCCTTCTTTTATTATTGCTTCGTAAGAATAATCCTAGAATAATTAGAAGATTGAACTACCTCTAAACAACAAAATTTAAGTCACAGAATCGTGAAATCTTCAAATACTAATTAATATTTGTATACTGTGTAATAATTTAATAAAAATTTTACGTTTGACTCTACAGGTGTAGGACATTTTTCGGTTTGACAATATGTTGTAACAAGACCTTCATCGTCTTTACAAGTACAGTTCTTGCACAGACCGTCGATCCACTTTTGTCCAATCTAAAGAAAAGAAATTCAGTTATACATTGTCAATAGCTCTGTGAGAAATAAATGAAATTCCAATAATTATTATATGAGAGTACCAAATAAGTGACAACGTTTTCTTCTCTGACTGCAACTTGAATGCCATTTTCTATTTGATATTCATGTTTATACATACATTTTTCTTTCGGCTCTGTAAAATTACAGTAAATATTTCTTATTGAATTTTGTTAATGACCAAAATATATTTTCTAATTTACATATTTTAACAACTGTGGTAATTGAATTGTATAGGGGGAAATTATAAAACAATTAGGAAAACTTTTGTACTTACTGCATATACATTTTTCAATTATTAATTCTTCATCTGGATTACACTTTTTATCACAAGTTCTAGCCACATCCTCTAGGGAAATAAAACAATTATTTAACTTACACATAGTAAATTTAAAAATAAATTGAAACAATATAGATGAATTTTCTACTTACCGCAGGTGTATAGAACACAGCATTCTGTTTTCGTATCAATTTTCAACGTTTGTTGCGAAGTACATTCCGGTGGTTCTGGACAACTTTTAGGTAAACAATTAACTGTCAGATCTTGCAAACATTCGCAGACCGTGCATTGATCTTTCTCCCATCGATCTCCAACCTGAAACGAATTCGTATAATATTAAACAAGCTGCCCAATTGATGTACAGGATGGTCCTCAATCGGTTAACCATTGTAAAGACTTAAATGCACCGTTCAAATATTTGGCAAACATTGAAAACATTATTCGAAATTATATCCTTCTTGTTCTGTACACTTACCACAACGCTGATACTTAAAAATTGGTGATAGCATGGTTAACTGACTTTCAGGCCACCCTGTACTTTTCCTCTTTATAATATTTGAATAAATGGAAAAAAATAAATAATATTGAATAAGATAAAGTATAAAATAGAAAGGATTTATTACTTACTCTATGTCCTTCAGAGTCACATATTTCTGAGGGGGAAAAAATGTATAAAATAATAAACACGAGATTTGACTTATAAGTTAAATTTTATGTGTGGAAAAATTTGAAGTTTCTTACTACAATAAATCGGATCGACGCAACTTCCGTCTTTTAAAACTTTGCCTTCCGGACAGGCGCACTGGTATTCTGGTGGTACTTCACAGAATTGTTCGACTCCTTTGTAATTATCACAAGAATACTGACAATGACTAGTGCATTGGAAAATCATATTTTCTTGACACGAATCAACTGAAATTATAAAATAATTTCAAATTTCAGTTACAATTACAGTAAACGTTACTTATTTTGTAGTAGAATTTAGATTGGAAGATGAATCGAATCTTCATCGTGTAATAGAGAACAAAGAAAATAATAAACAAGCATACGTGGTCCTTATATTTGGAAAAATTACTGTAGAAAAGAGCAAATAAAATGTTTTACATTATTTTTCATATAGACAAACTCAAATTTAACCATTCTTCGATACAAATATTCATCCACAAGAACACAGGTTAAGTAATTGTTATCGAAAATCCAGAGTTGTTAATAGATAAATTGTTGTAAATTTGATATTAAGAAGGAAATGCAATACAAAATTCATAAAAGAAACATCTCAATCTTCTATGGTTTTTAATAAAGTGATTATAAACATTATACTTACGGCAGCCACTTTGTGCTAACCATTCATCCAGAATAATTCCTTTCTCGCAGCATTTCTGTGCATACTGAAGTTTTGAATGACAGACAGAAGAACTCTGATTTCGGCTGTAACCCACGTCGTTTTCACACGATTTGACATAGGGATCAGGATTTACGAACAAATCGCAATTATTTTCCGTAAAAATGCAGATTTCTGGGTTTGGATTTGGTGGTTCTAATATTTTTTCTTTACAGAGTTCTCTGCTTTCTTTGTCATTTTTAACAAACCAACTAGATGCGAACTCATTTACATCTTTCTCGATGTACCCGTCTTTATGATAAAAGTCATCACTTTGTACAAAATTGCATATACCTAGGTGAAAGTAAACATTAAAATCATTCTTTATATAAGCTCTAAAACAGCCATTGTATCCTTCAATGTAGCAATTTAAATAAAATCATAATTACCACACAATCCTTCAGTAGCATTATAATATAATTTAGAAGGCAATTCTACAACAAATCCATAATTCGATTCAAAATAGCGAACAATTAAATTAATGTCAGCAATATAAACTAGGGCACTCTTTCCCGGATTGACTGTTATGTTAATTCCATTCGCATAAAATGGATATTCCTCGTACGCTAATGGCTGATCGTTGAATCTTATCTACAGGAATACATATTCATCAAATTATTTATGAAATAAATTACTTTTATTTTATGTGAAATTACTTACGGCTTCTCCTCTGTAAATCCTAATAACATTGTTTTTATAATTTACAATTAATCCAGCTGTGCAGGCTGTTCCTGGTTCTTCTGGGCACTCCGTATTAATACCTAATACTTCGAATTCGTAGAAGTATCCGACGAGGTCGTTGCTTCGAGCGAGAACATATGTACACATTCCCTGAAAAGCGTATTCTCGTTCGTCAAAAGTGATGTAATTAGGATCGCCGTGACCCGAACAAATACCTAAAACATAAATATATTCAATTATCCATATATAATTTACTTAAATGTAGTAATTTAAGGTACTTACAGTCGTGGCATTTTTCAGCTTTTATGCAAATGTCTCCGTGTCTAAGAAGACCAGGAGGGCAGAAACAACCTGACACGCATTCTTTTGAACAAATAAGATTTTTTTGTTGGAAATTATCGCACGTTAGTTCGCAAGATGGTCCACACTCCCTCCATTCCAATCCGGGTGGGCACTCTGGTACTAGAATACAATACATTTCTTCTATTTAAAATCCGTTTGTTTATAATTCACTAGCTTCAACACTGGTTATTTATGTAAATAAGTATATAATTTTATTCTTTAATTGATTAATTTTCAATTATATTTACCGCAATTATAATTTACTCTCCATTCTTCCATTACGTAACCGGTTTTCTGTTCGCACGTATGGACAAAATCCTCTAATGCTTGACAGAGACATTTTGATGGTTCGCCCGATTGAACACATTCGCAGGCAACACCCAGACAAAATTCAATCTGCCTATTTATATCGATGATACGATTGCAGTTATCAAATATGGGATCTCTGAAAAATACAGATTTTTTTAATTGTTATTGTACTTACACTCAACTTAAAAGAAAGTTGTAATTCTCCAGTAATTTAATTGTTTTATCTATTAATTTAAATAAAATCTTACTTTAAGGAATTACATATTTCATCCGCTTTGATTCTGATTTCAGGAGGACAAGTAGATTCGTAGCATACTTCTTGAGGTCCTACGCTCCAGCTATCTCCAAAAGTCTTCACAGTATCTGCTATAGTTCCATCCACTTTCTCAAAATCGTCATCTTTAATGCCATTATACAAACCACATAATCCATTTACACTGTGCATCAGACACTTAGAAACCTAAAATTAATTATAAATTTAGAAGAATATTTCATTTTACAACACTCGAGATTTTACTTGTTTAAATATTTACCTTAATTTTTGCATTATTATATTTATTCCAAATGATTTCGAATCCGTGTTCTAAAGAGATTAATTTTATTGTTTCTCCCATTTGCATCAATTGAAATTTCTTAAAACGTCTCGATAATAACCAAAGTTTGTCACTAGGAATTGTCGTTCCTCTGAATTGTATATTCAATCCGGGTCCAAATATAATATCAAAACCATCAACTTTAATTTCCAGGTACCTTCTACAGAAATTGGTTTTATCCGAACAATCTTTAGCAACTGTTAAACAATTAAAAGTTATTTATATTTATATTAAAATCCTCAACATCCCTCAACCATTTTCCAAACAGTCCCTACAAGTACTCATATCTGTATATGAGTGCTTGTAGGTATTTCAGATTGATGATGATTCTATTAAGCGAACGTTATATCGAAGTTTATAATTTCAACACTTACTTTTCACTACATATTTTTGATTTTCTTTATCTCTGAAAAGAATATGATTACATATGTCGTACACGAAATCGTTTCCGTCGAATGTCAAAAACTGGACTGTCGATGTTTCACACACTGCCTCATCTGTAAACAAAATGAAATTGTGTACAATTTCTGAATAAATCATCTATAAATTATATATTTTAATAATAAAGAATAATGTAATTTCTCCACTCACATTCACCAATTCTTGGTACACACGGTTCTGGACTTGGAATAATAGTTATTTCAGGCACTATCAGGAAAAATTCATTTTAAAATCATTTCTATAATTAAACGCTTGATGATAAAAAAGTCATTATTTCTAAGAGAAACAGACTTTTTAATTATTCTAAATCTCTGTTTAATACTACTAAAGTATTAATACGAATATTTCATTGTTGAAGTTAAAATACATCATATTTTTGGGAATGTTATTGGATAATTTTACAAAAGAAACGAAGCAGGTGAGACGTATTTCCTACCAAGCATACTAGGGAAATTAAGAAATAATTAAACAAACAGTTAAAGAGAGAATCAAGTATATATAGTCACATAAAGAGGATGAAGAGGAATAGAGGAAGTAGAATTTAAAGATATGTTAAAAGGGAGCTAAGGAGACGATGAAGTGATAACGTCAAGAGGAAATATATAATTCCTAAGCTTTCGTACAAAACAAAGACAATACGAAAAGGCACACATTCGGTTTATCTCTGTTTATCGAGGTACAGTACATATAACATCAGACGGCATAGTAAGCCATAAATGGGGAGAAAGCTTACAATTAAGCTGCATCGTATTTTATGACGTATTTTATGATTTATGACTACATAACAAGGCGAGCCTTTTTCGCATAAATATAAATTTTTGAATTGTCTTATAGAAAAAGAGAAAATGATAACATCAAAGCATTGATGGAAAGATAAAGCAAATAAACACAGTTCTGATGAAAACTAAAAACCAATTTGATGTCAGAACAGATAAAATACGAGATATGTTACTTATATATTTGTGTACGCTAATACTTGCATACCTGTAGTGGGGCAAGTGTTGTCTTCGTCATCCGGACAATCTTGTTTTCCGTCACACCAACGATCTTCATCAATGCATTCTCCGCTAGTAGGACAGAGCACAGTTCCTTTGTCGCACAATTTACACACGCATTCGCAGTTTTCTTTAATCTCTTTTTTATGACTCTTTAATTAATACATAACACAGATTTATGTAAATATATAATTATCCAATATAACATTAATTAATTAAGTACAAACCTCTGGACAAGGAGGACAATTCTTTGGATTACATTTTGAACTTCCAAAAGAGCAAATGCATTCTTGACAATCTACTGTTTCGTGAATTACATTTAACTACGATAAAATATTACATTGTAAACATTACAAATCATATAAATTCATACTGTATATTGAGCTGAAAATATCATTTCCGACATAAACAAATCAAATCGTGTACAAAAATGTTTGTGGTATAGTTAATGAGTTATAAATCCTTACGTAGGATGTCCACTTAAACACTTATCCAAGGCCAAATAGATCTTTACAACATTGGTCAGGTATCCATTTTGCTGCTATCTATAACGAGTACAACACAGAATTCTTCACGGAGATTTAAGACATTTAATGTTGCACCACTCAATGATTTCAGTGGTGCAACATATTATATATATACCTTGACAAAACCACAACGCCTTAAGCACATTTGGAAAGATCTATTTTGCCACTGGATATTTTGTATATTTTAAACAAATGGGAGATTTTAATTGACACAATCGAATTACCTCGTATTTTACTCCATCAATGTAACATGGACAATCCATAACATCGATGCAATTGTAGCCATCGCAAACTGTATTAACAGGGCAGGTAGAAGGACAATTCACTTTGAAATCTTCTGGTAATTCTGGACAGTAATCGATTCCTCGTGATAAGGGGGTGGTAACTTCTAGAAATAATTAGAAAGAAAACTCAGTAATATTCTAGAAGCAATAAGTAATAACCAGTAACTAAGAATATCTTAATGTTTATAAAAATAACAAAAGCATCAAAATTCCAATGAACTTATTACAATATTCAATATAATACCAGAATGATTCATCAAACTAAACACTTATTATGTGCAATATTTCCTTATAAAATGAAAACATGAGCATGAAATACGAACGGTACGATTCTTTATTTCATGACGAAGCAGTCGACGTTTTTTCGTTACATGTTATTCAGATGTGAACTGAACTATTGAACAAAGTGTTCAGTTCTCTAGTGTTCCGTCTTATATTTTACAAAAATACACACAGAACACGGGATTAGCATAGTCACTGTTACTATCATGTTTCGTTTGTAACAGTGGCTGTCCATGTAGTTTTAAAGCCACATTTGATCCCCTTTCTCTCTGTTGTCTACAATGGTATACTTTTAGCAAACTTCCTCCCCTCTATGTAAACTAGTTCATGGATTAAAGAAATGGATAAAAAGTTCTGCGTGTACTTTATACGAAATTGATATATGACAAAGCAAATTTAAAATATTATCATTTTCTTTTCGAGAGGGGGGATGATTAATAAAAATTAATTACCGAATGTAACAGGACATCCAATGACTTCTAGTCTCATGGCAGAAGATGAACCATGATAACTTGTGGGTTTGATTCGAAGATATTGAGCTTCTATCAGTGTTGTAAACCAATTTGTGACTTGAGTGCTTCGATCCGAATTTCCTTTAAACACCTTAAAAATAATTAAAATTAATTATTAATGAATCATTGCATACAGGCTTTAAAAATACTTTATATAACGCGTTATATAACACACTATAATATACAGGAATATAAAATGAACAATTACTTTAATCTGTAATAATGTAAATTTGTTTTATTTACATTTAAAGCTACTTTTCTGACTGAATATCACATACACGAATCATCGTGTTACCTCTGTAACAGTACGAACGTTTTTTCACTTGGTACAAATTCATATTGCGAAATCATTTAATACATTGTTATAGCAAATATAATTAATTTATAATATAACTAAAACTCACTTTTTCTTTACTCGTACGTTCTTTTATATCAGTCCAGTCTATTTTATCAACACTGTATTGAACAGTGTATTCTGTCACCCAGTTATCTTCATCTTGCTGACCTTTAATAAAAATTTGTTAGTAATTTTAAAAATTTAATTAGAATTAATTATTAAACTATTTTAATAAAATAGGTTGGAAAAAATAGAAATCCTCCAGCAAGACAGGAGGAAGATGTAACAATTCTCTGAAGAGAAGATAAAGATGTATCAATTATCCACTAAAAAGTCAGAAGGAGGAGGAGGAGGAGAAGGGCAAAGAAATAATCCTCCAGGAAGAAGACTACAAAACAATGGAACAATCTCCTGTTGAAAACTACAGAAAAAGTCTTTGAACAACAATGTTTTGATGTTGCAATTGATACACCATTTCGTATTTTTTTCTAATTGTTTTAAGATCTTTCTCTAAATACCATGACTTTGCGTGACCATTACGATTGAAAATAATTTTGCATGAAAGAATTTGATGGAAAATTTACATTTTAGAAAACTATAACGTTGATATTAGTAACAAATTTAAATGCCAAACATCAGTTTAAAACAAATAAATACGTCACATTTCAGTAATAGTCACAAACCTATCATTAAAAGGGTACGATTAATTCTAATTACGAATAATGATGTTAACTAAATACCTTGAATAATTATTCCACTTAAATTTCTTAATCCCTTGAAATCGATATCTATTACGGGATTTAAATCGTTTTCGGAGGCCACCCATCCTCCGGTGCCGTAAGCGTCACTCTGTGTTTCCAAGGCAATGCGACTGGCATCACTGAGTGGACTTCGTGAAGACGACACAGTGATGAGGCTGGTCGGTAGGGTGTGTTCCGAAAAACCCATTCTCTCCACGCACGCTGAAATGGTATTGTTAATTAACAGATTAAGAATCGAAAACAATTTCACTTAAATTTGTATTTCATAAGTTTAATTGCCATACTTACAACCGGGTGAAATAGTTTTAGAGTAACTTTTAATTCCTTCAGTTGTGTATTCAGGTTTATTCGTTACTAGAAAAGTATCTAAATTATTAAATTAGTTAAACACTACTAAACTATTTAAATCTCTAAACACGCTTAACTACATTATGTATTGACGTAACGATTAATAAATAACGAGATATAGAAGAGAATTCTATATTAGTTAATCCCTTTATACGTCTGTAATTTAATGGATCCCCCATAGATCAACCCTATTAAATTATTATTAATTCCTTTATAATAGAGAAGTCTGTACTATACATACTAATTAATCACTATGTTATTTCTTAGTATTATCTGTATGTATTACCGAATTGCTGTGAGTTCTTGTATACTCCTAGTGTATTTAAATTCTGTTGAAAATTTATCAAATAGTAATCAAAATTCACTTTATATACTTACTGGGAATAGAAAGACAACCCAAAACATCAATCCTCATGCTTATCCAATTGTTCCAAGAGACAGGAATTATTTTTAAGAATCGAGTTTCGATCATTCGAGGGAAATAATTAGTAACTGCGGTATCGCTGTCGAAATTTCCTTTGAATTTCTATAATTTAATTAATTTTAAATTAGACACATTACTTTTTACATTTGAGATTCAAGAATACAGTAAGTGGTGTACCTTTGTTTTACCATCTTCGACAATATACTGCCAAGATACTCCATCGTTACTGTAATCGACGGTGTATTCCGTTACCCAATTGCTCAGTCCATTTTCTCCTTGTGTAATAACTCCGGTTATATTTTTTAATTCCAAAAAGTCGATCTACGTATAAAAACACAAGGATATTTTTATGTATCAATGCTGTTTGAAGGGATAAGTAGCAATTCTTTGTGATCAAATACCGGAAAGTAAACAATACATATAGTATTTTCAAATACAATCGAGTAGGACTTATCCAAAAAAAGTTAAAATAAACAAAGCCCAAATTAGAAATATACATAAATTTTAATTTACCTGTACATACTGGAAACGATCAGTAAATTCCGTTGCCCAACCGCCATTTCCATTTTCTGTAGCAACAGTGTTTAATCGAATTCTATCTTTAGTAGCGGGGTATAATTCGGAAGACACTGCAATTTGTTCAATAGAAATGCTCCCGTCTTCTATTCCAAGAGAACTATTACTGCATACATAACCTAAAATGTAAGAAATTCACATAATTTCAACCTGAATTTCTTACTCTTGGCATTTATAACAATGAAGTCAGTAGTGGTGTATGTAATTTAGATGTAGTATAATGTTATATATAATTAATTAAATCATACAGAGTTAAGAATAATAGAACCAAAGAGAACTTACGACTCGCAGGTGTGGGTGTCGTTTTACCACAATTTGGGATTTCGCGACAGCTAAGTGTATTGTTGTAGCATTGGCATTTTTCACATTCGTAAGTTTCGAAGGAACCGGGCTAAAAATATATTTAGAAAAATAGTTATTAAACTCAATTTAATATACAATAAGTAACCACTGATTCCATCCCCATTTTAGTATAAATGGTATTATATACTCACGGCTATAATTTTGCCGTTTTCCAGAACACATGTACAATCTTTAATATGGACACAGGTACGAGAATCTCGCCAAAAATATGGATATTTGCATTCTATTTGAGGGCGACATCCGGCCACGCACCGGATTTCTTCAGTGCATATTTTTAATTCGCGTAAATCTTCGAGGTACGAAAGGCAAAGAAAATTGCAATCGTAAGCGCATTCGTGGTAAATTTCGTTAGGTGGGCAAGGAGCTATGAAAAAGTCACAATTTAAAATTATTATATACGTAAATTAATAAATGAAACACTTACAGGTTGATGGCGTAGTGATTTCAGTAGAAACTCTTGAAGTGAGTTCTGAAGTAATTCGTGAAAAGATTTCAGTAGAAACTGGTGAAGTGACTTCAGTAGAAACATTTGGAGTTACGGTTTCTATTCTTGGTGTTCCTAAAAATCAATTTATTATTGTGTTTGTATACAAATTCGTTGTATACAAATCGTGTACAGTACTTACTTGGAGTGCACCAATCGTAAAAACAAAAAACGCGATATTCGTAGTCGTAACAACTTTCCTTTTGGAATTTATTATAACATTTAAAACCGACTTCGGGGTCACAGACCAAATTGTTTTGACCAGTTTCTGTGTAGTCTTTCAATGATTTTGCATCGCGACATTGGATCTCTTTCAAAGCTGGTTTTTGGCACAAATCGTTTTCTTTCTATAATTAATAAATAAAAATTAATGAGTATTTTCTAAATATTACAGGAACTTTTCTTTATGACAAGTTATTTTATATATTAGTCGTTTGCACTGCGCACACATAGGTCTTTCTATCTAAATAAAGTATAATATAACATATTCCAAGCATATTTATATAATAAACAGTATAATACTGCATATCAACTATTGAATAAGTATGAAATCCATAAGTTCAAAGTAAGATCCATATCAAAAGATATATGGTGTATGTACTGTACCTTAGATAATACATATACACATGGTATAAAATTGAGAATTTATAATTAAAAATGTATATTTCTATAGAATTTATAATTATTTTACTGTACAAACCTGTGCAATTTCGATATTTTCCACATCACCATCGTCATCAATACTACTCCTTGGATTATCGAAGTTAATCCAACTGCTCCAATCACACGGATTAACTTTTATTGGAAGGTTTTCTGAAAATTAAATACACAAAGTTAATTATACTTAAATTTCTATAATTAAATAATTAAAAATAATAATGAAATGAGGGTTAACTAACTTCTAGACCACTCTCTACGATTGTTTCAACTATTAACAATGTTAGAGACCGATTATTTAATATACAAGTCGACCCCCCTATAACACTGTTGATAATTCCGTTTTATATGGATTCCATGTTGTACGAGTCACTTAGATTTTAGAAATACGTGAGCCGTTCACAGCCTGGCGCACGTATTTGTAAAATCTGAGTGACTCGTACAACATGGAATTCATATAAAACGGAATTATCAACAGTGTTATAGAGGGGTCGACTATACACATACACAGGGTGACTCAAAAGTCTCCATATACTATACAAGCAAAGGAATCACCTTACCATGTAGTCATTTATAAATCAGTACACTATTTATACGAGTCCCATTTACATGGACGTAAAGTACATACGAATGCATTCATCTTATATTCATGGTAAGTGCATGTTAATACGTATGATATTATACACATACACACCCATCAAACGTACTGTACATTCACTAAAGTGTCAGTTTTATATAGAAACTTTCGAATCATCCTATATTTTCTTTGCAATAATGAAAAAAATGCAAACATACCGCACTGGCAATAAAATCTAACGGCGTAATCCTTGCAACGTTTTCCTTTACCCTGGAGATTATTAAAACAAACCAGACCTTCTTCCACATTACACGTGACTACGTCTCCAGATTCTGTCCAATCCACTCGTGTCACTTCTAGAGATTCAGATTTTACTCCACCATTCAAAATTAGAGCTTTACATTCCACATTCTTCACTTGATCAGCTTGACAAAATTTATATTTTTCTATCAATTCGGTTAACGGTTCAAAGTCTCCTTCTCCATCCCATGGATTATTCGTGTTATAATATTCTGTCCATCCTTGTGTACAAGGAGGTGGAATATATAAAGTTGAAGTAACTGACTCCGATGTAGTTAATTCTGAAAATAAATTGAATAATAAAATAACTTAACACTCAAAAATACATAAAATTAGTGTAATATATTTGTTCAAAATAAACAATACAACTTATTCAGTAGAGTTTTTGTACTTACCACCGCAATCACAATACAATCGTATTTTATAATTTTTACATTTCTTTGTCTTTCTTTGCATAAAATTAATGCATACAAATCCTGTGGTACGAGAACACTTGAGACTGGAATCTCCACTTTTGGTATAGTCGACAAGTTCACCTTCAACCTCTGTAACGCATTGTACATCTGATATAACACCACCCTTACAGATTCCGTAAACAGCTTTAATGTAGGTAATGTTTTCTGTGTCTCCATCGTCGGTCGACGGATCGTCAGTATCGTAATATTCTGTCCACCCCTGTACACAAACTGTTGGGGACGTCGGGACCGGTGAAGTTGAGAAAATTGGCAGAGTAGTGGTAACTCTTATGGGAACTGTATAAAATGTTAATGGTAAACTGACGTTTTGACCAATTTTCATAGAATAACAGAAACTCGTTTACCGTAATTACACTAAATAGTAGTATATAATTTATAATTTTTATATCGTTTAAGTATTTATTTACCTTTTACGTTGCAACCAAGTAACTCGACTCTCATAGTTATCCAATTGAACCAGTCTTGGGGATAAATACGTATGAATTTGGTTCTCAGTTTTATGGGTAAGTATTGAGTTACCACCGTGTCACGGTCTTCGTTACCTCGGAATTTCTATTAAAAACATTTTTTTAAAAAATTGTGAATTTCAACTGCACAATAAAGAATATATCGACCCCTCCTGACTTTCATTTTGTTTTGGTTCAAGAATTTTCAAGATATTTACAAATATTCAATTTATAAAATGAGCAATTCACTGTTCATAAATTATGTTTAATTAAAGTTACTACCTTCTTGTTACTTTATTAAAAGCGAAGATAAAAATTAAAGTGGAAGTGGGTAAAAATGATATAATATTCAGTGTAGAAGGTTACTTTTTACTTCACTTCTTACTTCACGTGAATAAAGAAATAAGACTGAAGTAAAACTTCACTTTCTACACATACTAACGCGTTGTTTTCACACAATATAACACAGGTTTTTTTGTACAGTACTTATTAGTAAACAAGAAAGAGTGAGAGAATTGTGTTGGACCTTATTTTTTCCATTCTCTCTGCTCTTATACACGAGGAAGACGTGTAATATTACTATGCCCATCAAAAATACTACAATACATCAATGTAATTTTGTTTATCACTAATATATTCTTTAATCCTTGATCGAATTGTTAAAAGATTTCTTTGCGTACCTTCTTCTTTCCGTCTTCATCTAAAATAGTCTTAAAGTTGAATTTGTCATCTCCGTAAAGAACCACGTACGAAGTTACCCATTCGTCAGCAAACGGATGTCCTTGTGTGCTAATTCCAGTTATATTTTGAACTTCTCCTAAATTTATCTGTAAAATAATTATCATCATTATCATTTATATTAAATTTCTTGATGACCAAATTCCGTTTTCTTCGTAAACTATTTATATACAGAATTAAATATGTGTTGAGCTAAATGTACATTCTGCACTCATGAAATTCATTTTGTTTGATTTAAAGTTTTTTAAATAAATATTGAGAATATCTCTTGAGAATTTGGGATTGAATCCCAAAATCCAGGTGATCCCTGATGTATTGGGTTCTATCATCCAGCCTCTCTCATTGAGATCCTGGACAAATCCATGTTAAGCAAGAGCACCATAGGTGCCCACAGGATGGAAAGAATAAAAAAGAAAATAATACTTCTAGATACTGTATCTTTTCTGGAAAATGAAATTGTTTTCGCCTTTGACAGCTGCCTTCTCTAAATTAAGATTCTAATAAAAATACGCCAATATCAAACTTAAAGACTTGACTTATGTATCTTTATCTGTTGTAAATCCTAGGTCTAGATCAAAATGGGCACAGGTGTATTCTCTTTCTTAATATCTCAAACTCTTCTCGGAGTGAAACTAAAATACACTCAAACAAACGAACCTACCTTCTTAAATAAAAAAATTAAAGAAATTTTCATAGAGGTTGCGAAAGCAAATTTTAAAAATTGAGGGGGATGAGTCAGTGGTAAAGGTTAAGAACAATTGAGGTAATACATAAAAGGACAAATTAAAAATAGATATACACGACAACACCCGTTTTAATCATCGAATTACTAAAGATATAGGGGAGATCGGGGCAAGATCGGCATGTTAAGCTTTACTTAAATTTTGTGTAATAAATACTGCTGTAAACTGAAAAAAAAGCTTTGCATGTTGTCTATTGGAATGTTACCTTACTATAGAACTGGTTAAANGTGCAATTTCGATATTTTCCACATCACCATCGTCATCAATACTACTCCTTGGATTATCGAAGTTAATCCAACTGCTCCAATCACACGGATTAACTTTTATTGGAAGGTTTTCTGAAAATTAAATACACAAAGTTAATTATACTTAAATTTCTATAATTAAATAATTAAAAATAATAATGAAATGAGGGTTAACTAACTTCTAGACCACTCTCTACGATTGTTTCAACTATTAACAATGTTAGAGACCGATTATTTAATATACAAGTCGACCCCCCTATAACACTGTTGATAATTCCGTTTTATATGGATTCCATGTTGTACGAGTCACTTAGATTTTAGAAATACGTGAGCCGTTCACAGCCTGGCGCACGTATTTGTAAAATCTGAGTGACTCGTACAACATGGAATTCATATAAAACGGAATTATCAACAGTGTTATAGAGGGGTCGACTATACACATACACAGGGTGACTCAAAAGTCTCCATATACTATACAAGCAAAGGGATCACCTTACCATGTAGTCATTTATAAATCAGTACACTATTTATACGAGTCCCATTTACATGGACGTAAAGTACATACGAATGCATTCATCTTATATTCATGGTAAGTGCATGTTAATACGTATGATATTATACACATACACACCCATCAAACGTACTGTACATTCACTAAAGTGTCAGTTTTATATAGAAACTTTCGAATCATCCTATATTTTCTTTGCAATAATGAAAAAAATGCAAACATACCGCACTGGCAATAAAATCTAACGGCGTAATCCTTGCAACGTTTTCCTTTACCCTGGAGATTATTAAAACAAACCAGACCTTCTTCCACATTACACGTGACTACGTCTCCAGATTCTGTCCAATCCACTCGTGTCACTTCTAGAGATTCAGATTTTACTCCACCATTCAAAATTAGAGCTTTACATTCCACATTCTTCACTTGATCAGCTTGACAAAATTTATATTTTTCTATCAATTCGGTTAACGGTTCAAAGTCTCCTTCTCCATCCCATGGATTATTCGTGTTATAATATTCTGTCCATCCTTGTGTACAAGGAGGTGGAATATATAAAGTTGAAGTAACTGACTCCGATGTAGTTAATTCTGAAAATAAATTGAATAATAAAATAACTTAACACTCAAAAATACATAAAATTAGTGTAATATATTTGTTCAAAATAAACAATACAACTTATTCAGTAGAGTTTTTGTACTTACCACCGCAATCACAATACAATCGTATTTTATAATTTTTACATTTCTTTGTCTTTCTTTGCATAAAATTAATGCATACAAATCCTGTGGTACGAGAACACTTGAGACTGGAATCTCCACTTTTGGTATAGTCGACAAGTTCACCTTCAACCTCTGTAACGCATTGTACATCTGATATAACACCACCCTTACAGATTCCGTAAACAGCTTTAATGTAGGTAATGTTTTCTGTGTCTCCATCGTCGGTCGACGGATCGTCAGTATCGTAATATTCTGTCCACCCCTGTACACAAACTGTTGGGGACGTCGGGACCGGTGAAGTTGAGAAAATTGGCAGAGTAGTGGTAACTCTTATGGGAACTGTATAAAATGTTAATGGTAAACTGACGTTTTGACCAATTTTCATAGAATAACAGAAACTCGTTTACCGTAATTACACTAAATAGTAGTATATAATTTATAATTTTTATATCGTTTAAGTATTTATTTACCTTTTACGTTGCAACCAAGTAACTCGACTCTCATAGTTATCCAATTGAACCAGTCTTGGGGATAAATACGTATGAATTTGGTTCTCAGTTTTATGGGTAAGTATTGAGTTACCACCGTGTCACGGTCTTCGTTACCTCGGAATTTCTATTAAAAACATTTTTTTAAAAAATTGTGAATTTCAACTGCACAATAAAGAATATATCGACCCCTCCTGACTTTCATTTTGTTTTGGTTCAAGAATTTTCAAGATATTTACAAATATTCAATTTATAAAATGAGCAATTCACTGTTCATAAATTATGTTTAATTAAAGTTACTACCTTCTTGTTACTTTATTAAAAGCGAAGATAAAAATTAAAGTGGAAGTGGGTAAAAATGATATAATATTCAGTGTAGAAGGTTACTTTTTACTTCACTTCTTACTTCACGTGAATAAAGAAATAAGACTGAAGTAAAACTTCACTTTCTACACATACTAACGCGTTGTTTTCACACAATATAACACAGGTTTTTTTGTACAGTACTTATTAGTAAACAAGAAAGAGTGAGAGAATTGTGTTGGACCTTATTTTTTCCATTCTCTCTGCTCTTATACACGAGGAAGACGTGTAATATTACTATGCCCATCAGAAATACTACAATACATCAATGTAATTTTGTTTATCACTAATATATTCTTTAATCCTTGATCGAATTGTTAAAAGATTTCTTTGCGTACCTTCTTCTTTCCGTCTTCATCTAAAATAGTCTTAAAGTTGAATTTGTCATCTCCGTAAAGAACCACGTACGAAGTTACCCATTCGTCAGCAAACGGATGTCCTTGTGTGCTAATTCCAGTTATATTTTGAACTTCTCCTAAATTTATCTGTAAAATAATTATCATCATTATCATTTATATTAAATTTCTTGATGACCAAATTCCGTTTTCTTCGTAAACTATTTATATACAGAATTAAATATGTGTTGAGCTAAATGTACATTCTGCACTCATGAAATTCATTTTGTTTGATTTAAAGTTTTTTAAATAAATATTGAGAATATCTCTTGAGAATTTGGGATTGAATCCCAAAATCCAGGTGATCCCTGATGTATTGGGTTCTATCATCCAGCCTCTCTCATTGAGATCCTGGACAAATCCATGTTAAGCAAGAGCACCATAGGTGCCCACAGGATGGAAAGAATAAAAAAGAAAATAATACTTCTAGATACTGTATCTTTTCTGGAAAATGAAATTGTTTTCGCCTTTGACAGCTGCCTTCTCTAAATTAAGATTCTAATAAAAATACGCCAATATCAAACTTAAAGACTTGACTTATGTATCTTTATCTGTTGTAAATCCTAGGTCTAGATCAAAATGGGCACAGGTGTATTCTCTTTCTTAATATCTCAAACTCTTCTCGGAGTGAAACTAAAATACACTCAAACAAACGAACCTACCTTCTTAAATAAAAAAATTAAAGAAATTTTCATAGAGGTTGCGAAAGCAAATTTTAAAAATTGAGGGGGATGAGTCAGTGGTAAAGGTTAAGAACAATTGAGGTAATACATAAAAGGACAAATTAAAAATAGACATACACGACAACACCCGTTTTAATCATCGAATTACTAAAGATATAGGGGAGATCGGGGCAAGATCGGCATGTTAAGCTTTACTTAAATTTTGTGTAATAAATACTGCTGTAAACTGAAAAAAAAGCTTTGCATGTTGTCTATTGGAATGTTACCTTACTATAGAACTGGTTAAAATCAATTTGGAAATAAAAATAATTAAAATAATTACAACTTTACAAGAAGAGAGAAATTGACGAAGTTGCCCCGGGTATAGGGGCAAGATCGGCAACTTCTCTCTTTTTGTAAAGTTGTAATTATTTTAATTATTTTTATTAAAGTTGCCCCTGGTATAGGGGCAACAGTAATGGGGCAAGATAGGCACGTATATAAAATTATGTTATTAACAATGTATAAGTTGGAATTCACTATTAAAACAAAGAAATACAAATCCAACACCCATTTAATATTATTACAACGAAATGCAAGTTCAAAGACATATATACATGAATAACAAATGCAAACATGTTTTCATTTATCATCTGTTTGATTTTTATCCTTTGCTTCTAATGTGGCTTTATGTTGCCGATCTTACCCCGCTAGTCATGATTTCGAAACATTAAGTACAACCCTGAGAACAGAATGCCAAGCCACGATCTGGCCACGTGAATAAGTTGAAGTTACATCCTTCTAACAGGAAAAGTAACTTTCGTTATCATGGAATTATAACAAAACCTGCCAATTCAATATAAATGGAAAAAAAATATTATATGGAATTGAACGAAAATGAAAATTTGCTTGATAATTCAACCTACGCTTGTTGGAGAACAATAAAAACACTACACTCAACAAGCCACCAATAAAACTCAACTGCCTAACCTATAACCAAAGTCTTCTTTTAATTTGTTTTTTAAAAAAGCGCTTGACAAACTTGCCCCGCATGCCGAAGTTGCCCCGATCTCCCCTATGCCACCAACTCCATAATGGCAATTTTTACCTCAATCCATTCCGTACTCGAATTTAATTTTGATCTCCAATAATATTCGCTATTAAGTCTTGCTTTGTTATTTCTCCCAGTAAAGCTCGATACTCTTATCTGTGAATCGAGAATTTCTCCTTTTTCCATCCCTCTGGGATCGCTACATTCTTCAATACATAAATATATATTCATTTACAATAACATAAAAAGTAGTATGTACTGTTTGAACTTATAAATACTTACCGGAATCTTCACACAAGCAATAAAATCTTATTTCATAATCGGAACACCTGACACCTACGGAACTAGTTTTACAGAAGACACCTTTCTTTGTACACTCAACGTCTTCATTTGTAAATTCGGAATCTATACCGCTAGATGCTATACGACACTGAACGTCAGTAATTTCTTCATCTGGACAGAATTTATAAAATTTCCTTATTGTGGATATATCTTCATCTTCTCCTTCGTCAGTTGGTTTTTCAGAATTCATCCAGAAAGTCCATCCTGGTGCTGTACATTCTGGTATTGGTAGAATTTCTGGTTCTTCAGTTTTTATGGAAGGTGTTGGAGGAATTGTGGTAAACTGAGCTGAAAATTTGAATTTATTTTTAAATATAATCATAAAAAATTATGATTTTTTATAAAAAGTTAATCATGTATTTTAGAACAATAGAATCTCTCCACATTTTTTTCTGTTTATATGATCTATGGTAAGCTACCATAAATAAAATCAATTATTGCTTTGTTATTATCTAATGAATGGTGGTATACATAACCCTAACAATATACTAGAAAACACCTTATAATATAGGGGAGATCGGGGCAAGATCGGCATGTTAAGCTTTACTTAAATTTTGTGTAATAAATACTGCTGTAAACTGAAAAAAAAGCTTTGCATATTGTCTATTGGAATGTTACCTTACTATAGAACTGGTTGAAATCAGTTTGGAAATAAAAATAATTAAAATAATTACAACTTTACAAGAAGAGAGAAATTGACGAAGTTGCCCCGGGTATAGGGGCAAGATCGGCAACTTCTCTCTTTTTGTAAAGTTGTAATTATTTTAATTATTTTTATTAAAGTTGCCCCTGGTATAGGGGCAACAGTAATGGGGCAAGATAGGCACGTATATAAAATTATGTTATTAACAATGTATAAGTTGGAATTCACTATTAAAACAAAGAAATACAAATCCAACACCCATTTAATATTATTACAACGAAATGCAAGTTCAAAGACATATATACATGAATAACAAATGCAAACATGTTTTCATTTATCATCTGTTTGATTTTTATCCTTTGCTTCTAATGTGGCTTTATGTTGCCGATCTTACCCCGCTAGTCATGATTTCGAAACATTAAGTACAACCCTGAGAACAGAATGCCAAGCCACGATCTGGCCACGTGAATAAGTTGAAGTTACATCCTTCTAACAGGAAAAGTAACTTTCGTTATCATGGAATTATAACAAAACCTGCCAATTCAATATAAATGGAAAAAAAATATTATATGGAATTGAACGAAAATGAAAATTTGCTTGATAATTCAACTACGCTTGTTGGAGAACAATAAAAACATTACACTCAACAAGCCACCAATAAAACTCAACTGCCTAACCTATAACCAAAGTCTCCTTTTAATTTGTTTTTTAAAAAAAGCGCTTGACAAACTTGCCCCGCTTGCCGAAGTTGCCCCGATCTCCCCTATATAATAAATGCATCTATCTAAATTCAAATAACCCATCAGAATTGAGCTCAAAAATGATTTAATCATCTCATAATGCAACTAATCAGCATACTGTTGTTATATATGGAATTGTACGTAGCTCAAAGATAGTGGCAAAAAAACGAATTCAATTGACCAAATCGATTAAGAGAATGGCAAAACATGAAAGACACCATAAGATAAAGTGAGGATCTTGTAGACTCATACTATCATTAAACACAAGAAATGGGAGAATATTTAAAGAATTATAAACAAAATCCGTAGTTAATATTTATTTAACAATACTTACAACAATCACAATATACTTTTACTTCGAAATCTTCACATTTTCCAGTTGTTTGCTCAGCATTGCTACATTTTAATCCAATAGAAGTGTCACATGTCAGTTTCTGAGATTGAAATTTTAATGGGTTTTTCGAAGAAATTTCAGTACCAGCAAGCCTACATTCTATATCAGTTATCTTATCTGGACTGCAAGGTATCTTAAGATCTTTTATGAGTTCGTAATCTCCTGTTATCGTTGGGGGTGTGTTGATCCATTCGGACCAACCGTTCTTGTAACAGAACGGTAATGGCGTGGAACAAGGTTGACCTATACAACTGATATTACCGCGACGACAGTAACTGAAAATATGATCATTATTAGAAACTGGAGTATATATTAATTATTAATTATATTTTTAATTATTCATTAATACCATGTCTGACATCCATCACCAACACTAACGTCTTGTATGAGTTCGCCTTCGTAATACAGGATGCCGTTAATTTCCAAGCAATGCACTTTACACTCTTCTTCGGGTATGCATTTAAAGTCGTTATCATTGTTGAAAATTTGGCCCCCTGGGCAAGGTTTTGGTTCGCATCCGTCTACACACGGTTCGTTTGTACATAAATCGTTCAAACCAGAATACAGGAATTTCGTTTCGCACGTCATTTTTGGGCAAGTGGAAATGCACGGTTCGTATCTACCGCATTCTTCGCACTGAACAGCTGAAATATCATTTTAATTTATTGGCCAACTGAGAGGAAAGCGCATTATACAATAATTTAACACTACTTACGACATAAATCCTGTGTTCTCCATTTAATATAAATACCCTGAATGTTACATTCGTAAGCATAAGCGGATATAGCTGTGCATAAACATTCGCAATCACCTCCTTTGTCGCAGCCGCAAGTATCGGTTACACACCTGAAATTAGTTTTTAAATCAGTAAAATTTTATACTTAAATCTCACTTCTTAATCTGCAAAACTTATTTTACCTGTCGAAATATGGAGTGAGAGGTACGGCCAAGTGACAAGGTTTAAATACGTCAGATTTTAGTATACCGCACTGGGTAGTAGCAAATTGTTTGCGACTGGCAGTACAAGGATCTTTGATATCCAAAGGATAAGGACAACTTTCATATAATCTCCAACTGTGACCAAACACCACCGCTCGAGCTTCCACCAGACCTCCTGCTGGACTTTTGAAATCGTCGAGTCTGTCGTCGTTAAAATTACCACACAAACCAGTTAGCTGCAAAAGTTAATTTAAATTAAATTCTAATTTAATTTAATTACGATTAATTAACCTAATATTTACAAACCTTTCCTCTCCAAGACGGATTTGCTTGAATAGAAACTCGACTTCTTCTGTCCCACTGAAGTATAATACCGATGTTGCTGTACACAAACACATACAATCCCACTTTCCTCACCATCAGACGAGAATTATAGTTTGGCCTTGGAAGTGGCTCATTTTCGGATAAAATTACTTTAAATTCACCTGAAATTTTTCAGAAATAAATAATAAATATAGGATACTCCTTAACGGCGCCATTCAAAATGGTGGTGATAGCAGAATACACTGCTAAGTAAACAGCAATGTTATATGTAGTGTCTGTATTGTTTCATACGTAGAATGTTTCAAATATGTTACCTCACATGCATTCTACTTTTCCTAAACTTTATGCATTACGAATTTAATCCTCCATGAGCTGACCCTCACAATATGGGGGTGGCCGGTTTAAAACACTAATTTGAATGTAAAAATGCCTAATGATTTACGTACCCAAATAAAACTTGACAGTTTTAATACAGGTGATTCCACTCGTTCCACATTCTTCGTTTTTAATGGTAATTCTGAAACTGTCGATGTCGTCTTTCTTGAGGGATTCGGTCAAGATATATTCGCAATCGCCTTGGAACTCGTATAAGTGACCGTCGAATGTTTTAAAATGCGATCCTCCCCAAGAAGAACAGAATCCTGGACAGTTTTTCTCTTCGCATTTCCACTGACCGCTGTTGCAAACGCTGAAAACAATACAGAACTTAAGATTTACACCCTTCAAAAATGATTTATTGTTGTTTGTCTTCTATATTTCGCTATCTTATTTGATGCTTTGCCTTCTATTGGTGCAATTTATCTTAACAGATAAGATAATATTTTTTTCGACATATCAGACGGATGTTTTCAGCAATGGATACATTGCTCCTTTCGATTTTTACTAGCTAAAGCATGGAAGGAAATTATTTGGATCACTAAACTCTAGAAATATTTATCTCCATACATTCCCACACGTGTATGGGAAGATTTTAGAGCACAAAAAGAAACTTGTGCTGTAAAATCTTCTTAACCTCCTTTGCACTGAAGATGTGGGAAGATTTCGTCACAAACATTTAATACAAAGGGGCATAAGAAGATCTTAGAGGCAATCAAGAGTCATCCCACAGTTAAAAATCTAAATTAAATATTAAAAAATCTAAGATAAACCTAAATTGAAATGCAGCTTATTAAACAAACGGAACTGAAATTCTCATTGTTAATTGTAAATAGAAACGTACCAAGTTCTACAATCTCTTTTTCTTGTAGATCCATTTGGGTATTTCTTTCCTCCATGAGTGCATCCACATTCTGTTGCTTTTATGCAGCCCTGAGCATATATATCTTCAAGAATGTAACCCGGTTGGCATCTATATAGTTTAAATCCTTTAAAATTAAACTCTTTATACGTTATCGAATGGTATAATATAAAAAAATTCTTACTGACCCACATCCTTGTCTACATGCATTATTCTCGCACAATTTCTTTGGAGTGAAGTAATTTTCGCAAGTTACCGGACAATCTAGACAATCAGAATATTCAAGATGCAATTCGGGATCGCAGTATTGTCCAATATCAGACATCATAAATTCTTCCATTATAGTAGCATTGTGTTTTTCTGATACTCGACATTCCCATTTAGCATTTTTACAATTACTATAAAATAATTACAACTTGTATAATTTATTTAAAGATTTCTTATATATAAACATATAATTACCATTCGGTCTTCCCATTTGTTCTCATTGCATTTGGAGCATATTCCATATCTTTGAAGAAACAAGGGCACTCGATAATTGGGATGCATATTCCATCGTTACCCAATGTCATACCTTCTGGACATGCACAACCTTGTATACATTTCTTCACGCATTTTTCTCCCATGGATATAGATTTACAATTAAGTTGGCACGGATTGCTGCATTCCTGATAAATCTGACCACCGTGACACGGAGTTTCTATAAAATAACATTAACCGTAAGTGAATTTTTGAGCAAAATCTTAGAAAATTGTCCATAATCCTTCATGTGTATCAGTAATTCAAAATGAATTTATGTACAGTATCCAACTGATCATTATATATGAGTATATAAGAAAATATTTATAAAATTCTTACGACATGACGGCACTTCTGTCTTCCAAGATACTATGACACCTTTCTTGGCACACGTTGCTGCATAATTATCCATAGAAGGACAAAGACATTCTTTAGCTTTCACAGCACAGGCGCACATGTCGTATAAGCAATCCTTAAAGAATGGATCGGGATCTACATCGTCGTGGCATTCTAAAAACAATTAAATACATAAATAACAGTAGAAGTTAATAAAGAACATTCATTGTTCTTTTGTGCACGTATTGACTCTTTTATACACAAAAGATGAGGTATGCAAACCATAACTGCTGTAATACTTGAATAATAATAATATAAAAGATACACAAATGATTAATCTACCTTTAAATATATCACTTTTTATTATAGAACATAATTCCTCTGAAGTCTCTTTCTTCTGCGGATTAATGTCGCAGGAATCTCTAGTGTCAATATTCTGTAATTCTTCGCTGCACGTGGGATCCGTTTTCCATTTGTCTGCGAATTTACTCACATCGATTTCTACGTTTCCGTCTGGGGTCAAGAAATCGTCATTTTGATTGTTGTTCAAAGTCCCACACAACCCAGTAACTGAGTTATGCAAAGCTGCAGCCGCATCCACGTATACACGGTTTTTTCCATCCCAAATGATGGTTAGCAGATTTGGTATGTCCAACTAATAAAAAATAAATAATTAATTAATATGTAAATTTCTAAATTATAGTTATTATTTTATCTTCTTTTATCTCATCAGAGGACGAACAGCTGCGTTCTGCCCATATGATGATATATGTATATATACAGAATGGGTGTAAAGTAACTAGGCGTTGAGAAATCACTATAACTGTTGTTACAATAAAGAAATCATAATAAACAGTATCTATTCTTGTACCGTAATCAATGCAATCTTATAATTCCTGCATGATTTATGTGGACAATGAGCGAGAGAGGCTGCACGATGGGTGGCACATAGATGGCCAACTGTTTGTCCGTTTCGAAGCGAGCATAGATTGCTGCAAGCTATGATGTGTGGAAATCATGGTCTCTGTGCAAAGATGGTGGCATGCGGTGTGGAATCGTCATGCCACAATTCATCCGAAAACAATCGAGAATTGTCATTCGTAGTTAAAATAACCACATTTAGGTTGCGAACGCACAGAGAAGTGGCCGTCCATGAATATCAGTATCTGAGGAAAAAGTGTTGTTGGTGACAGACGCTGGTTCCTAAATTGAAATTTCCATTTAATAAGGTACAAGAAAAATAACTTTTATCATCTTTTCTTCAGGAATATAGAAATTAAAGAGATTTATCAATGCATAGTTACATTCCGCCCATCCCGTATAACAATTTAAGACATTGGCATCAACTCCATCCCATCGAAAAAAAGAGAAAATCGTGTATCGAGTTTTTTACATAATCTAGTACATAAATACAAGAGAAAATTCAATATATTTTATGAAAAATAAACATTTTCTAATCCAGGATCGTTAAATGTAGTGTGTTGATATATACGATAAACTAGCACGAGTTCACCCCTGTACGGTGGCACCATCTGGTGAGAACGATGCGAACAACTTCATATTGTTGACTAGACAACATAATAAAATGTATAAATGCGCTTGTATTTACATTCATACACAACAGTATACACGTACAGTACGTATATGTACAGTTAAAATACATTACAAATTAGAACATATTTAAATACTAAATGAAAATAAAAATGTACAAATTAATTTAATTTAATTTGGGATATTTAACGTATAAATTGAGTGTTACCGTCAATAAATTCGAAGTTCCATGCATGATATTAATATCCTTATTGGAGAAAGGAAAGTCTTTTACGTCTTGTCCATTGACAGAAACCTTGATAAATAATTAATTATGTATTATTTATATACTTCTTCCCTTTTGTAGCCAAAACAATTGATAGTTCTTACCTCCGCTCCGTGTTTAAAGATGACTTTATTGTTGCCGTAATTGATAGTTAAAGACTTGGTACAAGATGCTCTGTCGCCGTAAGGGGCACCATTTTTCCTCACCAGGCCGAGTGTTCGGCAATTTTCGTTGTTTTGAATGATACTGAACGATTCATTGTACACCAAATAATAAGAGCAGGTGCCCATAAATTCGTATTTCGTCCCATCAAACGTTGTGTAGTGAGGATCGCCCGCTGAGGTGCACCTCCTTTCGCACTCTTTTAAGGTGCATTGCCAGTTTCCTCCCTGGCATTCACTATAATAAAGTATCAAATTTAAGTATATTATTGCTTATACTTTACCATAAATATCAAATTTGCATGGTAAAACGAAATAATGACAATACAGTCATGCCCGAAAGTCAGTTAACTGTTGTAAGTACTAACTTACTGTCTTCTTTAGGCCACCACTAATTTTAATAATACTTAAGTTTAAATTACGGTACACCCCGCTCTTCTACCTGTTATAAATGTTCTATTGTGTTTTATAAATACCACAATGCAATTACATAAGCCCAAAGTAGCATTTCCCGGAACGAAACCTCGCTTTATGACACTAAATCTATGAAAAATTACGGTTCGATTTACGTCGGCTCGCTTAACGACGTGTCTTTCTCGGTAAACAATTATGTCGTAAAAGCGGGGGAAGAAATCTCAGAATACGTAACCGAAGCTCTTAATTGTTTATTAACGTTAAAAAGTAATTCTTACCAAGTGTTACAGTCTTTAGTTATGAGTTCGCCATTTTGATATTGTTTGTTACTGTGCTGGCAGGGACATTTACTTTCAGGGATGCATTCTCCTTCGTACAGAGCTGTTCCTGCCGGGCAATGACATCCGTCAACGCAGTGTTCGTCTTCACAATCGTACTCTGTCTTAGTGCATGTTTTTGGGCAGGAGCTGCCACAATCGAAGTACTCCATTCCCACCGGACAATCTAAAGCTGTTTAGAAAATAATTCATTAATTAATAGATTTATCCTTATAGAACACATCAAAACAATTAAAACTTACGGCAAACACTTTCGTTTCTCCATCCTCCGTGTATTTTTCCACCCAATCGAATGCATTCTCTAAAGTATTCCGCTAAGGTGTTGCACTTGCAAGTGTTATCTGGAGACTTACAGGCGCAATATTCGTTTCGACAAGCTGTGAAGTACGGTTTAGGATTTACCAACTGTAAAAGAAGAGTACAGCTTGTACACTACGTTTTTCTGTATTAATGAGACATTTGAAGAAGCAGCATACCAGAAGAAGATTCGTACAAAGATGTCTACGCAACACGCAACCATTGTAAGAACAATCGGATAGAGCATAGACTAAATTGAATACACTTTACACACTACACTATACTAGTAAACTACACTCTTCTCTATATACTTCTTGCTACTTCTCTTCTTTTTTGAGAAGCACCACAAAGAAAATAAGTTGTTTTCAGTAAAAATGGATAGAGGAGCTCCTATATGAGCTTACTCATTCTTATCTGTTCTCATACGACCAAGTTGAACTTTGACCTAATGATTAGCTCTTTCTTATCTAAAACATGCACTTGTCAGTACTAAATTGGGTGGCGTGTTCGCTTATACACTTGCACAGCTTCCTTATAAGACACAATAAGAAGGAGCATTCTATAAAGGATTAGAGAACACTGATTCATTATTCCCATAAAATTAACCTTACTAAATCACCCTAAAAATCCGGGATGGTATCGTTAGTGTTGCATTTAGGCCTATATTATTATATCTTCTGGCATACATTTTCTAATTTTTATATTTTATAGAAAAATTTTTAAATATATCTAAAAAACACACCCCATTATATATCTAATATCTTGAATTTTATATTAATAATAAACATATTCTAAGAATACGAAATACAAATGTATGCAAACAAAGCTCATGCAAGATTTATCAATATTTAAAAAAAAAATAATACATACATCATGACAAGGTGTATATTCGGTATTGTAAATGGCTGAACATTCGACATCCGCCCTTTGTGAAATTATTTTCTCTTCCTCTGTTTTATAACTGCAAATGTTTTCTTGATTGACTGAATCTTGGCATTTCTCTATAAAAATTCAAGTTTCTATTATAACATTTGTATTTTACACACGTTTATTTCTTTATTAAATAATTCGTTTTTCCTACCCCCTAGTTCGTTCATCTTCCAACTGTTAACAAAACTTGCCACTTGTGGTGCAATTTTTCCATCCAGCATCTGTAAATCATTTTGCACGATTCCGTCGTGTTGTCCACACAAACCACAAGTATTATTTTTCAAACGATCATTTATCGAAAGCAGAATGGTGTCTTTTCCGTCCCACGTTAACCTGAAAAGGGGTAATTTACGAGCTGTGAATAACATAATTATATATAATTTAAAGGCCATTAACTTCTATAGTATACTCCTCTATCCTGGCCATAGTAATAAAATGTAGATATAAAACATACCCTTCCTGAAATGTATACCTTTTTTTGTACATTCAGATAGCTTTATGAAGGATCTATCTAACATACGGGTAAGTATACAATAAACAGCGTGTATTTTTAATATTTCTACATCATTATAGGCCTGTGAACAATTAAAAATCAGTGTATTCGTATGTCGAACCGCACCCAGTAATCTAACATAATATAAACATATTAAAGTGCTTAACGTATCTCGAATAATAATTAACATATTCCTGTTTTTTTATGTAGAACAAAAGAAGAGGTATTGCTAGACAGTGATAGATAGATAGATAGCGGGATAGAGAGATAGAGAGAGACAGCGGAATATTTACAAAGGAAGAGAGTATATTATGTAAAATAAAAAAGGAAATAGAAGTAGGAAGTAAAAAAAAACAATGCGCAGAAAGAAAGAGAGAAATATTAAATAAAAAACAAAAAATACAAGCAATTCATGTCAACACTAAGTAAAACACAAGATGTATTCCTTGTCGCTGCTCACACGGAAAATTACATATAGTATATTCTCCATTGTCTTTAATTATGTCTCCTTAAGAGATTTGACTTTTTCAGACTTATCAAGCAATGTATAAAGTAATGCTACAACAATTTAATAATTTATTTTAAAAACAGCAATTGTTATGAATATTTATCATCCTGATTCAGAAAAGAAAACATACCTAAAACCCGAAGAACTTCTTAATATTAAATAATCTGCTGGTTTCTCCAAGTGCAAGCCTTCGACACTTCCAGGAATAGGCAATATCTCCTCCTCTCTCTTTACCACAATATTCCCATTCTCGTAGTCCAAATCATACCTGACATCCCCCAGATAGACTGTAACGTACTTTTTACATATTTCTTCCGTACAGAATGGATCTACCTTCAGGTGGATGCTAAAAGAATTCGTGGAACAATCCTTGGATAACAAATACGTGCAAGGACCACGGAAACTAAACAGCAAACCATCGAAAGTTCTGAAGTGGGATCGACCCCAAGCTGCACACACGCCACTTGTCTTCGTTTCGACTTGTAATAAAGCTAAAAATAAATTAAAATTATCAGGAATGTGAAGCGAGTGTTACTTAGATCTGAGAATTTCACTTACTCTCCTTTCCTACGGGTGCACTTCCGTCCATAAAATTCACTAAAGTATTGATAAACAATATAAGAAGCCATCTGTGTTTTCTGTGACAAATAACATTCACTTACCTGGAACACAGTTTGGAATATCCGAAGGATCCCACACCCCATCCATGCTACATTTATACGAATCTGCAGGTAGGGATTGGAACGTGGTTTCCTTAGGACAGTCAAAAGTGCAAAGAGATATGGTAGAAGTATGGTTGCAATGTGCGATTCCTGAAAATTCCAGCGATGTTGATGGATCACAGAGTGACTTAGCTAAAAATTTAACACCATCTTAACAAGATTTTTACCGTATTTAATTTTCTAGAGCCCGAAATCCTACTTACAGTATTGACAATTGGGTCCTCTGTAATCTGGAGTGCAAATGCACTTCTTTTTAGAGCACTTCCCTTGATTTTCACACGGGGGATCGCATTTTTCTGCAAAACATATCACAGTTTAGAAAAATAGATTTAAAACATACCAATAAAAATTGATAAATTTGCTCACCTTCACACTCGGGTATGGCAAAACCCTCGGGCCACCCTCCTTCGATGGCTTTGCAATTGAATGTTTGTCTGGTGCCACCATTGGGAAAAACCGTTCCTTTGTTTCTACATTTAGCCGAACACTCCAAACTAGAATTTAGTATTTAGCCATTTAATAACACTAAACAAAAATCAACTGAAGCGTGAGATTCATTGTAATACTCACGTATCAGCTTTGAATTTACATTTCAGTTTAACTGATGAAGGTGCCTTGGGTTTCTCGCATGTACCTTCTAAAATAAGAACAGGACATGAAAATTCTCAACTAATAACCGTTAAGGAGCACTCAATACCTACCAAAATCAATTGTAAATCCCTCGTTTCTGAAAAGGAAAATTTATTATTGTTGATTTAATTATATTTTACATGAAGAGAATCAGCGATAAATCGAAGTAATCTCGCGACATTTCTGTTTGCAACTTCGATTTAACGAAATGACATTGCTACATGTTGATACTTACATTAGATAAGCAAAAAGGACAGATAGGAGGTGAAGACAGAGGCTGCAACGAGCCATGATGTATCACTAGAGATGTATCTAGATCAGACCAACATCAACAGTTTTAGAACCACACGAGGAAGTTTATCGGATGTTTCCTGACCGCAGCTTCCTTCGAATGTGAGGATGTCTGCAGCTTTCCTAGACAAACCTCTGTGACGTCCGGAACTTAGACACCTTTAGTCGAAGGCGATAACGCTCTGCAGTCGACAGTTTGTGGATAAAACGCACCCTCACCCAACAAAAAGGAAACTTTTCTTCCTGTTTCTCCCAGTTCCTCAGAATTTCATAATTTAAAAGAATTTTTACACATTTTTGCTTTCATATTTTCTACAAATTCAGCGAGTTAAAACCATAAAAACCCTTTTTTATACCGGTAAAAAAATTCATAAATGGAGAATTGACGGATGGAAGAGTTAATTGATGAAGTGAAGCACATTTTTGTGTGGTTTTTTTTGGAAAGATTTTACACAAAAATGAATTAAATCTATCCAAAATTGGTTTAAAAGTTTAAAATTTGGTATTTTTCGCCCACATTTTCTTCAGATAAACAAAGATAAGAACTCGAAAATCTTGTTAAAGACCGGACGTCGGCCGGATTCCGAAGCGATAACGATTTTCTCTAAACAAAATAGTCAAAGTGCATATTACTAATCAATAAATTAATTACAAAACAAAATGGCGGATGGATTAACGTTCATCTTTCGAGAAGCAAAGGTTTTCCAGGAAGCTAACAAGGAAACTAACTAAGGAAAGAGGAGTTTCTAAAGAGATAAAAATAGTAAAGTAAGGATACCCTTCAAGTTTTCATATTTTTGGTGTAAAATATTGTCTGCTGCAATGCAATTGAGATTTAAAAAGGGATGGTCTTCAAGTCATGACTACAAGAAAATCAGCAACTTTCAAAATAAGATTCTAATACACAAAGAAGAAACTCGTGACACTAAATCTTAGTAACATTTTATTATATAAGCGACGATACGTAGTTAGAAGCCTTTTGTCGCCATTATAATAAATTTCACAGTGTGCAGAACTTATCCACGTGTTAAATTAAAGAATTTAATTGTTAAAATGTACAAAATTTACATCTCATTTGGCACAGCGAAAAACCTTCACCTCGACTATGTATCAGAATTTCCTGTTCCTGAGATAGTTTCTTTATCTTCTCACCACCTCACTCTCTTACTCTAAAATTAGCCAATTAACTAATTAAAATTCGTAAAAGGACATCGTCTAGTATGACCTTTAACCGCATAGAAAACTGTAATATTCGAATGTGTAACTTTATCACGTGTGCATCCATAAGGATAATACGCAGTACACTGTGTAAGGGGGTAACAGCAAAATAAAAGGGCTTATAAGTCTATTCAATAGGATCTAATAATATACATTTAATTCGACTAATTTAAACACCTAATTAATGATTAATACTATTTAGTGTATGTGAGAAATGAAAATTAATAGCCTTCTATGTGTGCATGTGATAATAGTTTGCACTACAGATAAACTACTTCTGCAGTGTTTCATACCTCACTTTGGCCAGGTATCTCTTATATAACTATCAAATTTGCGACAAAACTTAGTTTTTTTTTACTACACTTCAATTGTTTTCTATGAGAAGTTTCAGAGAGACACTCGCTTTATGACTTATTTAAAGGACACAACTGTCCAAAAACACGTCATAAACGTCACACGTGACGCTTGCTTCTTGTGTTTTTTGTATATTTTTCGTATAAAGTGATAATACTATTCTAGAGTCATTTCTCCTCCCTTAATCTTTACATCCTGCAATTGAAAGCTCTATACTCGTCTAAAGTAAGTGATTGTTCTCTCAGTTTTTCTGTAAAAGATATTATAGATTATAAGTTCAAAAATAAGTAGTGGTAAGAATGAATTTTACTAACAAAACACTTGCTATTTAGGAAGTATCTGCCATTCATACTTTCACGAAAGTGAGGAGAAACATGCCCGGATCTTCGGGATGTTTTTTTCGTGGTATTAATTTGGTAATAAAGACGATATCGTCAATCTGCGTTTATACTGTTAATAATATCAGTGGATAAGGGTTGTGGCACTCTACGTCATCACAAATCAAGTCTATCTCATCAGTTGTGTACAGCAGGATGTTGGAATAGCGCCTCCCACAGTGAGAACAATTTCTTTCTATAGGTTATAACTACGTTCATGGTCCTTTTACATCTTAATTGAGCTCTACTGCGATAAAATAAGATAACAAATAATTGACTAATTCAATAAATAAATATAAATATACATCTATGACAGAGTGTCTCCCTCACCACTTTTTCCACCCTCCTTTACTAATAAACATGTGCTCCTCACTAGTTTTCACCTCCTTCTTATTAAAGTGTCCCTTACTAATTTTCTTCACTCTCCCATACTAAAGAATATGTGCCCCCTTATTAGTTTTCTCCATTCCCAATAAACATGTGCCCCCTTATTAGTTTTCTCCATTACTAATGAATGTGTGCCCCTTATTAGTTTTCTCCCTTACCAATAAACGTGTGCCCTCTTATTAGTTTTCTCCATTACCAATAAATGTGTGCCCCTTTATTAGTTTTCTCCATTACCAATAAATGTGTGCCCCCTTATTAGTTTACTCCATTACCAATAAACGTGTGCCCCCTTATTAGTTTTCTCCATTACTAATGAATGTGTGCCCCTTATTAATTTTTTCCCTTACCAATAAACGTGTGCCCTCTTATTAGTTTTCTTCATTACCAATAAATGTGTGCCCCTTTATTAGTTTTCTCCATTACCAATAAATGTGTGCCCCCTTATTAGTTTACTCCATTACCAATAAATGTGTGCCCCCTTATTAGTTTTCTCCATTACTAATAAACGTATGCCCCCTTATTAGTTTTCTCCATTACTAATGAATATGTGCCCGTTATTAGTTTTCTCTATCCTCCTTACTAATCAATGTGTGTCCCTGACATTACTTTTGAATAAATGAATTAGGTTAAGTACCTTAAAATTAGCCCATTAACTTAGGAACATACCCAACCATAGCCGAGGGGTCTTATCTAATTCCTCATTACTAATATATATATCCGAATCTGTATAATATCGCTAAAGAAATTAGACTGGAGGCTTCAAAAGTGCTTAGACTTATCTCCCTCTTTATTTCCTCTACCTTCATCCTAGTACTAGAACACACAAGTAGTGTCATTTGACACAACTAAGAACTTTGTATTTTATAGGTATTTTTTTAACAGTAAAATTTATTTAAATTATTTTATTTAATAAATAAATACAAAATTTAAATTCATTTTAATATTTCGATCGAAAACAATCGATTTTCGGACAGATAATTTAAAAAAAAATAAAAGTACCAGAAACCTGTATCGCCATCTATTGGAATCAAATCAAACGATTTTTTTATATGAACGATTCCTTTATCACCATCACTTTCTGTGAACCTCTAGTAATGGCCACCTCTAAACAACGGCCACTGATATTAAAAAACGGGCGTTGTACCGAGGTGTCCCCATAACGTCCTACCTCTTATTATACGTAATAAAATACTGTATTATTGTTTACAGTTACTTCGTCTGTGACCTCGTCTATGACGACATCTTTGTTTTATCATTAACTCTATTTTGTGTGTTATACCCCTCTATAAGGGAGCTTAGGGAATTGTAGGGGATATCTACAAAGAAAACAAGTAAATCTGGGAATAAAATATCAATAGTAAGTAATTGGTAGCAGACAACAAAATATCATAAACACACCTTTTTTTCTCTACATCTCTCCACGTATAGCTGGTTTGAGGGATCTTCTAGATAAGGCCTGTTCAGTAGCCTTAAGGCATGCTAAAGTGTAGAGTAAGTAAGAATTAAGCCACTTAAATATAGAACAACTGTTACACAATTTTATACATTTTATCCTCTATTTTGTGCAAAAAAATTATATAATTAACTTCTACTTTGCTATAATTAATAATAATAATAATAATTTTTAGGTCGTTCGCTTTATAATTACGCCCATTTTGAAAGTAAAAAAGATTCAAAATGGAGTTCGGAATGAAGCGCCATTGCGGATTATATTATAATTAAAAGATTGTTGATGTAATTTTAGGCATTAAAGTGGTCTATAATATTAAAAATTGCAACGTTTATTATTTCTATATATTTTATAATTACAATCCTTGAAGTATAAGCAAAACTTCAAGGATAAGTTTATTATTGTTTCGTTTATCTGTCGAAAGATGGCGCTTATGTGGACATTTTTTTAAGGTCTATGAGCAGTGGCCAAGCGGTTCCGATGCTAGAACACTGGGAGTTCGGTCGTGGGTTCGCGCCTCGCCAGGATGGGTTGGACATGTGGAATTTACCGAGTTTTCTCCACGTCTTTAATATAAGTAATGATTTATTAATGATATATACAGAGGAACCAGATTAATTACAATTGAATGATGATAAATTATTGAAGATTGGTCTTTTCAGGTCAGAACATGCATACATTTACATACTGCCACATAAGTATAGAACCGCCATCTTTCTCGCAAGTTTAAAGTGTGAAAGTAGTATTTTTTTATCATGCCTCGTGGTACCCTTTTAACAGACTGAGAAAGGACAAAATGTAGGTTTGAGAAGCTTTAGCCAGGTAGTAGTCACACATAAAACAATAGCAAACAGCATCAAACGTTCGAAAAAAGTAGTTCAGCATTATTTGTCAAATCATGCAAATTATACACCAAAGCGTAGAAGTGGACGTCCTTCGAAGCTTATCTCGCGAGACTGCAGACAAATTGTTAATGCAGTCTCTAATTCACCACATCCACGCGTCAAATTCGGGACAATTTAAGTATTCAAATACATCACGAAACCGTTCGAAGGGTTTTACACGACAACAACAACAACAACATCGTTCGGTCTCGAATGAGAAGTGCCCTTACTCTTAAGCCCGAACACAAAGCTGCCGATTCGATTTTGCTAGGTAAAATATAGCCATTCAATGGAAAAAGGAACTTGGAGGATCATTTGGAGGATCTTGATTGACCAAAATTTATTACCAAAATCGTCATCGAACTCTTAAAACAAGCAATTGTCACTGCTTGGAACTCCCTCGAAGCATCCATGATAGAATAAAACCTTGTTGATAGCATGCCAAATCGCATTTTCGATCTTATTAGTAAAGGAAGTGTTCAAATAAATGACTAAATTAAACTATTTTGTAGTATTTGATGCCTTTTGCATTCATTTACTAGTCGCGCCTTATTGAATAAGGATAATTTAACTGAAATTTAGTGGATATTATTGCTTTTATAACTTCATATTTTGATACAAATAATGGTATTTGCTGTGTATATTGTATTTTAGTGTGAACATGTTGCATTTTCTGAAGTAACAGTTTAGTTAAATTGTAAATAAAGTATCAAGTCATTAATTGGCATCGGTCAAAACAAACGGTGTAGCTTATAGGAAAGTTAGTGTCACCACCTTGTGTTTATAGACCTTGCTTCTATTCAAGGTCTGTAAACACCCCTTGCTTTATTTTACAAAACAACTTTCATTTGTTTTTCTTTAATTTATTAGCCAAAATTGTAGATTAACTTACGAATTTACTCCAAATTTTATTGAATACACAAGACATTTAGGAATTTGTGACGTGAACAATTGAAACTGTCGTCGTATTTGTCTTTCACCTTCAAGAACAATTGAGCTATTATGGCGCATATCATGAAAAATTCGGTTTAAAATCGTATTTAAACGTATTCGATACCTTTAAATTAACATACATTTACGTTTAAAAATAAAAAAATGGCACCCATGGAAACAAAATGGCGTCTAGAAAGAACCCATTGCACCCTTTATCTTCACCGTATAACTAGAGCATATCGCATAAATTATTTGCAGCTATCTTTAATATATTTGAAAGATTCAGTAAAGATTTTACAGTTGAAAAAAAAAACAAACGAAAATAGAAGTAATAGATTATTTATTTAAATCTTAAAACACAGTAAACATTTGTGTAACAATACAATTGTACGATTAGAAAGTTCGACACATGCAATTTAAATGTCATTAACTATAAAGTCAAACATATATTTTGTATAATTCTATATATAAAACAATTTTTAAAGATATATTCCCCTACTTTGGTCGATTTAACAAGGTCATATATAAATATATTGTGGTATACTCCAATGAGCGCGCATTGTTAAACCCAGGGAATTCCTCTAAAATCGGGGTCGTTCCAGGAAAAATTCTAACACAACTTTCTTTACAGGAAAATTTAATAATTTTAACTTTATGATAAATTATTAATAAATTAAAATATATTTTAAATTATTAACTATTGTAAATGCCNATCTTCGAGGGTAAGTGAAAATTTTATATTTATATTTAATTCTCTTTTAATTCAAATCACTAACTCCGTGTATTATCGTAGCTGTTTGGGATGTTATCAAGAAGCTGCTTCCTCAAGCGGGTATCGACAGAGTTAAATTCGTGGACAAGAAGGGTATGTTAGAATACATCGACGAGGATAAACTACCAGAATGTTACGGAGGAACCGTAAGTATAGAATGATGAAGACGTCTTAACCCCAGTGTTCTCGACCCCATTTTAATAATTTTCATTTTCTGACGTTCTAGGATCAATCGGAATTTAAATACCACGAATCTCTGAAAGATACAGACGTATTGTTTCGTGAGAAAATCGAAGAACAATTGGCACAGGGTGTCACATCACTTTCTTTAGGTTAATTTTAATTAAAAATTTGGCAAACACAGCAAAGCTTTCAATAGTATTATTATCATATGCAAATTTCTTAATCTATATAACAGTTTTTGTGCAATTATAATAGGGTATATATGTAGCCATTTTGTATGAATTATACATTATATATTTTTATAAATTTAATTTAGAATAAATTAAAATCGATAAGTGATTTTTATCAAACCAGTTTTGGTGGAAAGCCCCGAGTAGATATTAGTCATTGCTTTTTACAATCAATTCTTATTTTTCTTAATCCTATTTAATGATTGTTGTCTAGACTCTGTAGTAATTTAAAAATTAATAATCGTATAATATAATTGGCTTCTAGGAAGATAAGGAAATTGTAGTTTAAACAGTTTGTAAATACATTGAAATGTGTGGATGATCCGCTAAGAAGAATACGATTATGGAGAACATTTCTATGAGAAAATGGTTCCTATTTAGGTATTAGAACGTGAAGAAAACTCAGAATACCCCATAGGCGCTAGTTATCCACCTGGTTATTGTTAGGAGGTGGAAGATATAAAGTATTTATGTACTATGACCTCATCATACATTTATGATGAACGTAGTACTTGGCGGATGGGTCAAAAATATCCAAGATTTTTTCGGGAAGTAGGCATTAATGGGACCTTTTTAACAAATCTAGGATGGGCTTGCTAAAAAAAAAGGCCCTCTTCATGCCTACAGAGCGGAAAGAGTCAGAAAAAAAACGGGCTACACTCCATTAAAGTTGGGAGAACAAATTCAGGAAATTTTCCAGGTTAATATGGAAGAGGAAATCAGTGGACAAACCTACTTGGAAAAGTCTTGGAGAAGCCTTACAACTTCCTGAAATGAACTAAGAATGGTTGACGATAATGATCTCATTATTTAAAATATTTTAATTAACCTATACACGTAGCAGGGACCACACCGGGCAGGTTGCCATACTGAAGATGGGAATTCGAGTCTGGGAATAAGAAATTTCGTGAAAGGAGTGATCTGAATATATCGGGCAACATTCTCCATCACCAGATTGCCTTATTGTCAGGGTCGTCCGGTAGATTTTCTCAATATGATGCAAGTCTTCGAAATGCCGCCTCTTAAATGCCTCTTATGCCACATCTTAAATGATGCTTATGACGCCCATTATGGTGCCGCCTTATGCGGCCGCATCCTTGCATCATAGCACGGCACGGCCCTGCTTATTGTGTATCTAGATGAACTCATCTGGGCATGAAGATGCCTTTTTTTTTAGAGTGAGTTGGTGGATAGAATTTAAAGAAGCAAAGTGATTTGTGCCCCGAATTTTTTCTGAAAAATAAATTAAAATACGAAATATTTCCTACTTGTATAAAAGAAGACTTTAAACAAAATGGCGGCAAGTGAGAAAATCAGTTCAAATGAAAAATAAAATTAAATAATACAAAAAAAAAAGGAGAAAAACAGGAAAATTCGCAATAAATCCTTTATTTGTAATTAAAATAATTTACAAGAAAATTATTTTTGCATATAAATCGAATGTGTAGATTTTTTTTCTATTAATAAATATTAATTATAATTTTTATTTTTTTATTCTTGGTAAAGCAAATTCTTCCTGTAAATACGGAAAAAGTAATAATGTTCCCGGACAATAGAAAGGATGACGTGTAGAAACAATATATTTTTTCTTGAAATTCTGAAAAGTCCACTCCTTCCCTTCAAATATCTTGTACACAATATTGTATTGTCGCAATTTATAAACGTTTGAACGCAATGTACCACGTCAAGCGTAAATTAAATCGTCTTATCGGTTAAATTTTTAAAAATACAATTGATTTATATCGATGATTCTAAAGGAAAACTCCACCAGGGGGTCTGTTTCACCCGACTGCCATTTTTTTTTTTAATTAAAGTGTTGCCAAGTTTACTTTCTAAAATTTTTTAAAAATAAAAGTAAATTATTAAATCCGAATTTAAATTATTATTAATTGTGATTTTCCTGTATTTAAAGTATTTTTTAAATCGAAAATGGGTTAAATCCTGCGAAATACAGTTGAATAAATTTGTAATTAAAACCGGAATTCGTACATAAAGGTCGTAACTTTTAATAGTTAAATAGGGGCAGAAAGTTGATAAATTGTTACGTATTTAAGCTATAAGGGTAAGAGTTTTATTAGTTTATTTATTAAAATCAAAAACTTTGTGTGCAATTTAATTAAATTGCGTAAAAACTAAACGTCCTTCGATAAGCATTAACACTAAATTTAAATAAAGAAGAAAAATTTAGGGTTGTTTGTGAGTAAATTGTTAGGTAATAATAACTTTAAAATGTAAATTAACTGTGAGGTGGCGTAAAAATCACTAAGAGGCCCGAATGCAGTGTCAAATTTGCATATAAACTTGATAAGCTAAGGCTTGCGACTCTCCTTAGAAGTCAAAGAATAAGTTAAATTTGGCCTTACTCAATTGTTATAATTCGGCCATTTTTTGGCAAAATATCAAAGTTAAGTTTGCGTGATGAATTAAATGAAGAAATCCAAAATTTAAATATCGATACTTTAAGAATTTCGTTGAAATTAATTCAAAAATGGACGTTCCTTTCATCCAACACTAGGAAGAAAAGAATGGTCGAAAATCTCGTGAAGTGGAAACTGTATTAATCAGCATTAACGACACTGTATTACGTTAATTTACAACTTTACGTATCACAAAACTGAATGACATCTTTAAGAATCGTCATCCCCCTTTAGAAATTCCGTATGAACTCGCGTAAACTGGACACATGATTCACTGCTGTAACTCTTAAAGGTCGACGAACTTTACGCGTTGTAATACAGGTGAACGTGGTGAGGTCGTGTTGGAATGTTCTATTTACATATAGGTGGATAGTTGGAAAATAGAGCATTTTCTACTGTTCCTTATTTTTCCTAAAGATTATATTACCCCGAAAGATCGATATGGGCCGCCATTCGGCCGCATAATCGGTAAATGTCACGCATGAATGACCATTACGGTCGCATTCAAGGATTCTATCGCTGTGACGTCATACGGGAGAACTAAAGTTTAAGAAGGTTGTTCGGTAGCTCAGTTGTATCGCTGGATTCGTTCGACACATTCCTGCTCCCGTCATGACTCAAGAACTGTACAGCCGCTTCCCTAAAGATGACGATCTGTTGAAGGAGTTCCGGAACAGAGCTCTGACGGAATTGAGAAAGACCCCCGGTGAGAATCTTTAATATTAAATTAACATAAGAATTTTATGCCTGTTTTCAGTCATTTCTATAAGCACTTTTCTTCTTTTCTAACTGGTTTGCCCGGATGTTTAATACTTGTTCTATGGTATAAATAATACTATTTTTTCCATAGATTTACAACAAAATGCATCACTCTATTTTAGCATATATATTCTCTCTATTACTAGTCCATTTTACTTAAATTATTCATATTCTGACTCTATCCTATGGGCACTAAGAGGGTCTCCGTGTCCGTCATGGATTAGACCATGCTTACAATGGAGGCGCACAGATGGTGAGAAGCTGACCCCAACCTCAGGCCAAACTCTAAAATGAAAAACAGATAGGAAACCTCAAAAATTTTTGAAGTTCCCTGTCTGTTCGTTTTCGAGTCCCCCAGAGCGGTAGTGTGAAATCTTAGCTGCTTTGTCCGCCTGGTTTTCAAATTGGTTACATTATGATAATCACAAAATCTTCTTAATTAACATACCCAATTTATTCTAACTTGAATTGCCCATTTTACTTTTACCAGATCTATTCTACAAGTACGATGTTTGCAAATTCGAAAGAGACGATTTGTACGCTCACAGGTTTTTGGGTCATCAATTTTTTTTGAAGGAGGACAAGAAAACTCTACTTGATAGATCAGTCAAGATGGTAATAAAGAGCTTCAAATGGAGAAAACAATTCGGAGTACAAAGTAAAAACCTCTTTTTTTGTTAGTCCCTCTTTAACAACAACAAGTGGTACAATTCTGAACCCTTTCTAGATATCAAGCATCAAGATCTTCCCGATGAATATTTTGATAGAAAGAGTTGTATCCGTCTGAAGGAAGACAAATTGGGTCGACAAGTGGGTAAGAACCACCTTTTTTTTCTGCCTTTGATACTAGATACTAGACGAAAACATGATTGAAATTCTGGTGTTTCAGTGGTCATCAAAGTCAACACCCTGAGGAAGACTAAATCTGGAGAAAGGCCAATAGGAGAGAAATTTCTGATATACTGGATAGAAAATATCTTCCAGACAAATGAAAATGGTATCACAGTCATCATCGATTGTTCCGACGCTACACTTAACAATGTGGTACGTAATAATGCTCTAAAATGGCGTACAACAGTTCGTAACAGTATTCTAATGATATGATTTTTACAGAACATGGATTTAGTCGACTTTGCTAGAGCCATACTCAAAAAATACTACCCGGCATACCTAGGTAAGTTTAATTACGTTACATTTTTTAGGGTTGGGAAGTTAAAAATACAGTAAAATCCCTTCTTTGCGATCACCAATGGTTCTGAGCTGAACTGATCATTTGGTGGGGTTTCACTGTGTCTAATTAATTATATCAGGTTCCAATTCTACATATACTATACGGTTTTATTGAGGGTTTTCTTTATTGCTAGAAGTAGAAATTTATAGATTTTGATTTTACTTGTATAAAGAGTACAATACATTTTTTCTTAGGTCAGGATTTTGCTATAGAGGAAAATGGAACATTTTAATTATTCATTTACTATTGCTTGCATAAAACATAGCGTGAGATTAAGAAATTAATGTCTTTTAGGCCTTCGGGCATACTAAGAATTTGTTTTTATCTTTAAATTAAAAGGTATTTCCTAACATATATGGAATTTCAAAAGTGAATTTTTTTTTATTTTGGTTTCGATTTTCATTAGAAATAGTCAAAGTATAAATTCGTATAAAAGGATAGGATAAAAGATTTTCCATTGAACAGGCAAAATAATTCGTTTTACACGAGTAGAAATGGCACAAAATTAAAAATTCTGGAAGATTTCCAAACACCCTCCAGGCTTAACTTGTCAAAGTAACCACATACAAACGATAAAATTAATTTTTCGTGTTGCAATCATAGATCTTAAGGATAAGAAACAATTCATATAATTCCAGAAACTTTTATTTCTAGAAGCCAAAGGGGATAAAAGTATTGCTTAATTATTCTCTTAGCCATGAAATCAAACTGCAATGACGTTCGTGTAGTGTTCCTCAGTAGACATTTCTTAATCATCAATGTTTAGGATCATTCAGTGTATTTACTCTACGCGATTATAAGAGGAAATCTGTTTTGGGAAGTGAAAAAAGCAACCAATCTGAAGCTTCCTCCATAGACTATAAAGGTATAAGGATACCATTAACACAACCGAACTGTTGTTCGCATGTACTGTAGAAAAAAAAAGTATTGTCAGTTTTTGCATTCCTCAGTAACGAGGTTCCTAATCGTAGCATTAAACTGGTAAGTCAGGTTTTAGAAGTGGGCATTTTATTAATCATAGCAGCAACGTTTTATATAATTCGAACTGGCACATGTAACGGGTCAACGGCGTCACCATTATCAATGAAACAGTCAATTAATCATCGCCAGTTAGAAATTTGTATATTTCTGTGAATTAAAGAATCTCTTATGTCTTGTTCAATAGAATTAAAGTTAGAAATGGTTTTAAACATAATTAAAATCCATTCTTTGACAGTTTACCTTCTTTACAATGGTATAGTTTCTGTGTTTCCTTGCATTTCTTTAAATAGGTGAGTTACGAATATCTTAATTAAAATTAATTTTTGTAGTAAACACATATTCTCCTATTGCGTATGCTATTTTAATCCATAAACACTACATCTACCTGCTACAAAAACTAGTTTCTTCGTTAACAGTAGTGATAAGATTTGCCTCGTTAACCTTGAATTATTAGCTTTTTGCAGCTTTCACTGACACTAGCTACAATTTAATTCTGTTATCTTCATCTCTAAAAGAATAAATATCATTTAACTAAGAGGTAATTATGCATATAAGCGTTTAATTAACTCTCTTACCGCTTGATTACATGAAAACTCTGTTAACCTTGTTAAACGAAACCGGTATATTTAACCTTTATATTTTGAAGGAATTTTTTTTTTTTTGCTACTCATTTACGATAATAACATAAAATTACTTGTTAATATGGCGATATTCTTTAGTTATGGATCGTTCTAACCCCATTCTTTTCATATTTAGTCGATGACCTACTACCCCGATACAGAGCATCTTTTTTTTTAGAATAATTGTCGTTAGTTTGGCAGGAAATCATGCATACACTCTATAAAAAAACAATAAAAAAGACACTACTAATTTTAAAAACTCGCATTGTAATTGCGTAAATTGCTTCATAAAATACTACAAATCAAATTTCATATTGTGATTAAGCTTCGTCTATAGGATAATATTAAGAAAAAAACACCCCTTATCCGTAAGAATGACTCATCTATAGCACGAAAGAGTGTCGAAGCTGTTTATTACTAACATAGAACAAAAGCTACACCTGAAAAAAAAACACGAGAATACAAAAAAATATACCAAACAAAAGACTATATAAACAATCGCTGTTTTTCTTCAGGCAAGTGTAGGCTACGCTTGCAGTTTGCGTGAATGTCATGCGTTATGCAAAGTACTATACTTATACACAGAACATAGATTAACATAAAACTATTATTTCCTAAAAGACACTAGTTTTATACGTTTACAAAACACATTCCATAGTTAAATGGTATCTTACTGCAGTCAATAATATATGATTTACCTGAGAGAAGGAAGGTTAAAGATGTCACATTTTCTGTGTGTTAAAAGGTTTAAGGCAAGCAGGTTTTTACATGTAAAAATTACCCAAAAAGCCGAATAAACTAGAAAAATATATAAATATGGAATGACCTCGCGATTAAGTATTTACCATTCCTAGAATATACTTTCTCGTCAAGATACACTGTAATTCTTGTAAATATATATTTATATTAATCATTTTTTGTAGGTTATTTTCTGGTGTTTAAATTCCCCAAAATCTTCGAGGGTAAGTGAAAATTTGTAGTGTTCCTCAGTAGACATTTCTTAATCATCAATGTTTAGGATCATTCAGTGTATTTACTCTACGCGATTATAAGAGGAAATCTGTTTTGGGAAGTGAAAAAAGCAACCAATCTGAAGCTTCCTCCATAGACTATAAAGGTATAAGGATACCATTAACACAACCGAACTGTTGTTCGCATGCACTGTCGAAAANTAATTTTCATTTTCTGACGTTCTAGGATCAATCGGAATTTAAATACCACGAATCTCTGAAAGATACAGACGTATTGTTTCGTGAGAAAATCGAAGAACAATTGGCACAGGGTGTCACATCACTTTCTTTAGGTTAATTTTAATTAAAAATTTGGCAAACACAGCAAAGCTTTCAATAGTATTATTATCATATGCAAATTTCTTAATCTATATAACAGTTTTTGTGCAATTATAATAGGGTATATATGTAGCCATTTTGTATGAATTATACATTATATATTTTTATAAATTATTTAGCAAATTTAATAAACAATTTAAATTTTATTCCTCTGTCTTACTCATTTTTTTTCAACTTCCTAAATTGAGGAAAGAAAAACACCAAATTGCACATCCCTAAATCAATGGTAATTGAAATTATATTATGACACAAGCATGAAACGTCACACACGGATGATTTAATGACGTTATTATCCATCATTTATAACAATTTCGTATATCACATAATAGAAAAATAGAAAACATTGTATGACTCATACTAACCTACTTGATGAATTCTTTTTTTTATGAGCAGCACTTAAAAACAACTATAATAAGATAAATTTATTATGGTATAGAACAGTACAACAAGTAATACCCGATGAAGATCAGCGCGACCTGATTTCTGGATGACTCATTCATTGTCACTATTAAAAAATAACCAGGAAAAAAACGTATATGTTTATTTCTTTTATGCAGTATATATTACAACGTAATCAAACCAGTTGTCGTGTAACATGTCAGCATACTTATATATTTAAATATATACAAGTATGTCGACATTGCTTACTCCATCCTCATATACAATATATTAGAATCATATGACTACACTGGTCGTGGGTTCGCTCCTTATGAATGGCTGGTTTCTCGTGTCTAACACCTAAATAGGAACAAGTTTGTCAGAGAAAGTCCACAAAGAGGAATCCCTCCTTTGACAGATCGCCTGTGTGTTGCCTAATCTTATATCATTAATCCAATCCATATAATTATATTTTTCCAAGAATATTAAAAAAACATGCTGAAATTTTCGGGCATTTTATTAATGGTATTCCGCTTTACCATTCTGAATGAACGTTGTTATACAAAACTATGGTTGCACCTGGAAATAAAACTAAAATATGCTGAAACTATTTTTAAAAATGGAACGTTTGTGTACGTTGATAATTATCTAATTTAATTTTTTTTTTCCGGTTACAGTATCTTTGCTCACTTCCTCTTCGATATGAGGAAGACAAGAAAGTAAGCGTGACGACACGGGTCACATAACACAATTTTTTTTTTTTTGAAATTTTTATCAAGAGGTCTCTCTACCACACAAGAATTATTAAATTATTCGAAAAGAATATCTACGGCAAAAATTCTAGAGATGATTTTATATTTAGGTTACACATTTAACTTGTTATAAAGAGCTCAGTACATTTTGCAATGTACTCCTATCAATCAGAGCTCTGACTGACCATGCAAGTACAGTACATTACAATTGGTGCATTGCCTGGTAAAGTGACGTGACTAATACAGCAAACCAATGACGTAGCCCGTTTCATTTGAAACGGAGCGTCATTGGTTTGCTTAGTTGTATTAAAGCCGCTCTACCAGACAACACGCTCATTAATCATTCTATTGTAGTACTGAAATTGTACGTTCCCTCGACCACTTATCTTTCTGAGACCCCCAATCAGGAGCACCCGTACATAGGGGCACTCTGAACACGTGGTTCCTCTTTCGTGTCCGTTGCCCTTTTCTTAATCTCTAAGAGGACCCAAAACAACAGAAAATTCGTGACTTTTAGCCTATTCTGCAAATATAATAATAATAATAAAAATAAACTAGTGAACGATATTTGTCCACTGACCCATGCAACTTCGTCGTATGTTGAAAATACCCCCATTGCATGTTTTTAAGGCCAAGTTAGCCCCGAGTGCAACACCTTGTGGGAGCGCTGATTCGTCGTTGATTCATAGAGTTTGAAGCTCATTGCATAATGTACGATGCCCTTTTTTTAAAGCTTGTGACCCCTTTTTCATAGTCCGTGGGCGCCGTGCCCCCAATAAATAATAAAATTCATAATAAAAAAAAAACAAATATGAAGACACATTCTTCATACATAAAAATGCGACGAGGCCCCAGTATATGCGAGGACTCCTGATAGCAGTTGATGGCTAGATGGATTTCGTGATATCTCATAGTTACAATTAATGCTAACTTGATGACTGCACGGTTCGTTAAAGATCCTCCATTATGTTAACATTAAGATTTATGTAGATTTATGCTTCGCTGTGGCACAAATCAGCTAAATCCAGGTGGCAGCATTGCAAAAAATTGAATTCTAGTTAGTTTGATGGCGCCACCTGTTGCAGAAAATCGTAGGCTTTTACGCGGTAAAAAAAAAAGCGTCATACACACGTGACTCCGTAACAGGAGTAGCGACATCTGTTATCGAACAGAGTAATTACAATATATGGCTGAAGTGGAAGGAATTTTTTAAATATTACTCATTAAATTTATTTTTAAAATTCGGTGATGAAGTAATAAATTGCGATAGAAACTTTCCCGTAAATTTCCTCAATTTCTACATTATTTTTCCTCTAATTTCATAATTGCTAGTATATAAAAGAGTGTAGAATTAATAATAAATTATATCGATACGGAGATAAATTTCTAAATAAAAAAAAAAGAAAATAAATAAATTTTCTCGCTATACGGCTGCATATACTTTTTCCTCATCCCCAGAGGAAGGGAGAAGAGGAATTTTCCTCAAATGAAACCTAGTGTAGCTGCCACTTAAACAGTATCGAAATTCCTTTCCACCCGAGCGATCGTTTTCCTTCCGTTTCGATAAACCGTTGAACCGATTAATCGAGTGACAGAATTTATTAAAATTATAAAACTACGATTTTGGACGAGGAAATGATTCGTCGAATCACGTGACTGTCTTGCTTTGATGACGCAACAATGAAAATTCAAAAAAAAATCGCATTAATCGCTGCGTAAATTGGCAACACTAATCAGATTTGGACGCCCCCTGCCGAGATAGAAGCATTAAAATTTAGTGACGTCATATCTGATGTAATAAAAGGGAAAACGTATAAAGGAGAAAAATAAATTTACATAATAAGCAATGAGATAATAAATTTGAATAAAAGTAGAAAATAAAACTGAACTTTCATTGTTTTAAAACAGGAAAAAAAAAGTAAATAATCTATATTATTTATTTATATTATTAAACGAGTTAGAATTTCAGAGAGATAAGAAAAATTTCCTTTTATACCAGATAAGAAAACTCAATTTATATAACCAAAATAACAGAATAATTATAAATTTTTCCTCGAGATAAATAGGAAAAGAAGTGATTAAGTTAATAAACTTGTATATTCATTTTTTTTTTTTTATTTTATATATAGAAACAATTCTTACCCTATATTAACGGGCCAATTAAATATTTTGTTGCCTTTCCTTTCATTAATTACGGAAGTTTTCTGTACTTTTTCTTGTCCCTGCAACCTATTCGAGTCATTGTTTAACTGCTTACGCAATTGTGACGTAAATAACTGAACGAAAATTTCGGTTCACGAACCCAGACTCTTCTCCTTTTCTCCGTTCGGGCGTAGATTAATTAGAATGTCTTCAATAGTCAAGAAACAAATGTTAAGCTACGATATCCGCTATTAATATTTACGTATAAGAAACATAATAATCTTCTGTAATTTTATTTCATTATCGTCTTAACTTTTCTAGAATTTCTGCCTTTTTTTTTTTTTTTTTTTTTACTTTTATAGATGCCTCAGAGGGCGCTTTCTCATAAAGCGCCTCCTGCTAAATTTGGAAATTTTAATGTCATTAATGTCGCATTTTTAATTACGATTATACTAAATAAGCAAGGTCTTAATGTTAATTAAGATTTTGATGATATTTAAATTAATTTATTTAGTAAAAATAAACAGATTTATATTTAAATTTTGAAAGGTTTGCTAATAAGCCAATTTTAATTATTTTTCCTCCTACCATAAACTTTCTTTCATCCAGGCAAATGGCGTATATTTGATTTGATGTTTTCGGGTATTAGGAGCCATTTTCTTTAACTTCTCAACACACTGGGTCTTATGAAGGAAAATAAACGTGAAATTAGTCAGCGGTGTAATGATTTTGCTTCGTTAGACATCTTGAAGTTAATTATAACTTAAAAACAAATCGATTTAGAAAATTTTTCCTCCTTTACGAATTCAAGAGGAGTTTTTTAAATTAGCATAAACATGTCACGTGAATTGAAATCACACTGTGCATACATCAATACTTCGAAGTGATGTCACAATAAACCCCGGGTGTGATATCAGCGCTGGTTTCGTTGATGCGCGACATCCGACCGCGCCATTTTGCAGGACTCTTTATTACTTTTTATGCCCTCCGACATTCTTTCAGCGGCCGAATATTCGATACTTTATTGAATCTTATAAATAGCATAAAGTGGCATAGTTACAATGAGACAATTTTCTAATTTTTCTTCTACTTTGTTGCCATTGTAACTAAGATGTTTCTCTGATAATGAGCCCATTAAACTAAAGACATACATGGAATTATTGATGGTAAAATGGTAAATATATCAGAAATATTATGAAATGAAGTAAAAAGTGATTCATAGTTCTACAAACCAGTGATTTCGTGACATAGAAATAATTCCAATTGGGGAGTTACGTATAAAGTCTGCACGCAATAACTAATTTGTTTGTTTGTATATAAAAAAGCATACAAAGAAACAAGACATAAAGAATAATTACGTGAAAGAGTTACAAATGATATATAGATTAATCAAATATTCTTCTCAACTTTTTGTGCAAAATTCTTAGAAAAGGCACTAAGAATACATGTTCGTGTTTTAAATTTTATGCACCTTTTCAAGTCGCTTGCAGAATCCAAATTATTTAGAACAATGTACGTGTTTTAATAGGGAAGACAGAAAATTACACAAGCAAAATTGGGATTTTCCTCTGTGGTTTGTAAATGATATAAATATCACATTTTGGAGTATATATAACATAACTTTTATTCTTAGTTTTTTCATCTCTTGTCTTTCATGAGATTAGTTGTTTTGGTCTAGTGTTTATCGATTTGACGTTTCCTTTCTTCATACGTTTCCTTCCTTCCTACTTTTTACTTGATTTTATCGAAATTAACCTTTGACACGTAAAGTTTTCGCCCAGTTTTTTCGGTGGCTTTTCTTCTTACCTGATTATTCGAGCATTTATTGATCCAGTTTGTGAAACCAGTTCATTTCTAATGTTGACAGGTCCATTTAGATTGCATTCGATACTGTCGCATGATACGTTTCCTGTCTTCCTAATTCTAATTCACAACATCAATTCTCTCCATCGAACCATCTTGATTTTCACATAAAAATCTCGTGAAATACTTGAGATAAACGTCAGGTTTCCTCACAGTGTAAGAAGAATAGGTATACAAAATGTAGCACCATTCAAGCAATACTGTTAATTGTGAGGCACTCCAAGTGAATTTAAACACAGACTTTCAAGGAATTTCGTAGCTTTATATATTATTAATTAATAATCCTGAGTTGTTTGTCTAAAAAAAAATTGTTAACAAGGGATTTATGGGATGATAAATGAGTAAAACTTTTTTACGATTTTTTTTAGTTAATCCGGAAACGATGTAAACACAGATAACTAATGAAACTAGTTTACAGTATTTAGTTCATATTAAATTCAAATCTAGATAAGCACGCATCGGTCTTTTTTTTACGTAAGAATGAAAGTGAAAACCGAAGCTGTGTTTACGTTTCTCATACGTCACACAATGAAATGTGAATCTATTCGGGTTTCGGTTATTTAGAATGAGTTCATATTACTTTCTGGATCAATTGATATTCAACTCGAATTACAATTTTTGATAGGGGGAGTCATTATAAACAATAAAAACCATCTGTGTGTTAAATTTCAGCCAGTGCAAACCGCAAGGCCTTCACACGGTGTATATTTTGTTTGGTATCGTAAATATTAATGCCAGTATTTGAGAGCCATTTGTCGTGTTCTATAAGTGTTTAATTTTCTTTCTGTTTAAACGATTCCTTCTATTTTTATATCAAGTATACACTAAATTTCATTTATATCATGTTCAATGGATTGTTTCGTGGCAATTTTCACTCTCGGAGCCAATTTACACGTTAAATTCCGTGGGAATCGTGAGATTACGTTTAATTTTAAACACTACTTCGAGGATGGCGTAACGGGTATATTTCCATTTTGAAAATTTCCCCAAAGACTCGGGAGGTCAACGATTGCGTGGCAATTCGAAGAACCGTGACCACTCACGTAACCATACAACAAAATGAATGCAAGCAATTTATATGTACTTTATATAGGTTCTTGGATGTGTAGACAGACAGACATACGTAAATTTACTAAAATAACGCCACTATTCGTGCGTAACTTAATAGAATCTCATAATCATAACAGAGAAACTGATTATACACATGCAAAGGTAAACGAGATTAACGGAATTTTGGGTATCCTTGGACAGACAGGTCACGTGACGAAATGGGAAACAATGAACAAGACTAACCAAATTAGAAATTAAAGGTAAACGACAAGGAATATGACTCACGTACAAATGTTTGGAGGATAATTTTCTAAGTATTAATGATTTAGTAATAAAGGAAAATCGGAGAAATGATTTTTATCAAATAGTGCTTTGTGTGGTTGACAAAAAAAAAGTAAATTTGCTTAACCTATAAACAGATCAGGGAAAGAGAAATTTGTCACGTGGTTGACGAAAATTAGAAAGGTGTGAATAAATCACGTTCACAGATACTGTTATGTATTAGAAAAGGGTAGCGTATACCTACACACGTGACTGTATTTTTAACAATATACGTCAAGCAGCGTAAATTTATGGTGTATTATTTGAAAGTTTTATGCTAAAGGATAATATTGTAAAGTTTTATTAAAAGAAAAACAACTTTTTTTTTCCTTTTGTTTGACGTAACGGATACATTTAGGTCAATGTTAGAATATGTTTAATTCCTCAATCATTCATCACCTGCAGCATACAAGCAAGTATGAAGTTGCCTAGGGTAATCTGTCCTTGCCGTCATAGAAAGCAAGGACAGCAGAATCTTATAAGAGGGCGAATGATTTATTGGTACTAAATTTGTTTCGCCTGTAATTTATAAATTGTTTTATTTAATAAAAATATAACTTTTTCCTATGTAAACTGTGTAATTAACAAATGTATTCAGGTTTCTTACAAAACTTATATCACTGTTACAAAAATAGTCATGCCAGGTGTTGCATTGAAAACAATACGTGAGTATATTTACAGCTTCCAATGTTTATGCTAGTAATAAAATGAAAAAATGTATCCATTAGAAGATGTAAAACGATATATTTTTACTTATAAATTACCAACACGAACACGTAATGAGTGTCGAACACCTGTGAATTGGCTGTTCGAATTTACTCCCGTGTGACGTCATTGAGCAGAGGAATTTAATACGCGCGTGATAACATTAAAGTACCAACGAACTGTAAACGTTGTCACGTGACAACACGAGTGTCATTTACAAACGTTTGACATAAAAACATACTTCACCACCTCAACCCTTTTCTAACGAGCTTAAGAAATATTATTTTTCTACCTCCTTCCTATTGTTACCTTAATTTCGATTTTAAAGTAAATAACACACCTACCGCAGCGCAAATTTTATTGTGTCGCGCGTAAAATGTAAAATTTTTTAAGTTTCAGGTATTATTTTATAATAAAAAAGGGGGTAGAAGATTTGCGGGGGGAAGAAACAAAATTTCATTTTAGTAAATCAATCACTTTCGTGGAAATGTAAATCACCTTTCAATTGACAAAACGTTTAACGTTCCATGTGTTTGATGACTTCCTCGTGTCGTAGCCCCGCGTGTTATCGACCAATTTATCCTGTGACTCACCCTATTATCAATACAGCAGTCACATTAAACCTCTTTATCCTCATTTTATAATCTATATATATAAGGTTTGTCAGTTCCCTATACACTTCTAATCCAATCTATACCGAATTTCCTAGAGTTATTCTAGGACCCTTCAGAAAATCTACGCTACAATCAAATCTTTGATAATTGGTAAAGGATAATGAGACAAAGAAGATAACAAGAAAACGTTTATTAAAAATATTTTTAAAAACTTTTATGGTATATAAAACTAATAACAATCTTGAATACGTAAAAAGAACAAAGAAATACAAGTTACATCAGTCATGAGCTTGAGGGTGTCGTTAACGTGTTGGAGACAGACGATTCGTCTACCTTATCTTGAAACAGAAGGGCAGTGTCTACTAGAGATTCGTGGTACTCGAATTCGGACTTATCCTATAATGATAAATACAATTAAATCCTCCAATCCCGTTACACTCTCTCGCGCCTACACCTAACGAATTAGATGTACTGTACACTCACGTTTCCACCAAGGTATTCTGGTAGTTTATCCGCTTCCACGTATTCCATGATGGTTTTCTTGTCGACAAATTTGATTCTATCGATACCGGACTGGGGTAGAAACCTCTTGATGATATTCCAAACCGCTAAGGAGAGAAATTACATGAGTTTAGAGCCTTCATGACACATTATAAACGAAAGACAGAAAATCTTGTTCACCTTCAAGCAGCCAAGGTAAATTGAACACCAGGAAATAACCTGCAAAGATTGGAATGAATTAATCAGCAGTTTTTATCTTACACCCCAAGGTTCTGGCAAGAAGTGAATTTTAAAATTTTATTTACGTATATAACTATTTAAGAAACTTCAGAGGAGGAATGGTTGCAATTCGACAATGAAATATGGCTTAGAAGATTAATCCTTCCGAAATTCTAGCTCGACAATTCAGAGATTTAGAAACCAATGGAAATTTTTAATGATATAAATTAAAGCTCAGCTAAAGTTGATAACCATGGACACAACATTCCTAAATCTCATAATATATAAGATTTAGGAGCATCGGAGGAACGAGGAACACAAAGCGAAACTCACCTAAGAAGCAGGGATAATGACGTCGAAAGATAAAGTTGGCAAATTCCACCATATCCATGTTCTGTAAGGGAAAAACAAGTCAAACACCCAAACTAAAACTGAAATCCGCAAAATGGTCAACTGAGGTACTCACCACATTGCTGAGTCCTGCATTGGTACAGTCGATAATAATGGTGACGCCATAATGATTCTTCTGGTAGATATTTTCCAACCAATATATTAGAAACTTTTCACCGATCTCCCGCTCTCCAGGTCGAGTCTTCCTCAACTTATTCACCTTAATGATCACTGAAAGAATAGCCCTTTAAGTCCTACCATTTTGATCCAACTAAGAGAGAAAGAGCGCTTACCCACTTGACGACCATCCTTATCCTCTTTAAGATATATACAACCCTTTCTGTCGAAAAACTCATCAGGGAGCTCCTCCCTCTTGATATCTAGAAAACAAAGATAGTTTTAATACCTGTCAAGTGAGACACGAATAGAAAATTTCGTAAGAACTCAACCTTGAACTCCAAACTCTTTGCGCCACTTAAAGTTCTCATCTACCATCTTTGTGGCTCTCTCAATAAGATTCTTAACGTCTTGGTCCAAATATGCTTGATGAGCGAGGAATTTGTGAGCGTATAAATCGTCATTCTCGAATCTCTGTATGTCCTTCTCGTAATACAACTCTGAAAAAGGGGTTCAGATGGATGACGACACACCTGAAAGCCACATCGACTCGTCTTATAGCCTTAATGCTAGGGTAAAGCAGCACGCGATCTACTATAAATACATCGTTACACTTAAATGTTACTCAATGGGGATCATGACCCCAACTTAAAGAGGGGTAATGCCAAAAAAAGGTCACCTCTAAATATGCTAAATTATCCCTAAAGGGGGTATTTCGAGAAATCGAAATGGCACTCGATTTTCCTGATAAAGATCAATAAACAGGGTAACCAATGTATAATAATTTAATACTCCCCATGTAGTGCCCTTATCGAAAATCTAATTAGGTCAAGAGAAACTAAATACTTTAATGAAACATCCACGCGAAGTGATGCCGCGCGCGAAAGTAAATAAGCTCATTTACATACGAAATTTATTTAATATTCAATTTCTTTTTAATAAATAATTTATTGGATATTCTTAATTTAAAACCGAGTAAAAAGTTATTAATTCTTAATTAGAATAAGAAAAAACTTAACGTTAATGATTTAAGAGACGTCGCGACGCGACGACGCGCGCCGAAACAATAAAACATCCGGAATACGGTGTGGAAACCGTACATAATTACCGAATAATTATTTTTCTCTACCAGACGGCGAGTTTAAAGTATTTACAGTAAACATAAACAATACTAGAAGAGTTTAATGCCCCGTCATCAGTTTTAATATTACGTCATTAAACATCATCTAAAAATATACAATAGTCACATCACGTGTTAGGGTGATCACTTTGTTCTCCTAATAGAAACTCACCTGGTTGCTTCTCGAACAAAGGAGAGACTTGGCTCCTGAATGCCTTAAGCAGCTCCTGATCCACAGGAAATTTTCTCAGCAGTTCAGCAGTCATCGCGTATCCGGTCGGGACACAACACTGTCACCTTCTCGACCGACCCACGCTTCGTTAATTTACGTCATCCAGCCCTACGCCGCGTTACGGCAGACTGTTGAACTATAAAAACACCGAGCATCATTTCCGTTTCCTGTAGAAATCCGAAAGTGAATGTAGTGTGCGTTACGTTACTTTTTTTTTTGTTTATAAATACAAATAAATTCGCGACGTCGTTATCTATTCCGTCACGCCTCGGCGACGGTTGCGACGCGACGCGAAACGAGAAGCGTTAAGCGTCATTTTGTTTTTTTAATATATTATCGAGTTTTTTTACGCACGGATAAGCGCGATTCGTAATACGAACGAATTTTCGTTATCTCGAAAATCGCGCCATTTAAGAGATTATTATTTATTCTCGTAGCGGCACGGCGCGACGTCGCGTCGCGTGTGAATTTAAATTGATACGGTACTGTCGTTAGCGATAATTGTCAAATGATCTTATTGTGGCATATAAAATTGTTGTATCGTTGTCTATAATGATCTAATTATTCAGTAAAGCGGTAAAACAAGATCTCATTCCAAACAAATCGCTAACGAGAGCGTAAAGCGACGCGATAATCGCTTCGTTTATGACGTTCCCAGGCAAATTTGCCAATCATATCGTTAAACACAGAAATGTCATCACTGACGTAGTTAATTTGCATACAGTTTCGTTTCTTGAACCGCAATTAGGTATTTACCGCTTGACTAATCGTTTCAATGAATTCCTAAAAACATTATAATTATTCAACCTTAAAACCAGAATTAAAATTACACGAAAATTTCCCTCGTTTGTATTATCAGGAATCAAATAAAAAGTGTATCTGTATCTTCTTGTACACTTTAATCGCGCGAAGCCACTTAAATACGCTTTGCATTCGCGCGTCGTCGCGTCGCTTCCATTTCATAATGGCGGTCATCTTACGATGCAACCATAAATAAGTACCGTTTTACTTTTTAAATTTTATACTTATATTTATTAACTTTTATATAATCAGCAACGTGTGTAATAAAAAGAATACATAACAAAATCTTATAAAATTAAATTTACAAGGATGTGAAACGTAATTACAATACAACAAACAACATAAAATTATAATAAAAAACTGATTTATATAATATTTATACCACTTACATACTGTATTCTTTGAGTAATCATTTTAATATATATTTTTTAAAAGAATTGTCTTGTTTCTATTTCTATATCTTCTTGTAGCATTGTTTTATTTAGTATTTTTTTAAATTCCATTATAAATATTGTACGTTCTTCTTTGTTTTTCTATCAGTGGCGCGCCATCATTGGAAGCGGTGGATGCGCCGCTTCCCTTGTATTTTATAAAAAATAAATACATATTAATTTTAATTATACGAAAATAATCGCGCAATATTTTATTATAACCGCATTACGTATCTTATTACAAATTTCTATATTACGCGTGAAAAAAAAAAAATAAGATCGCTATTGTATATTCGAATATTAGTGGAAGAGTGGAAGCGCCGTATCGTCGGCATCCAGAAAGCCAGATTCGTGCACGTGCTTTACGGAGCACCAACCTCACCCGGTTTAGCCGGTGGAAGCCTAGGACCTCGGGGTGGATGCTACGCTTATACCGCATCCAATTCTATCCACGACCAGTTCTGGGCTGTTAGCTGCCCGCCCGTTAGATATTTGCGAGTAATATAAAATAATGGGCCGCCCTCGCCCCATTATTTTATATTACTCACGAATTTTAATGTTAAACCGGTTATATTACGATTTCGCATGTCACATCTATAAGGGGCTGTAGAAGAAAACGTATACAATTCTTGTACAATGTTAAAAAATTAACCGTTACTTTGGTAGCATCGTTTACAACTAAATTTAATGAATGAGAGAGATGCGCGAGGTACAGAAAAAGCTCTAGGATTTCTAAGTGGTTAAGATTTTTCCAATGATCCAATTTTTATATTATTATTTTATGGGTCTTTTGGCATTGGGCAGATAATCATATGCAATTTTTTTATTTCTGTGGCACGTATGGTCTATGTACTTAACTCAAGGACTGATCCAGAATTTTACGAAGGATGATACGAATCAACAATTAAGTAAACTGATTTGATTACGTAAATAAGTATGCAGCAAGCAGCATGCACTTCTTTGTAAACAATTTAGGTGCAGAACACGTAAATTACTGTAAAAATCAAAACAAATGATAAGTAACAAAAAACAGTAACGCTTTTCTATACGTATTACACGTTCCAGACACGTGGCCTTGACTTCAGCAGCACAGATCAGGATCTTCATTTGCATAATCTATTCTGTTGAGGCTGACTGATTTCAAGAAGGATAACTGTAAATCTAAAACAAATAAGGAACTTTCACATAAATTTCCCAGTAAAATATATCTAGGGGATGTCATAAACTCATTGCACAAGTTTCTTCTATAAATTTGATTTTTGAAGAAGCTTGCAAACCCGTTCACGGCCGATGTTCCTTTACATTTCAAATTCCAAAGTTTTACTTCCAGCAATGACGTAGATTTATTTGTTTATTTTAATAACTTCTCAATAATATTTCGAAATTTTTCAATCAATAAAGAAATAAACATTTAGAGAATAAGGCCAATAAACATTTCTAATGCCAGCATCAAACGGGCATAATTGTAAATGAAAACAATGAGTGGCATCTCTCTCTGTACGATCCAATGCTGATGCCATCTGTTGAGATAACAACGAAACTATTTTGTTTAGACATCCAGAAATTCGGGGACTTCTCTGCTTCTAGTTAAAAGATTCAAGTGCCTGAATATATGTTTGTCAGCTGCAGAAGCTACCTTTAGAGGTGTTTAATTAAAACACAATAGACCAAATGGTTTGATTTAAGATGGCGCCCAGCGAACTAAATTGGAATTAACATTTATTTTGTTTAATAAACGACCGTAACAAAGCTTACAAACATTTCCCTTGCAAGTTCTATAACGTTGGTTTTTCAGAGGAAGATGCTTATATAATTTAACACTTACAGTACCACCTATCTTTTTCCAGTTGTTATACAATAGAAAGTATTGTATTGGAGAAAAATCCATATCTTCTGGATTTTTTGCATTTCTCGACGTTTTAATGAAAATTTTACTTGCTATTATTATTTATAATTTTTTTTAAATCATCCTAACCCGAAAAATAAAGCTTTTTGTCTTTTATAAGATAAAAAGCATTACTTTTTAACAACATCTGTTAACAGATGGCGCTACACGTAATTTCCCTTAACTTCCGGCTAGAGTGGCAGGAAAGTTATGCTAGACCCCTGCCAACTCGATTATTTTTTTAATGCCTCATCAAATATATCGTTGAATTTATAAACGTAACGCCAGGTTATAGATATGAAGTTATTTCTATCAAAATTATGCAAATAAGTAGAGAAAAGTTAGTATTTGTAGCCCGGGCCACCCTTTTCTTGTTAATAAATAAAATAGGCCACGAATGGCAAACCATTAACTACAGAAACAATACCGTAACGAAAATTTCCTCATTAATTAGCATAATTTTATATTTCTAAATATTCCAGTTACGAAATTAATATCGTTAAATCAACTTATCTCTAAAGAAATTATTTTTCTTTTTATATTTTTGCAAATTTATTATGTAACATATTTGTATATCAGCTACTCATTAACTGGTAGAAAGTTCAATAGTCATGGATTTCTTGTAAATATATATTTGTTAGAAAATAAACTTTGAACTCTGAACTTCGAACGTCATTCCTCTGTCAATACGATCCTTCGGAAATTTTATAAAATTTTTAAGAGGGTTGATCGCAAGGAGACTCTTAGTATTTTCCCAAATAAGAACTATTTCTTTCTTTAATTCTTTTGGCCACGTGAGGGCCTTTTAATCATGCCCACAATGGGCCTACAAATTCGATCAGGCCCACCATGGAGGTGATCGGGATTTTCTTAAAATCTCTTTCCTCCTTGTGGATAGTGAGATTACCTTTTTTTAGTAAGCCCATCATGGGTTGTGTCAGGTCCACAATGGGCTTGCTAAAACAATCAAGGTGTTGAGAGTCGGACATGACTCGCCCTCGACAGACCAACCGAAAAATTCCTGAGTTTTTGGACCGCTTGGATTCGATTCTGGATCCACTAGCGTTTCAAGCTGAGGCCTTAACCACCTTGAACACCCCTATCCCAAGTAAGAACTTGACAATTAAATTCTTATTTACATTTACCCTCAATAGATGGAAATATATAAGAAAGAGACAAGTACTAACATGGCGCCATCTCTCGAATTTCGAGAGAATTATTTAATTCGTTTTATTGTATATAGCCTACATAAACGTTATTTTCTTGAATTTATGGCCACTACAGTAAACACCTATTCTTCACGTATGTAACACCTAAATAAGAGCCAGTTTCCAATAGAAAGTCCTCCCGGGTAACACCACCCCCTTAGCAGGTGTCCCATTTATTAATTAGTTTGATGAGTCAAACTAACCAACTATTCCAATTGTAACATAAAAGTACGAAATTACAACAACCCTATTGTTCTAAATGTACAGTATCATAAGAAGTCGTTTAAAAAACTGCCACAGAGTGGCTCTTCTTACGCTACAATAAATAGCGCCTCTCAGTGGCATTCTAAATTTATATATGGTGTTAAATAGGACTTAAAATTTCAAATTTAAAGTGTTATTGAACTATTTTGTCGGGCCTTGTAGGTATGAGGATGATGTGTTGAAACAATGACGTTTGCTAAAAGAGATTCACACCGTTAACCTCCAGATATCGAAATTTAGACACGCAGTCATTTCGAAATATGGACCATCCAGTGATCCCGATTTCGTCACATTCTTGTTTACATTTATTATCAGCGATATTTTGAACTCTACGAATGCCCTTTTGTATTTTTTCTTCTAAAAATCCCGAAAAGACCTCGACAATTTTCTAGGAAACAACTCTAGGACTCTATAAACATTAAAACTAAGCTAGATAAAGTCTCATTTTGTGACTCACGTAAGCCTTCAGGCTAGTGTGGGTTTATTAATGGAGGTAACTGTACCCCCTTTTGGGTGTTTTACCAGCGTAACACCTCAGGTATTACAAAATTTTTAAACGTATACTGTTTACTTCCTCTATCCCTTTAAACTATTCGCTTCGTTAATTGGAATTACAAGTAGATAATTTGCTTAGTGATAATTTATTGGTATAATGGAACCAGTGGCCTCCTAATTCTACACTTAATAATTCGCTCGAAGTATTGTGATAAAGAAAATTTCTCAACTCTCTCGAGTAACTGAGGGACTGCTTTAATGACTTTCAATCGTTCCCCACGTAGTGTGGAGAAATTGTGGGGGAAAATTTAAATGGGTACAGAGCATATAGAAGAGCTTACAGATAACTTCTAACATGTGTACAGACTTTTGATTTTTCTGTACATTTACTTAATCTATTTAGCTCATAGGTCGTGTCTACGGTCATCTCTGTTAAACTGTAACACCTCTATAGTGTTCTAAAAGAGTTTTGAAGTAGCATCATTATCATACTACTATACTAATTTGCTTAGTTTCATGGGCACTATATTTTTAGCATTACAGTATCCTGAAGATACTACAATACTTACCAAGAAACAAAGAATTTCTGTCTTCATAGGTTACTCATACTTCTTACCGATTTCAAATTATAGTTTATTGAATAAACTATGAAATTCTCATAGATTCTACAACCAACAGGAATTAGAAATCTTTCCGTTCTATGTGTTTACGTCTCCAAAAAAATGGGTTATTGTGCTGGCAATGCCACTTTCTAAGTGTAAACAACTCTTCCTTTTAACGCTTCAGAAGTGGGACAAACTTTTATTAGATAACTCCAAATTAATTTTCCTTTTAATAAAAGCAACAACGACACTAGAAACATGCTAAAAAGGTAGACTTTTGCTAACGATAGTCTTTAAGAACAGAACCAATTATTTTATCAATAAATTTATTAAATAACCAAAAATATAGACATTAAAGACAGTAATTTTTTAAGTCAAACGGGAATTAAAAGTCACAGTTCGATTTGCATTACTTCATCATGCAAACTGCACTATTTCACTATTCAAACGTCACCGTTTTACCATACAAACTGCACCATTTTACCATGCAAACTTTATTATTATAGTGTTTCCTCGGAAAACATCGCAACTCACAACACGTGGCAAGTTACAAAACACGTTTCTCAATTATTCCAGCTGTACACTATCATTTTACATACTAAAATAACTACTGTATGTATTTTTTTAGTGTGACAAGTAAAAATACCCAAAATAATCCGTAAATCCTGTGTTAAACTCCCATACTTTATTTAAAAATATGTCAAACACAGTACCATAAATACTTGGTGGCTGGTGTACAAACTTTCATTGAATTGTTTTATGTACAAAGCTTGTAAGATCGTAACTAATAAACTAACCACGTAACTCGAGAACAATTTACGAATGCACCTCGTATTGTATAACCACATAATTACGGTAGGGAGATAATTGGAACACCGAAACTGTGTGGAATATATTATTATATAAGGCATGACAATAAAAAGTTACGTGTTACTTATTACCTCACAGTCCATTATCCCGAAACAATAGGCAAGAAAACACTACTTTTTCGCCTAAACTTTACTAATAATAGAACGTTATATGACCCGTAATTGTCAAATTATTGTAACTAGGACATGATTATTTTAACTCACGCGATGATCCGTATATCTTGTAAAAGGTGAGAGTGTTGCCATCCAGATAGCCCTGTGTTAATAACCAAACAAAATTCTGACGTATACAGAATTGCACTTCTCTTCTTCTTCATCCAGGCAAATGGCGGACGGATCTTACTGTACTTCTACATGGGTATAAAAGAAGGGTAGTTTACACTAAATATCGACCTCTAACCTTTGTTAGGGGACAGGGCTATAGTTTTATACACTCGAAAGTTACTCGGGGATATAGAGAGCTTCCATTTCCGCTTATGTAAAGTAGGTCGCATCACCTGTTTTGTTTCGATAGACAATAACATACGCGATGAATAAATTCGATTATCCGGCTCTAGTCGTTACTATTATACACGATAATACTAAAATCGTACTCACTCCCGGTTAATTTTGCTCAAAATAGAAACTACACCTTTTTATTTTGTTTGTTTGTTTTTTAATTCAAAGGTGTAAAAGAGAAAGGACGTGAACTGTGAAAACAGCTGAGTAACGTTCTTAATTGTCATCGAATTGGGACGCGTACCCCTTCGTCTGTAAAGTGTAATCGGTGCAGGCGGGAAGCGAAAAAAAATTCGCCGTTTTAGCGCGCCGATCGGCGCAATCGTTTCTGCAAGCCGCCAGGTGAAACCCGGGCGCCACCGTCGCTGGATATACCCGCGTGATGAGGCAAGGCGATGACGTAAAACCGGTCGGAGCGGCCGATTTATCCCATTTATTAACACAAATCCGGCGCAGAAGCGGGGTCGAACGAATCGAGGTGAAGTGATAACACGAGAAGTAACTAAGATGACGGAACCCAGTCGGTTTGGTATCGTCGATTATGTGGTATTTGCGGGTATGTTGGCCATATCAGCTTGCATAGGCATCTACTACGCGTGCAGCGGTCAGAAACAAAAAACTACCAAAGAGTTCCTCCTGGGAGACAGGAAGATGAAAGTCTTTCCAGTCACCATGTCTGTCTTAGCCACTTTCGTCTCTGCCATAACTCTTCTTGGTGTGCCTGCTGAGATGTATATGTACGGAACCCTCTACTCCATGGCAGGATTTTCTCTGATAATCCTGTTACCTGTTACAGCATTCTTCTATATGCCAGTCTATCACAGATTGGGTATCACCAGCACTTATGAGGTAAGCCAGAAACTGTGGTAGCGGGATACGCGTAGATAAGAACCCTCGACAGTTCGGTCGCGAGTTTAGTAAACTAGAGACACTAGAGGCTAAGTGACGTGGGTTCGAATACAAATCGATTGTAAAAAAGGGGTGAAGTAATTGATACAATAGAGTGAATGCACGTTAATTCTTATACAATTGTCTTTAAAATGATACGAATACGAACCTTTAGTGTCGAAGTTTTTAAATTTCGTCACAGAAGGATAATCACGCGCTAACTCTATTCAATTTCTCACGTCACACAGCCACGCGCGCTTCGTTCCACTGCCATAATAACCGATAAAAAAAAAAAACGTTCCCTACTCGTCTCGACTTCATCCCTCGTCCGTCGTCACGGGAGGGGGGTCAAAAATCGTCCTTTGACCTTTGATCTACAACAACCGCGAGCATCATTTCTCCACAAGACGATATGAAGTTCGAGGTCAAAAGAAAAAAAAAAACATCGAACTTTAATCCTTTCGTCACGGGTGACATTGAGGCAATTTTTGTTTTCGATAAATGAGGAAATCGATAAATTTATTTATTAAATCGAATTTCAAAAATGGAGGATGTGAGACAAGCGCGAGCGTATAGAAAAATCATAGCCTATATCGGCTATTCCCAAAATTGAATAATATATCCTTTCCTTCTTTCGACGTATCCTTTCCAATTTGCATATCCTGAATTAAAAATCAAGCTCGATTATCCGGGGGACGACGACATTGCCGATCATCCCCTTCCCGGTTCTCGGAATCGTCGCTTAAGTGGGTCACGTGTCACGATCCTTTCCAAAAATACCCAAACAGGTAGTGCCATAAAGGCCAATAACCATGTAAATTAATTAGAGGGGGGGTGAAGATCACATATAGAGTTTTAACATGCAAAATTACATCTGAAAGTAGATTAATGGTGTTCAATTCACGTTTCTGTACTTGTCCTGTATTATTTAATTTGTTGTACTAGTGTTGGGCTGTTGTATTGTCTATACTAGTGTTGGGCTGTATTCATTTGGCATTACTAATGTTTGGCAGGTGTTTTAAAACACTAAACATTAGAAATAACAATTGAAAAGCCCAAATTTTTCGCCCAAAAAAACAGTACTTTCTCATCCTTAACACTACTTTATCAATTTAATAATTGTTTATTCATTATTTAATTGTATGTCTTCTAACATTTTTGCTACAGATAGTTCTCAACATGCTCAAGGTCTCAATTATTAAGTTAAAAATCTATTAATTTGATTAATTAATTTACACCTAGAAACACCAAATAACTCTCGTTCGACCTTTAATTAATATCATTATTCAATTATGTTAATGAACCGTTAATTAATAATAGAAACCTTGAGCAAGATGAACTCAATCGGTAAACAAACTCCGTCTAACTCCAATTAAAATGTTAGTGTCCTGCAATTGATAGTGTTAACGGGTGAGAAAAACTTCCAAGTGTTTCTTGGACGAGAAATTTCCCTGTTTTCAATCAATGAAATTGTATAGAAACACTACAATTATCAATATTCAATGTTTCGTCACGATCTGTTATGCACAAGGGTAATATTTAGTGTGATTTCTTGTCTTCCTCCTCCTCCTCCTCTTCCTTCACATTTGTAGTGAATTTTTGAACACAATCACTAGACAAATTGGTGAAGTGAAGACAGACAACATGGATATAGAATCTGGTGTGTTATTCCTTTATTATTCAGAACAATACGTAGCTTCCGGGATGTTCACCTACCCGGAAGACAATATTGACAATCATTTGTCCTCGATAAACATTGTTTCTATAAGAAATTAAAGTGTTCCCGAAACTGTGACGTCAGTGAATAGGCATTTTTTTTAAAAGAAAATGCTCTTACAATTCCACATCACACAAAAAAAGACCTGTTTCTGCAGCACGTATACCATTTACAACGTGTTATTTTCAATACCTATTGTTAAGCTGGTAATTGTTTTCGTGGTGTATTCGTATCAGTCACACGAGAAAACAGTTTGACACCTATTCACATTATTTTATGACGTTTCAATAACGTCATAAGGGTTCGAATCTCGCGTGCTACTTAGATTGATCCAATTTTAATTGTAGAAGAAGACGTGGGTTCGAACCAAAAACGTTACAAAGCACGGCAATCTGTCCATTTATAGAACTGGGTTTTCCCATTCGTAAACCAAATTTAGGTAAAATATGGTTAAGCACCTAATTAAAAGTTGTAATTAACCATTAATAACAATCGAGGGGATGGAGCTGACAATCGATTAAATTTGCCAAGTGGAACGTAACGACTCTAAACACCACACCAAACTAGATTAGATAATCCAGTTTACAGCTTTCGCTCCTGTTTAACACTTTTAAATAGGGGCGAAAGGTCAACACTGACGTTCGTGACATATCCGAAACTAATGCTATAACGAGGGAACCAAAATTCGGGGGTTTTCATTGAATAATTGGGAAGGGATCGTAATCCTAATCCCTTCATTATACACAAATCATGAGTGGATACTAGAGTGTTACGTATTAATCTGTAACAAGTTACTTTTTTCTTTTACAGTATTTAGAAATAAGGTTCAATCGAACGGTGAGAACTTTAGGATCCACCATTTTCTCCATACATATGGTAAGTATGTTTCCTCGTATTCTCCTGGTGTTACGCTTGAATCGAAATTATACATTATTTAGCTAAAGTGAGACGAATTATACTTTAAAATCGTCGATGTTCTGTCGTTATTCATAAAGTGCAATGCGTAAAATGAGTTACGAGACCTCGATTTAACGCTTGAATACACTAGAAATCTAACAAATTCTTTATTTACTTTCAGCTTTATATTAAAAAAATATATGTTCTTTCTACACCTTCTTAACAATAAACTATTCTAGATTTTGTTACTTTCGTAACACCAAATTTTAATTTATAATTTGTTTTAGATGATATATATGGGAATTGTATTGTATGCGCCGGCCCTAGCGTTATCTCAAGGTAAGTGTTTAATTAAACACTACGTTAGAGTTTTCTACAACACTTAACCTTCTAAACACTCCTCCTAGTGACTGGTATTGGATTATGGTTCGCTGTATTATCTACTGGTCTAGTCTGTACCTTCTACACTACTATAGTAAGTGTAATTCTTACAACGTAACACGTTAGTTACGAGGGTAGTAACTGGTTTCTTCGTGTAGGGAGGAATCAAAGCTGTGGTATGGACCGATGTCTTTCAGATAAGCATGGTTTTCGTGGTCATCATTTCTGTTCTAGCTAAAGGTGCTACAGACGTGGGTGGAATGAGTCAGGTGTGGTTAACTGGAGTACGCGGTCAAAGGGTAGAGTTCTTCAAGTAAGTATCGTGCACTTGTTTTGAGGCAAAATTTGAACGAAGCTCTTACTCGTTCTTCGAATTGCAGCTTCGATGTCGATGTCACTACCAGACATACCGTATGGAATCTTATTATAGGAGCGTACACCACTTGGCTGTACGTCTTTGCCTGTAGTCAGTCCACAGTACAGAGGTACCTCGCTCTACCCACACTAAAAGCTGCACAAACGTAAGTAATTCGAAATAATCACACTTATGGCACCCCTATTCCATAATTACAAAGCATTCTTGCATTGCAGGGCAATCATTTGGACCATCCCAAGTGTGTGCTTCATATTTGGTATATCTGCACTAGCCGGGCTGATCATATACACCAGGTACCACGACTGTGATCCTATGAGCACTAGACAGGTGACGGCACCTGACCAGGTAAGTTTAAAAACGTAATAATTTGTTTGTTTGGCATTTCTTGTGTGAAGAAATTGCTCAGAAATTCAAAATTTTTCTAGCTCTTTCCTTTGTTCGTCATGGAAACTTTGGGGTTCCTACCGGGTTTACCTGGTTTGTTTGTTTCTGGAATTTTCAGCGGTGCTCTGAGGTAAATGAACTTCTTTCGAGGACAGACATACGATCGTGCATTATATTCAGCTGATTAAACTCTTCTTTCAGTACAGTTTCTTCTGGTGTTAACTCGCTTTCGGCCGTCACTTTGGAAGATCTGGTGAAAACATACATCAAACCCAACATCACGGAAGAGTGGGCCACGAGAGTCAGCAAAATTTTAGCTCTAGCATATGGTTTGCTTGCCCTTCTATTAGTTTTCGTGGCACAACAATTGGGCAACATCAACCAGGTATGTACTCTGTTAACAAAACATTTCTTCGTGACGGGTTCTTTGGTGACCTCATCTTGTTTGTTTGTTAGGCAGCCTTGTCCGTTGCGGGAATTATGGGAGGACCCCTGTTAGGTGTTTTCACATTAGGGATGTTCTTTCCGTGGGCCAACAGTTCGGTAAGTCAGAATTGGAATTAATTTTCGGTGTAAAAATACTTTAAAACAATCCAAATTTCTTCAGGGATCCATTGTTGGTCTCTTCACCGGAATGGGTGTTTCTTTCTGGATCGCCATGGGTAATTATCTGCACAAACCATTCTATCCCAAAGCCCCCATTTCCGTAGATGGTTGTTTGGATCTGTATCAAAAAGTCACAAATATGACGTCACTTCCGTCTATAATGGAACATCCAGGAAAGTGAGTATCATCTTACTTTGTACGGTAACCCCTGTTACATCTTATCTATAATAATATACTTTCTCGAGTAGCCAAGATGTATTTCCATTGTACAAAATCTCGTACATGTGGTACAGCGTCATAGGATGCCTCCTGTGCATCATAATTGGTCTCATCTTCAGTCTTTTAACAGGCGAGTGTAGCATTTATGATTGTGTTTACATAGAAAATCAGCAATTCGTATTATTAATAAATATGATTTCTTGGCTTTGTTAACACCACAGGTGGAAGGAAGACAAGTCACTTAGACAGCAGATTACTTTCGCCATTCGCTCTGAGCCTATTTAACAGCCTACCCTCCAGGATCCGTCCGAAATTCAACACAACCTTCCAGACTAAAGAGGTAAGCTTCGTCGTCCTCACAGTAAATACTACCTTCGACCCCTTTAATAAATTTGCTGTTTCGTAACAGGAAGAAGCTAAATCGTCCATGGAACACGAGAAGAGCGTGGATCATCCCAACGGGATTGCCAACATCGCCTACGTCCCAAGTAATGCCAACTTCGAGTTACACAAAGTGAACACCTCGCTATAGTGTTTAATTAACTTCTCTACAAAACCCAACAGCACACGGATCCAAATAAAAGCGCAGCAACCACACACACACACACACACTAGAAAGATGTATTCTAGTTAAACTCATGTATTTAATGTATAACATTTTAATTATCTCCCTACGTTATAAGTATATATATATATATATATATATATATATATAGCTTGTATACAAATGTACATTATTTGCGTTTTTACGAAGTAAAATATAATAATACTTTTTGTGTGTTCTGGTATTATATGTTACGATTCTAACACTTGAAAATCGCCACTATGCGCGATGTGGTACAACAATGGGAGACAGATCCGGTATGGACAGGGGTTGAGATTTTTCACCTCATTTCTAGGAAAGGGACACGTGGCTCGCTGCCAAAATTTACCTTGCTGGGTAACTAGACACGAGATGTGTATCTGCACCTCCGATTTTCTATCCATTGTTTGTGAATATATCTATGTCAGGGACAAGCGCAATTACTTTCATTTCGTTTGGAGGTAAAGTCGTAACGCGTAACCACTTTATGCATATTTAACCACAGGTAATGATGCGAGAGGGTGATGTGATGAATACCATATTCGAATTAATAAATGCGAAACATTCGTAACCCCGCACGTAGAAATATATTGCATTCGATCGCGTAACTTCTATTCGTGGAAGCGTAACTTAAAAAAAGTTATGTCCAGGAATTTAATTGGTTAAGGTGTATCTAGTTTCAGAGTCGTAACGGTTACATCCGACTTAATTTTGAAAACCGAATATCGCGTAACGTATGCGTTTATATGGCGTAACAATGAAACAGAATCGACTGTGTCAACAAACAAGTATTTATTGTCATTTCTCCAAAAGTAAACAAACACAAAAATACTCCAAGTTAATCGACGTAACGATGACTCGAGCGTCTGTCCAAACGCTTTAAAATACTTCCAAATAAATGTACATTTCATGTTTTTGATTTTCCGAATGAAATATTGCTTTCCGGATTCCCATTTTGATAAAATTCTATGGCAAAGAAGGGTTAAAACTAATACGTAACACGACGAAACTCAATGAGGATACGCGGATTGGACGACGTACAGAAGCTTCCCTAACCGAAATTTATTGTTTCACTACGTATGCCCTAAAACTGCGCGCGCTAAGATCCGTTCCCCCGTCGGAACCGGAAGTGGAACTGTGTGACCCACCCTCTTAAGTAATGATTCCCTGTCCAATTCTGTAGCGACGACGTTTTCCGTAACTAAAAGAGCCCAATTTCCGACCCACGTGAAGAGTGACGTAATGTAACGCCACCCGCGTGGGTAGGCACCCCTGAGTAGGCCCAACGAAACCCAAAATTTAAGTAGGATACAAAAATCGGCGTTTTGAATTATCCCAAATGTCCATTTTTTAGGAATGCCAAAGAAACAGAAGAGTGGAAGAAGCGCCATTAAAGTCGCACAATGCAGATCTGTCATCCATATTTGATTGTTTGTGGAGATTTTCGTGATTATTGGTGACGATGACGATGGCAACGGTGAGGATGATGCCGATGAGCAGATCTTACAACGGTAGTTTTCGGCTTAACGAGCGTGGACTAGGCATTAAAACGAGTGAAAAAGATGCTACGTAACATATTAAGTGTTGTTACGCTCCGTTGTTACGTACACGTTTTATCTCGAATGACGAGCCCTCGCTACGCAAAAGCAATGCGTTCGCCATTAGCAACTAACACGAACACCATCCCTTCAAACTTGATAGAGAACCCTCGTAAAGAGGACGTGCCCACAATGTTATCGACCCATTGTTTATACCATTTTCGTCAAGAATTCCAGTGCATAGATTACGTGTGATCTCAAGAAAAACATTAAGAGAGTCCCAGGTGCCAAGGTATCGTCTCGTCATAAGGGCTCTCTACAAGTGATGAGAAACAGTGCCATCTGATAATCGTTAAGAGAAATGATGTAGATATATATATATATATAAAGAACAGAGCAGCTATTGATTATTGCCACCATTGTATAGCAAATGAAAGCAAGCAAAAAAGACGCCAAGAATGATGGCGTGGAAAACGTAGGTCTCTCGCTCTCAGGAGATTTCCTCGGTGCCACTTCCTTGCTCCTCCGATTGGTTCTTCAGTTGTTGGTTCCACATGGCACAGTACTCGCGACCCAACTCCAGGAGTTCCTCGTGCCTGAAAGTAAATACCTCGCTCGTTTTAGCCGTTTCTCTCGTGAGAACCGAATCAAAATTGTGCCATTCTTACCTTCCTCTTTCCACGATCCTGCCCTCCTTGATGACCAGAATCTCGTCTGCGTGGACGATGGTGGATAATCTACATAAAAAGGAATACATTATGATTCTAGATGATCTAATTCCAGAGACCGAAGTGATCTATAAAGAACTCACCTGTGTGCCACGATGATGCTGGTCTTGTTGCTGGAGATCAGAGCCAGCGAGGCTTGGATATTCCTCTCCGTTCTGGTGTCCAGAGAAGATGTGGCCTGACAAATGAAATCAAACGGTAAATCAACACGCAACACACTGGTACGTTAATTATATAAAGTAGTCTGTCTTCCACCCTCTATTTCTCAGAAAAAAAATGCATTTATTACAAGAATATTCAAAATTTATGTCAAATGCACCTATCAATTTTCTAGAAGACAACTCACTGCAGAGCACCAGTGCAATCTATGGCACCAGTGCTAGTTTCACAATAAGCTGGGTACAAGAGACTTCAGGTGAATGCCCTTTTCGCCAGACGTCCAATACGTTGCGTTTCATTGACCCTTGTGCAGAGAAGAGCCCGTTTAAGATGGTGTCAAGAACATGGACCTTGACCGAATGGGGCAAGGTTCTATTCATTGAATGGTCCTCGTGTAGAATCTATTGAGAGCTAGGAAGTCCCACAAACATCATAGAAAGACACCAGTTTGCAGGTGATGGCATCATGGTGTGTAGCAGCATTACGCACACATGCTGGTCTGGAGTGGCATTACGCTTGGTGAAGCCATTTGTACGCCGATTTCACAAGTGGTTCCGTTATAACCAAAAACTATAAAGACGAGGTTTTGAAACTTAACATGACATTTTTTCCGAGGTGCAGATTTCATTATCGTGAGTGATAATGCCTGCCCACATGGCATATCAATCACTTTCTTGACAATAAGGACATTCATCTCCTGAACTGGCAGGCAAGATCTCCGACCCTAAATCTCACAGAACATGTGTGGGATGCTCTAAAAACACAAGATGCATCTCGTCAGCCATCCAGATAAAGCTGATAAACAACGTCATAATCAGCAGGAGCAATCACTGTGCAGTTTGTGCAAGTGCAAGTGGTAACCACGCGCAATATTTATCATTTCCGTGGAAAAATATTTACAACAATGCTCTATACTTTGTCTTTATGTTTTTTATTGTTATGCTGCATAAAGGGTTCCTGCGTTATGGGCCAAATTAATGGTTACGCTTAGACTTTGGACATGAGTTTAATATATTGTTCGATTCGTGAAAGGTTGAGGAATGTAACTATCTACAATATTTTTCATAATAAAAAACTACCTGAAAGTGATAAGCTAAAAATTTCAATTCAGTTAACAATTTATGATGAGACCATTATAAAAATCATCTTTTTGTAATGGTATCATCGTACCCACAGATATGCAGGTTATTTTAAGAGATATCTGTTAAACACTGCTAGTATCTTGGTTAAGAAAGGTTTGTTTCGCCATTCTAAATGGTTGGAATGACACAAAAATAACTAAATTAAATAAAGTAGGAACCAGAAATATTAAAAATAAATTGTTTCACCATTAATTGAGGTTAAGTAGAACAAAAATAACTAAAACTCGACATAATCTTCTTTTAAAAAAGTAGAAAATCCTCTTTCATTTGAATTATGAGCAGATAAATTTACAGTTGAACTCCTTAAATTTAGGATTTGTGGCAAATATCAAAGTACTTAACAGATGTAACACAAATCCTTATAAGTCCTTAATGTAAGTACATTTTCGTTTAAGGATGTAAAGTCACATAAAGGGTACATTTAAGATAATAGAGATCATATAGTGTCACTTAGCTAAGCTGCCATTATCTGAAACCATTAAACTTTATCATATGAGGCCCTTTAAAACTAGAATAAAATAAATTATTTGTCATTTAAAGACCTCGTAGGATAGAGGAAGAAAATGACAAAACGATTATTAATGTGTATATTGAACTGTGCATATTTTTAATATAAAGGGGGGGGAATTATAACATATTTAGACACAATTATACCTTTAGCAACTAGTCGACCAACCACATTCTAATCAAGTATGCATTTAGATCGCTGCTATCACCTCACTCTATCTTAAAAGTAGAATGAGGTGGCAGAGAAAAACTGGGTTGACCACTTCAAGTCATTATCCCTTTTATCATCCCGTGGTTTAACGACAATCGAGAGGGTTTTAGTAAACAAAACGAGCTAGTTTTCATCCCAGAAACTAACAAGAAAACGTTATAAACGAGTAAAACGACCTTGAAAAATGCAACTCGTGCTTCACCAAGCAAAATTTTTCTCCTGTTCTTCCCCCCTTACTTCCAAGATAAATTTAGTAAATGTGTCAAAAAGTGTGGAAATTATTATATAGAATAATGAATTATACATTTCAGATGACGTACAATAAGCTTCCTAATGATAAAAGATAACCTCCTGACCTTGAAAGTTAGTTGAAAATCAACACTAACAAATTGGCAGAGTGATACTGCTGAAAGCTATCATATAAACATTACCTCCTGTTCAAATCATAGAGGATTCTTATATCATTAACCTACGGAGATAAAGCATATTTCAGTTTTTAGTCTCTTATTATAACGACCCTCGCCTTTTTTTTTTGAGTAGAAACCTCCCCTAAACTAGAAGAATGCAGTCTACAAGCACACTGCTTTCTAATTTTTCTTGAAGATTTCTAAGAAATATTTGGGAAAGTTAATTGCAATTATGTTATCATTGAATAATCTAATCTTCAAAGTTCAGTGGTGTGTCATAGAATTAGCTAAATATCACTACTACTGAGGCTGAATCAAATGGTTTGTGTATACGTCCTTTCACTAATCTCTGTTTATGTATGAAATGAGAAGTTGATAATGACCTCTCTAGAAAAACAGTGCAGATCTCTTTTAAAATATGATCTTGTGAGAGAAGATGTAGTGATGCAGTTTGATAGTTGATCCGATGAAAATATAAATAATAATCTAAACTGATTAGCAGTATCAAGGTAACATTGCTTATAAAGTGAGGTCGGTAATAAAAATAGACAATTCATTAAGCTATATGCGAGAGTCTCCAACCTTTCTCAGGAGATATAAAAGATAAATCTGTGAGCCACGTATGAAAGATACAATCAAAGATTAACAATATTTTTATTTCCAAATAACAATGCGCATAAACCAATGTGAAATTTGCAACGGCTTTTTCGAAAGGTCCTCAAAATTAGGGATAAATGTTGCGGCACCCAATATTATAATATCTGTTAGATATTCGTCTGGATGGTGATGTTCAGTGTTTTGAATTTATATAGTTTTGTTTTCGTAAAATTTGTTCACAAAGGTAGAAGCAAAAATAGGAAATACTGCCATCATTTGTGGCAAGGTCTACTGATTCTATTTCGCTCTTCAAAAGATTATTAACCAGAATAAAGCAAAACTTATCACACACAAGCTTATTTGCATATGCGTTGTGTGTGTATTGTAAAGAGCAGTAATGGATTCTCCGATTATTATAATTTAGACTTTATAATTATAACTCTTTGGAGCAATTCTCATACCTTTCCACTTTCAGTATAAGAAACAATATACGATAGAAACAAAGTTAAAGATCAAAAACCTTGAAAAACACTTTTATGATCTCATCAAATTGACTGAAAACAAAGAATATCAGCATAAAAATTCTTTTAATTCTGTAAAATTTTTATTTACCTCATCCAACAAGACAAACTTGGGAGCTTTCAGGATGGTCCTGGCAATGGCAATCCTCTGCTTCTCACCTCCGCTCAACTTCAAACCTCTTTCGCCGACAACCGTGTCGTAACCTAGATGGTAAAAGTTTAAATTTCATTATTCATAAGCAATTTTACTTACAAAAGTACTATTTCTAAGATTTTAAGTAACTCAAAATTGTAATGGTTCAAGAAAACAGTTATGTTAACACAGAGTTTGTATTATACATAAATAAACAATAGATAATTCCGGGTCAAAGTTTGCCATCACCTTGAGCCATCCACGATAAATACATGTAGTTATTTATCGCCAGTGACTTGAGCTAAATACATATAGTTTTTATTAATAGTTATATCAATCCATTTAATGACCAAAATAAAAGCTTTGACACTAAAGAATTAGGAAAAAAGTACTTTAAACAGTACTAAATAGGCAACGATTAAGATTAAGTTGCGATCGTGCCATTGCTTGATACAAAAAATGTTTCGTAATTTTATTATCGACAATGTTTAAGAATAACATTTCTATTAATAATATATCAGATAAGTTAAAATTTATCAAACATATAAAATATTTTTAGCAGTTTGCTTAAATTTCTCTCTCCAATTTGAGCTTATCTGGTTTCTGGAAGATATCAATTCTAATTTGAATTCAATGGAAATGCCACAGATCAGAATATTTGCAAAATTTTTAAATACTTGATATAACTTTTAGCATTTAATACTAAATATGAAAGCAAACTACTTAAAGTTTCTTTGTTTTCTTGATGGATTATCAAAATTTCAATGTGATAAACCTTTCTTAATGTGTCCTTGACCGGTTAGTAAAGGTTTAATGGGTTAAAAGTACAATAATCAATTTAAAAAGTTATCAAAAAGTTTAATAAAAACTTCAGAAAACAAAGATATAATCAATTATTTATACCAACTGGATCAAAATTAGGTACGGTAATGTACAGAATACAGGTTCTTTGATAAGTTTTATAAATTAAAATGTAAAATGATGACATCTAACAATATTTCTCCATTAACATCTGAAAGAAATGATACAATAATACCTAAATATTGCTAGACTAATCAGACATTTGACGAACGGATTCTAAATCTTTTTTAAAAAGGAAACGTTTAACCTTCGGTCACCTTGCACTTACATTTGCATGACGATAAATGAATATCAAATAGAAAAACTAATCGATTAAAGTTGCTCCATTTAAAGAAATTCAAAATAATTTATTTTTAAATCTAATTATTTTTGAATGCATTAAAAGCTTCAACCTAAAATAATTTAGTTTATTTACTTAATTATATTAAACGGCAATTATTTCTTGACTAATTCTGATACAAAATTGTGTACAGGCACATTTCTTTTCCTTTATTAACTAAATTAAGTTATATCCTGTTATAAAGTGATAATCCTTATACGTTAGAATTAAATACATTGGATCCCTACCTCCCCTTATATATATATAACAGCATATATGTTATATATAAAATACTGTTACACAGCTTAAGGTTACATAAGAAGTTTAAAAGATCCTAGAAGTTCTTAATATTCCTTAATAAATTTGGCAATGTGTTATTTCCCATTAGCCAGACTATTACTTTTAACCTTCGCAGAACAAAAGTGTGCATCTGTTCCTACTCATTAACTCTAAATTTAAATATTGATCACGTGTAATCCTTTTGACCTCATATTTCTTAATTCGTGATCCCTGGTACCCTTTTAAATATATAACCCTACATTTGTAGACTTATAGAGTGTGTCTATATCTACATTACTATGCAAAATTTAATAAATATGATTCTAAATCGTCAAAAAAGTGAAAATAGCTCAATAAAATGTAACGACTTTAAATTCTTAACTGAAATTGTTATTTATGTAAAAATAATTGAAACTGGATTAGTTTTATTAAGCTTAACATGTTCACTGCTGGTTTACAGAGAACATATTAAGGGCATTTACATACCATCAGGAAAGTTTAGAATTTGGCTGTGAATGTCTGCTGCTTTTGCGGCTTCTTCCACCTCTTCTTCATATGCCGTTACCTTTCCATATCTTATATTATAGCTGCAAAAATAAGTTAATAATTGTTTACTCTTTATACAATTATGTAATAACTTATTGTAAAACGAAACCTTTAACATCCAGCAAGATAATTATATGTAAGCTATACTTCCAGATGTTTGAACGAGAGGATTACAAAACATTAACATAATATCTTTTGGAATTTGCAGCAATATAATCACATAAAATAAAACATCGATAATTAAGACAGTCTGTAACTCAACAATAGTTAAACACTCTGAATTACTGGAGATTTATAAACATAACTTTAACATTTAGTTTTAGATTTAGAATTCAACAATGGCTAAGCTTTCTGAAAATGTTCATCCATTTAAAATATTTCCTGCATGTTAAAGTTTTAATTGATTAGATCAATTAAAATTAAGTTAAAAAGTTAATATTTAAAAATATTCTAAATTAATTAAATGTTATTTAATTGATAAGCAAGCATAAAGGCTATGTCCAGGCACAATAATGCCAATTACGAGCATAACTGTAGCCAATTATGCCAACTAATTGCGTAACAAGATAAAGCAAGATAACAACTAGATAAATCAGAATAAGCAAAGATAAAGCAATACGAGTGAGTGAATCGCAAGTGATGCCAAGTACTATACCCAATAAACTGGATGTCACGGTGTTTCAAATCAGATCCTGTCTGACCTTACTGAAATCTCCACAACAGCAGAATTGATTTTACTGAAGTAATTTACATTCACGAAAATTTACACCTTCCTTTCAATTTCCAGCATTTGCTGTTTAAAAAACAAACGTTTTGGCTACATTCAGTGGCATTCATTTGGTTAAGAAGATTCTATATCGAACACCTATAACAGATTTGAAGTTTGGAATAACGTTCGATATAGAATCTTAACCTAACACAGGCCACTGAATATAGCCAAAACGTTTGTTTTTTAAACAGTGAATGCTGGAGATTGAGAAGAAGATGTAAATTTTCATGTTTATAAGATAGTTCTAGCTTCAGGATTTAATAATTATTTTACATTGAAGATGAAAGTAACTAAAAAATGTCATATAATAGAAGAATCATCATCTAGCAATAAACACAATTACTACATCAAGCTCTGTGGCTATACTTACCTGATACTGTTGTTGAAGAGCACGGTATCCTGAGGAACTATGCCTATGCTCTCATGAAGCGACCTTTGAGTTACCTTGTTTAATAAAAAAAATTATTTTATTATTTCTTTAAAATGTTTATGTAGACTTGTAGCAATTAAATTATAATTCTAAATTTATAAAAAAAAACTTACTAAATTAACTTAAAAATAGAAATAAAATGGATAAATTTCATGTTAAGTTGACTCTTATTACCAATTTCATGAATAATTTAAATTTATTATATTTAAATGAGATGGAACTGAAAACATAATGGAAAAATGTCTTCAACTTTAGAATTTCTGTCTTTATTTAACCTTTAACAAGTGTTAAATGACCCTGTAGAATTTTTGGTGAACTTTAGATCTTACTGACCTGACCATAATAGCCCTCACTTAGTTTCTACACATTATTATCATCCTACTGCTAGTATTGTATACAAATGCGAAGTATCATCGAAGCCAGAAATGTCAAGAACTGGAAATCTTTGCTCTCATCTAAGGCTTGCTAAACCTTTTCCGTCTCTTTGTCTAACTTGTCATTTGTCAGTCTTCTCATAAAGCAAACCAAAGATGCTTATCGTAATTCTTCTTTTATAACAGTATTATAGTTTTATATTTGAAATACGGTAGACAAAATAGCAAGCGTCGTCAAATAATACTCAACCTTTCTTATATCCTGTCCGTCGATAAGTATCTGCCCAGACTGGATGTCGTAAAACCTGAACAGCAGTCTGATAATCGTACTCTTTCCACTTCCTGTAGGACCAACCTTAAAATACACGTATAAATTATTTGAAATGATATAAACATAATTTTTGTATAACATTTTAGCTTAAATTATCGACAGTTCATTGACTAATAATGATTAAGTGTGAATTTATTTTAAAAAAATACACTAATTATCATACCTATTTCATATAGTACAAGCCAGTGTTTTATATTACTCACACATTTTGTTGTCTTTAACAATATTTATGATATATATCTTTAAAAAAAAAGATGTATTGTCATCGTAATAGGTATAGGTAAGATAATTTGCGTATTTTTTAAATGAATGTAAACTTAATATTCATTATTTTTAAAAGTTTAGCTGATACTGACTTACCAATGCAAGAGTTTTTCCTGGAGGCACCAAAAATGATATATTGTGAAGAATAGGTCTCCTGAAAAATATATTTCTCATCAAATAAGCAGTAGAAAGCAATAACAAAAACAATTTAATAAATGTAAGTAATGTAATGTTGAATTTCTAGACTATACTTCTGCAATTTTCAAACAAATCGTTAATATAATTTAGTTCTAGAAGTGAATGGATTCAAAAGGATGATGGAGTCGTGATGAATCACATCTGTTTCAAGCTGCGCCATGTGACAAGACACGTGATGCAGCTTGAAACAGATCGGGTACGAATACCTGTTAGTAAATAAGATGGCAAGTCTGTAAAAAGTCAAAAACATAGGTGCTGAAATTTCTGACAACACAAAATGATGAAATGTGAGGGACAAATGGAATGAGGAAATGAGACAAGGTTGGCTTGAGAAGAGCAGGTCCCCTTTGCCTGCAGCAAGATGGACAAAGGGAGATTATTTGGCAGAAATCTTTCCCAAACAAATGATAACTTTCATTAATTTAGCAAATGCAAAACATCTGTGTGCAAAGTGTTATTTGAATCCTTAATCTAGCAAACAATAAGCAATGTTTAAATATACACTACCACTAGATTGACAGTAAGCATTATGCTCATCTACAGAAGTCTGTAAAACATTGTATCTAGTAAATATGTATTAACAGTAGTGATTTAACAGTGTTCATGTTATCAGAATTGTGTCTATTTTTAAAAGACGATTCTCTTCTTGCATCAAAATACTTGGCTCAAGAGAGAGGAAATGATAATTTCTTTGTCTTCATTTGTACTAATATATAATCAAACTAAACCTTTTACACAATGTATTTTCTATAAATTATAAATCATTACGGACTCTTGTCGTTAATAGAACAAATTAGCACAAAAATCAGCACTTAACAAAATTAGTGTAATTTCATAAAAACAGATTTAAAACTTTGAAGAGAGTTACTTACTCTGGCATGTACGAAAAGTAAACATTACGAAATTCAATTTGGCCCTTGGTCACTTGCAAACCGACAGCATTCTTATCGTCTTCTACCTGTTAAGTTAAATTACAGCTTATATATCTAAATTACACTAAATTATAATTTTTAATTTTATTTATTACATTATAACCACCTGAAAACATTTAACTCCAATAAATTTAATTACATAAAAATAAAATTTGCAAATATATTCATGTTTTTTTAATGCAAATCATTTGAAATGTATTAAAATACTTTGAGCACCACATATATTCATCTGCTACAGCAATGTTTTCCAGCACATTTATGCATTTCCTTTAGTTCTCTCCCACTCACTTTGTGTCTTTAATTATTATTATTATTAAAGCTGTATCTGATAATTTATCAGTAATCCCTTCTCTCTATATAGTACTTGTAGAGAACTATATAGAAGCTCTTGTTTAGAAATTTTGTCCTAATTCAGTTCACTAAGTCAAGAAGAAGCTAAGAAAACAACCACAAAGTCCATGTTGACAGAAATTATTAATTCAAAAGTTATTTTGTACATTCGTGGCAAAAGCTGATAACATTCACAACTGAAGACAATTTGTTCATCAGTACATTCCCTTTAGTGTTTGTATGCATATTAACTCTTATGGTTTACTATTTACCATTTGTGGTGTATACCTATACCAAGTTTCATTTCTAAAACTGTCATAGTGTATAATAATTTGTGTATTTGTATCTGCTTTCCATCTCTCAAAAAGGCATTGGCCAATAGTTTGACAGTTTTATCAATGTAATCTCAGTTAAGATCACCAGGATGCCTATCAGGGAACTCCTTCCTGACCTAAGACTGCTCAGTGATGTCTCTGTTCATAAAATATTGCTTTGTTCAGGTTTATTTAGTGTCCAGATCAGTGTTAATGGTTTACTGTTTGTTTACAGCTTTGTCTTCTTGTGATGTTTTCTGTAACAAAACTCTGTTTGCTGCAAAGATTTATTATATCTGTTTCTTTCCTCTAAAGAAAGTGTCAGCACTTCTATGAAGGATTTAGGATGGTGTTCATTAATTGATCTAGTTCTGTGTATGTCCAATTCACATATTAATTTGAAATTATGCGATATTTGAAATATTAAATACAAATAAGCATTGAGCAAGGGCATTTCTCATGCATTTTCTATGAGAAATGCTCTTGACATAGTCTTTTAAACACTGGCAACTTCTTGCCAACTACAGATTCCTGTAATTAAAATAACTTGAATCTATTCCTCCTTATTTGGCACCAGGCTTTATCCGTAAAAGAGTAAATAAAAGATCAGTGTAACACCTATGGTTCCAGACTTATAAACACACTTATATAAATATAGCATTTTCGTGTAATATTAGAGTATTGGATATTTTCACGCCCTGTCTCGTGAAACATCCATTAGAATTTATTAATAATACACATAAAGGAACAATGCTTAAGAGCATTTTTCATACATTTTGTAACATTAAATTTATATAAAAANGAAATCGGATTACTAATAAATTGGAACGTATCTATATCTTATAGGGGGGTCGACTGTATGTTCTATAAAGACCGAATGGCTGAGTGGTTAAGGTGGCAACCTACCGCTCTGGGGACCCGGGATTGAATCCGAACGGGTCGAAAACTTCTCAGGAATTTTTCTCGTGGTCCGTCCGGGTTTGTCGGGCCCCGTCCCTCATCACCTGGCCGCGCCCATTGTGGGCCTGGCCGAACCCATAATGGGCTTGCTAGAAGAGGCCCTCCTAGTGCCCACAGGATAAAAAGGGGAAGTCGTTAAAACTTTATTGTTAAATTGGGTTTAAATATCTTTTTTTGTTGTTGTTGTTGTAAGAAAAAAGTCACGGGCGTAAAGTTTGAGGTTATAAGGTGTTACAAAAGTGAATAAAATCTGGAAAACTTCACACGTCCAGTCCGTTCGCGAGGCGCGAACTCACGATAGTATTAGTTAATTACCAGTAATCAGTGGTTTTATCCACTGAATAATTAGTGGGCTCCTATTCTATGGACAACCTTTTTTGATATTTGTTTGTTTACTTATGGCAACGCAATGCTTGGGCGATCAGCATAGGAGGAATGCCTTCCGGGAGGTCTTTTTAAGAGAAATTGGCTCCTATTTAGGCGTTAATAAACGGTTTTTTATTCTGACTGAATATATTTTTATAAGTTGCTTATTGCAGAATGCCCAAAACATTTCCTCACATCCATCGCATTTGGTAGCAAAAGTAGCATTGTAAGAGAATCACTATTGTTTACTGTATCCTTCTGATAATTATATAAAGCGCATTTTCTTTGTCCTGTTTTGATATATCAATTTTTGATTTTGAAATCTTTCGGCCCCGTGGGTACTCAAGACCGAAAGATTTAGTTTAGTTTGATGGGATATGACAATGTAACACCAAAGCAATCTGCCAAGAAAATGCCTTCCGGAAAGACTTTTTATAGGAAAATGGCTGCTATTTAGACGTTATACAGGTGAGAAAAACTCGGAAAACTAACTCACGATTGGTTCAATTGTTTTATCCACTCGGCCACTCGTAGGTTCGTGGCATTCGTAACTGCACTAATAAACATAAAATAAAATTTATAATATCTAAGATCCTTTGTTATATTGTATATTTAGCTATAAAAAAAAGGTGTGTTTTTAAATTATATAATAAAAAGCAAAACAAAAACAATTTATCCATTGCTAAATTTTGTAATTTNAAAGGTTCAAAAATGGTAGTTTTTATTAAATTGGCAAAATATTTGTGAGAAAATAACTAAAAAAGCCATTGTTGAGTGTGAAATAGGCACTTTTATTTGACAGAATCGTTAGAAGTGTTATGAAAATTGAAAAATAAAAATTTTATATACAAAAAACTGCAATTTAGTCTACAACAAATATCATAATTAATGAGTTTGAAAACATCTTATGTGATCATAAAACAATACATATCAATTGTATCTCACAATTAATTCAATTTGTTAGCATGGCATGTATTGAGATGTATACAGAGAACTACAATCGTCAATTTAAAATAAATTTATTACAGGCTGTCAACCAATATGTAGACGTTTTACAAACCATGCTGTCATGATTTGTACACACAACTACAGACAGTGTAGCTGTGCTGTAGCACCCTCAACAGTATACTGCATGTATACAATTATAACAACAGGCAATTGTCAGTTATCAAAAGAGACAAATGAACACTATCATCTCAATATGTACCACCGAGAAAATTACGAGATTTGGATAGAACTGGCTTTGTATTTTGTTACATGTAAGTACACTTACGCAACCATTGGTTGCATCAGTGAAGATTTCACATAAAATAATATAATTTACGAAACTAGTTACCAAATTACACTATTTTGAATGGATTACGACAAATATTCATTTATTTTTATTTATTAATAAAAAAAATAGTTTAGATAGATAAAGTTTCAGATAGTGTGTATTTCAGTACTTAATACTATTAAAAAATATAAATTCTACCTGATCTATTCAATATTAAAACATTAAAAAACCATTAATACCTGTAGTAAGTTCCAAAATAATTCAGAGGAGTGTATAGCTGTAACAAGTAAGAAGTAAACAGAACATAATCTCCAACAGTAAAGCCCTGTTTGTGAACTATAGCGTGTGCACAGAGCAATGAACCCACTAACATCCCCAGAGTTATCACCAGATTTTGAATGCTGTTGAGGAAGTTTAATGATGCCGTACTCTTCCATTCTGCTGCCTAGACAATATTAGAAAAAATATAAAATATTAGATTTTATATAATTATGAAATAAATGTACAATTAAACTCAAAATTTGTATGCCAAATACATGAATATCACTGGAAAAGCTATTATATATACTGCAGATATGATTTACACTAATTATTTTCACAATTTTTATCTAATATGGCCATTTAAAGCAAGTAATTATGATATCTTATTTTTATACGTAATAATTAAATGTCGACAAGTTTTAGTTAAATTTTTCATATACTATATCAAATTTTATTTAACTACAGATAAATTAAGGAGTACACCTCTAATAATGGATGAAGTTTATAAAATTCTAACATTTTTTACCCTGTTTACAGACCATTTTCAAGTATGAACAGTTGAAAACAGAATTGCAGATTCCACTTTAAATTTCATCTACTGTTAAAGGTGCATTCATTAATTCAACTTATTATTTAATATTACCTTAATTACGTCAATTATAAAATAGTTTCTCTTAACTGTAATGTAGTTACATTAATTTTTCGATTATTTTTGATTCTATTAAGCAGATATGACAAGAGCAATGTGAGGTATAATTATTGTAAACTCATTTACAGCAAAATTACAATTAAAATTTTACAAATAATATATGAACTGTTATATATTTACATTTTCCTTCTACAGTAGAGCATAGTATACGTTTACTTATCCAATCAAGAGTAAAAATTGAATGAGAAAACAAGTATTTGGTTCTGTGAAAAATCAAATACATATATTTACCTGAAAAGAGTCTATACATTCTGAGTAGGTTTTCACTTCATATTCTTCGGCCGCATAATATTTGACCTAGAAATATTTCATATATTAGAAATGCTAATATAAAATATGGCCAAATGAATCTACCAATATTTTCAACACAGTTTAATTTGGCAATGCAAGATGGCACGCAGGGACTTTACAGTTGATTTGAGTTATATCTGTTACAAATTTGGTACATTTTTTGGTTATTCCCACACTGTGGAGATTAAGAGGGCCTTTATTCCATACCTTTTGTGAATTTTGCTAGTAACACAATGGGTTCACTAGGACAAAGAGAGTCATGCCCCATGATCCCCGAGGAATCTTTCATGTAATTTCACACATGAAAGATTCCTGCAATGTAACACACCCAATTTGATCTTGGATTCCTAGAACAGTAGGCCAAAACCTTCAACTTCCAAACAGGATGATGGCCGAACATTAGCATTATACTCAATATCATTATAATTAAATTACTATAATAATTATTATAATGCCAACAAATAAATCTAAGATTTTAGGGGTTGGATATCAATTACTGTTGAATGAACTGAAAAATGGTCACTATTAAGTAAATAATTTCTGAATATAATACATTATAATGTTAAGACTGTGATATTTTCTATTTTTCAAAGTCCAGATTGGCATATTCTACAATACTTAAGAATAAAGGTGTTTGAATGTGTCCCCTTTAATTGTGTATACAATAACATATTGACCACTGAACATAACTAGAAGTAGGTTTATACGAACAAATTAGTATGCCACTAATACCACTAAAATGTCCATACAAGGCTCGAGATCTCCTCCGTCAACATCATGTATAATTACACACTTTTTCCAACCCATCACCATTAAACTATACATGATGAATGGCCCAGTAGGGTAAAGATGCACAGAATAATGGGAAATCATGGCCCAGTTTGTCTTTTGACAGTACTGCTTATAATAAAAAGTAACTCAACCAAAGCAGTTCATAGAAGAATTGTGTTTTATTCCAATTATAAATGAACTTTTCATAAATGCTCGCAATAAAATTTATAATAATACAGAGTTTATGGGTGAAATTCCTGACATGATTCAATCATAATTATTATTCCTAATGTTTTATAAAGTTTCTTCTTTCATGAAAACATTAACAAAATCTTAAACTTACAGTTTCAAAATTTAGAAGGGCATCCACTGCCTTGGCCTGCGTAGCATTATCCATCTTGTTCATTAATCTACGAAACTTTGTTCTCCATTCAGTTATAGCAATTGTGGCAGCTACAAAAAAATTCAGATTTTTATTTTAAATGTCTAAAGTTTTTAATCATTTAGAAGTAATGCGAATCATTGAATAAAACAGCATTTAAAGTTAATTTATAGTCAGACTCCAGTGTGAAATTTCAATGTCACCCTAGGAAAACAATGGTACTGTGCTCTCGTGTATTGGCACTAAAAAAGCCATTTGCAGACCTCATTTTTTCTAGCAAGATAATGCTGATTTTCTAACTTTTCATTCATAAGTATCATTGAAATTTCTGTCTTTTTGGACTGTTTTTTCTTTTCCGAAGTTCATTTAAGAATAATAAAAATCTAAATTCAAAGTAACCTGTGCATTATTGCAAAAGATCTCTATTACGCATTAACAAAGGTACAGTCACAAAAGATGTTTTCTCAGAATCTCTGGCATTACGGTTTGGGTCTAGCATGACAGAAGCAAAATAATAGTACAGTGATACATTGAAAACCTGAACTAATTTGGATAGACCCATCCATATTTTTAAATATACGTGTAAATTAGTATTTAAATACTTTGAATTCCAAATATACTGTTTTGAATTCAAACCAGTATCTTATAATTTCAAAATTAAAAAATTACAAATTCTGAATGAACACTGAAACAACAACAACACAAGGCAAAAAGAACGAGCAACAAAATTACCACTAAAAGGATTAATATCCGTTATTTTGATAGTCGAAACTGGATTTTCAATACTTCACTGTATTACATTTATGTCTGAAAATTAACGACAGAGTTGTTAGTGTCAAAGGAATTAATGTATTGTTCTATTCAAATCTTATCTAATGATATTCTGTTAAAGTACTTTTGTATTTTATTGCTTCAATTAAAATATTTAATTTGAAATTTTTATTACATTAATATAATTAAAACTGTGCAGACAGTTCTAAGATATGGTACAAAAGCAATATCCTTTATTAATGCCGCTGTTTGACTATGAGAAAATCATTTACAACTTCTTACAATTTATTCAGTTGGCTCGGTATAAGAATATTTATCCGAGTTCAAGCTTAATTAAGTTTTATATCTTTCAATATTAGTATCAGATTTATTGTACGTAACTTCCCATCAGTGTATATCATTTGTCAAAGAATTTATTCTTGAGTAACGCATTGGTAATGAATATAAATTGAGAAACAACTTAATTAAATTCAGTTTTTGATTTAAAGTTTATAACTATAAAATTCACTTAAATTTAGAATTAAGGATTACCTAAATAAAGGCCCATTGTCACAAACACTATCAGTCCGTACCACAGGCCGAATGCCGAAGAGAAATACACGATGGCGATCAAGATGTCCGCCACGGTTGGGAATATACTAAATACAATGTAACTGGATGGAGGAAAAAACAATTATTGGATAATCATTTTAATTTTTGGTGGCTTTATTATATTATTATCCAACTGTGAGAAAAATAATCTGATAATTATTACTAAATTAATAAAAAAAATACTAAATTTGAATATAAAAAGAATAACCTGAGTAAATTGGTAATGCTGTTTGTTCCTCTGTCCATAACACGTAACACTTCTCCAGTTTTCCTCATTATATGCCAGCGCAATGATAAACTGTGTAAAAAATAAAGAAAATATGTATGTTATATGATCAGAAGGCACTGACATATATATATATATATTTTTTAACGTCACAAACTTAATAAGTTAAACTGCAACAAATCCTTGCCAACCTGAAATATTTAACATACTTGACGACTTTGATATAACTTCTTAAAAATTGTTTCAATTTTATTAATGAATGAATTAAATATTACAACAATATGGCTTAAAATATAAAGTCAAAACATCATAGAATAAACTGAATACTGCATTTTTAATACAGTAAACAGTTTATTCTGTGTTCAGTCTATGCAGGATTCTGTATGTCTTCTTAAGTAAAGTGTAAGAGTGATAGCTGGACCACACTGAACATATAAAGTAAAATAAATCAGAAACTTGCTATTGTTAATGCAACCCCTTTGCTAAAACTCTCTATCCCCAGTACAAGAAATAGGTGTGCAGCGATCTTAAATTTAATTAATTTATATTTACAGATGAAATAATTAATAAAATAGATATTCATTTACCCCAGAAGATGAGTGTAGAGTCTGATCTGAACTTCTTTAACAGTGTACTGTTGCACTCTAATCCACAGAACTGATCGCATGTTATTCAAAAGACTGTTGTTTCCTGCAATTTAATTCAATTTTAAATGAAAAAAATTAAATTATTTTATATTATTTTTTTCTTATTTTAAAAACAAAATTTAGATTTCATTGTATAGCGAGCTGTTTCATTTACATTTTTGATCCCAATTATAAAATTTATATTGTGATGACTCTATAGAATTGAAAACAAGAATACAATTACAATTTGATAGGAAATATGTCTTTTTTATACTAATAAAAACTAGATATTGAGACAAAATGCTTAATTTCTCAATGATGTTTGGCATTAACATTGAGACTTGATTCAAAAAGGCTTCCTTAATTCCTCACTAGAAGAGATGAAAGACATCTACCTCGGCTGCTTTTAAAGTTTTCATTTTCTCTATAGTATTTCAAATCAAAATTGTGGCATAAAATAATTTACTTCATTCTCACATGGTCCAAATCTAATTATATGACCTGTCAACCAATAGCCAAGTATTTAAAACTAGCGAACACTGGTAGTTGGTTGTGTGTTTACACCTGTTCGACAGGCTGGCCATGTGGAATTTCCAGTTTTTCTTAATATTAATAACGTGTAATAACAAAATAGAGGCTGGTTTCTGACAGAAACTCCTCTTGAGAGACTTGCAGACTGCCCGTGTGTTGCATTGCCTTACCCCATCAATGCAACCCAATTATATAACTTAATTTGAATTCATGAAACAAAATCAAACAAAAATCCTTTTTATCCACACTTCTAAATTCTCAAAAAAAATTCTGTTTCTCAAATATATTTATTTTATGATAAAAAATAAATAAAATTCATACAGCACAGTCTTAATAATTAAATAAACTTAGCCAAATAGTGGAAAGTCTAATGGCTGAGACGGTTAAGAACTTGGGATCAAATCCATGCAGGCTAAAACCTAAAGAAATTTCACAATTGCTGTGTCTTAAGATATGTCAGGGCCCATCCCTCACCGTCATCTTGACACAATAGGTATCAAAAAAACCCTCTTAGTAACCACAAAGCAGAAAGAACAAAGAAAAACAAACAGTAAAAACTGCATGTATTAAGATCTTTGTTAATATTATAACAAAAAATAATTATACGAACATTTTATGCTAAAATATAAAATAATAAAAAGCATACAAATAAAAATATAATTACCTTGACCCTGAAGAAACCATAATCCAACATATATCAAAATAAAATCCCAATGATATGTTAACGAACTCTCTCCGGGTTGCAATGTCAAACTGTTTACTATAAAAAGAAACTTCAATATACACAGAAGTATGTACTATAATTAAAAATATTAATTACAATACATAAAGAGTTATATCCGTAACAGAAATATCAATTTATGTATAACAATGACAATCTAATTTTACAAGTAAATCTTGTTCAGTAGACTTAAAGATCTCCTTGTCAAGAATGCTTAGAAGCAATTCAGAAGCAGACTGTTAATCGTACAGTAGGATTTTTAAAATATTTTAATTAATATTTAATAAACTACAAATTGAGCTTTACTTACCAATCTTTTTATTATACAGAGGTATAAAGATATTTGCAACTCTTCCTAAGGCTAATAAAATAAAACAGAACAACACCCTAAACTGGAGGAAAATATTCTTTTTGGGCCAGATGAAAGGTATAAGCAGTCGGCACTTTTTCCAGAAGTTGGAAAACGTTGATGTCCTGTTGGTCGTCTCGGACTGTGTTGCATTCTCTTCCAGGAGAGGCTAGATAAATATAATTTGTTAAAATTTACTGGTTTGTTAGTTAATCATTAATTTGGCTCACACATGGGTAATTAATTCTCCATCATGTAAAATTTTAATAAGTAGAATTAAGTTAATTTTAAAGAAGTGATCAAGAGTAGAAATCAAAATCACAGTTCAAAATCAATAATTGTTGTTAAAATGTGTTTGTGATGACACACCGTATTAGTTAATTAGAAAATCTAACTCAGCCTTGAGCAAACTGGAGTTTCTAAACCATTTCCAGCAAGTCTCGGAACCACAGTTTGCTAGACCATGTCCATAAGGCCTGCAAAACCTTCGAAAGGCATTTTCCTAAAATATATACAGATAGAATTATAGGATTTGTTATAAAACATTACTTATTAGATACACAATTAGTGTGTACACAAATCTCTTTGCTTACAGAGCACATTCAACGTACAAATAAGCACAAACATTTGCATATATATGTAGGGAGTGTGCAAATATTTTAGTATTTTTAAAGGGATCCATAAATCTAAATAGTTTGGGAACTACTTAAGAAAAACAGAAAAGAAATTATTGATGTTTAGTTGAAATTCACAAGTGACTAGAAAAAAGTTCTTTTGCCACTGTATAAAATCAGTTAAATATGTATTTTCTACGTAAAAATAAATTTAAGGAGAGAAAATTTGTTATTACAAAAATATGAATCCATATAAAACATATATAAAACGTTGTTTCATTTTTACTCACAATATATTAAGAATTACTAAATTTAATAGCAGTGATTGCAATACCTGGATATAAAACTACATTAGATATATCTATAATACATTATTCTATGTAAAGAAATAATAACTGTTTATCATATTTGACACATATAGAGCAATAATTTCTACTTCCACGTATAAATTATCGTTTTCTTGTTTCTCACGTGCGATTTTATATACGGTAATTTTATTTAATTTGTTTCGAATGAAACTTGTCACAAACTATATGCATTATGACACTATTACAATGAGTGACAATGTTAGTGGCAACGATGGTGTTAAATTTACACCACATCCTAATCTATGTCTAATCTGCAACATATTTTGTACAATGTGAACATTTTAAATAAAGTATCAATTTAATATCTGGCTCAGTATTTTTCATAATAATAAACAAACAATAATATCAATTTCTAGAATGGAATCTTGCAAAAATTTCAAATGGAATATTGTTAATACAGCAACCAATCTTATCCTATTATGAAATTATCTTGAGCCATCAAATATGAAGAATGTAACTTTCTCAAATATTTAGTAAAAACAGGAAATAAAATACAGGTATAATTGCATACTTACTGCATTCTGGTCGATTTGAATTTGCTGCCAACTGTATATAAAATAGTCTTTTGAACTCGGAATTCCCGGAGCTTTCAATCCGACGACGAACATAGTCATAGATAGGACGTAACGTAAAATAAATAAACCAAACTCCACGTAATCAGACGAACTAAAGAGGAAAGTATTGCAATTAATTTAAATATAAAATAAAAGATTTTGAATTATAATAATTCCGTAAGAAATGCAAAAGCGTGGACTTGTCTGAAGACAAAGTACAAACAAGAACAGTATTTTTTTGAGTTTTAACTTAATAATCTTAAGAATATCCAAAAGAAAACATTAACCCGTACTTGAATTCAAACATTCACTCCTGCAAAGTGAGCAGTATATTATCAAATGATACCAAAACACAAACTCTTTGCTTTTAGTCATGCAATTTAAAACTGTATCATAATACTGCATATTCTTGAAATCATAAATAGAATTGATTGTCTCTAACAACTTACCTTAGAGATTAAGTGGAATTCATAATATATAAAACATTAGAGTGAAACATCCTCTACTGTTATATATTATAAATACAGGATTAGTCAAGTCTTTAGATAAATTACAGACCATACTTGTAATGTCTGTGCGCAAATAATATCAATGGCTTGAGTCTTAACTATTTTCAATAATACTGAAAGTTTGCATATTCAAAATAATACTATGAATAAATTTATTAGACGTTAGTCTCTTAGACTCTTATATGCAATTTGATGCTTGAATATGCAACAGAAGCCTTCTGTTGATATTGGAACCGGACCTTTCATCTATCTATCTTCGAAAGTAGTTAAGACTTTGACCAAGATGTGTTAGCCTCTATACTTATGTGCATTTACTTAAATGTTACCCAAACAGATCATAATTTGTGTCTTATAAGTGATTATATAATAAAATAAACCTTTCGTCTACATATAGAGACTTTTGAATCATCCTGTATATAAAGTAAATCATTGAGGTTTAAAACATGAAAAATATATTTGTTACAGCTACGAGTTAACTGTAAAGAATTAGCTTAGAATTAACCTTGAAAGTTCAATAACAAACATCAGGTTTAATTTTAACTTTACTCTCAGTCTTATCTTGATTCTCTTTATATCTTCGAACAGTTTTAAATACATTAAAAATTCAATACTTACTTCCTTAAAGCAAACCACCAGGCTTTATTTTTCAGATTTAAAAATGCTAAATTCTCATTAATAAAAACCAACGTCCAAAATATTAACAGAACTAATCCGTGTCCCCGTGTCGGTATGCTGGGAAGAGCTCTCCATCTTTCCAGAAAAACGATTATCAAAGAACACGGCCAAGCCACGATGGTCATCGACACGTGAAGTATGGCGTATCCATAAACTCTCTTCTCTAGTACCGTCGCTTGTAAAATAAAACGTACAAAAGCTAAAATGGGTAAAATGAGAGTCGTCACTATCTGCAGTTTGAATAGGAACGTTTTTGGTAACAGTCTGTGGTCCAGAACTGTTGAGTACTTCCTGTATATTCCATACTGAATTCCACCCGCCACACACAGGAACGTAAATATGATAGAAGTGGCAACAGTATCGATGAAACAATGGGAGATTCCGTGATCGATCCAAACTTGAGATAGGGTGACGTTTGGAGGACAATAAAGCATCATGTTAAATTCACCTAAAAAATACAAATATGGACATCACTAAGTCACATTATACACAAAATTCATAAATTTTTTCATCTTTTAAAATAATTAAAGATTATTTATATCCAATTTCAGAATTAAACTATAAGTAATATTCTTTCTACACTTCAGAATCATTAGTATTCATATAATTAACATAAATATTAATACAAATTAAAGTGTTATGACACATTTGCTTACTCTTAAGAGTTACAACTTTAGTCGTGAATTAAGACTATTATGAAAGCATTATACAAAACAACTGATTACATTTATAACAATATAACAACCTCTTGGATAAAAGCTCATGTAATGATAATGATAAACACATTAAAATGATAAATGATATAACAAGAAATTACATTACTACCAAGTGAATATCAAACTACATTTTAGACTTAAATATTGGATATAATTTTAATTTAAACTATACACTCGAACTCAGAATTGATACATTTTTACAGATACTAACTCCAAAATTACTTCCGATTCTAACATCACCTTATTTGAAGATACAAAACCCAAAATAGAACCCAGAGTGTATTCCTCTTCCTTTCTTCCAATGGCAACATTCTTCTTTCAATTGTCTATGCCTAAAGATAGCTCATTAGCGAGGTGGTGACCAAAGTTTTCAATGCAAAAACATGAACATTGGATGCTTAGCGCCGCCTTCCTGTAAGCCTAGAAGTTTGACAATGGTATTTGGAACGTCAGTGAAATCATGCTCGATGTTCCAAACACCACTGTCAGACTTCTAGGCTTACAGCTAGGCGGCACCGAACATCCAACGTTCATGTTTTTGCATTGAAAACTCCAGCCGCAAACTCGCTATTAACTACATCAAAAACTTTATCCACCGTTAGAAATGCTTGTAGTAAAGACAAAACAAAAATGTCACTGAAACAGTTTGCCATCTGATATAGATTTAAATCTACCACATCCAAATTTAATATTTTAATTAGAAAAGAATTAAACTATCCACTTAAAAACAGCATAACCCAATTAACTCAAACCAAGACAACACAATTCGCATTTACTCAGCCATTTTCTTTTCTCAATCACCTAGCACAACGCATTAAATCAAACCAGTTAACTCGACGTTCAAATGTTTTTCCCCGACCGATTCGAATTAACCAGGTTCCACCATACATAAAACTCCTAAATTCTTTATGAAGCAACATGTTTAAATACACGAATACTTTTCAATATTAACTAGATGCCACCAAGAGAATCTAGTACCTCAAACACAGTATCTATACATCTACACGTTAACAGATTTAAGCACGTTATCTGTCGAGCGTACAAACGATTACTTCGACACGTACAGACGCCATGTACAAACTATGGAGTGCAAAGTTTGTGCGTGAACATGTATCAATAGTATTCCAGGAAATAACTTCATATAACCATACTTCCTATAATTCTCCAAATCGGTTAAAGAGATCACAGACAAGATCCGCTACTTTATTTCTATTAAATACCATGTTTTTAGAAAGAATATTCATACAGAAGGTCAATATTACAGACTCTGTATGTGATAATGTAAATCTCTTTTATAAATCGTAGTAAGCGAAATGTTTATTTTAAGCTATTTACACGTGATTCAAAAGTCAGTAAACAATCTGGAGGCGTTAGGAGAAGCTGCCATGCAGGGGCAGTGTACAGCTAAGGCTAATTACAGCCTTTACGACCTTAACAACATGGTTTAAATGTCAAAATACACGTTCCAATAGGGTATAGATTTTCGGTATTAACAAATCAGCTGTATATTTATCAGAAAATATAAAATAATTTAACTTTTACCAAATTTATGCAAATATCAAGGATCTGAATTCGTCACCGCTCATTTTTTTTTTAATTCTTAATTTAAATAACTTGTCCTTAAACACTTAAAACATTAAATAATTAAGGAAAATAAGGTTATTCGCTTCAAACGAAAATAATTCCGCCAAACACGTCTTCCTTCCACTTATACTTACTAAAGAATAGTTGTCACTAGCTTCGCCAGGGGGAGATTTTCGCTTTACAAACTGGAAATCAAATAAATAATTATTATTAATTTAAACAGATTTTATTGCATAAAAATATAAAATTATTAACTTTTTTTTCTTCAAAAGAGTATCGAATAATTTGAATTTAAATAAAATCTTGGAAGGTATGAAAACGACTACAGTGTTCTTCGAGGGCATGCCAAATAATGCCACCAGAGTGCGTTAAAATCGCCTTTCCGGTATCATTCCATAGATANTGTATCCTTCTGATAATTATATAAAGCGCATTTTCTTTGTCCTGTTTTGATATATCAATTTTTGATTTTGAAATCTTTCGGCCCCGTGGGTACTCAAGACCGAAAGATTTAGTTTAGTTTGATGGGATATGACAATGTAACACCAAAGCAATCTGCCAAGAAAATGCCTTCCGGAAAGACTTTTTATAGGAAAATGGCTGCTATTTAGACGTTATACAGGTGAGAAAAACTCGGAAAACTAACTCACGATTGGTTCAATTGTTTTATCCACTCGGCCACTCGTAGGTTCGTGGCATTCGTAACTGCACTAATAAACATAAAATAAAATTTATAATATCTAAGATCCTTTGTTATATTGTATATTTAGCTATAAAAAAAGGTGTGTTTTTAAATTATATAATAAAAAGCAAAACAAAAACAATTTATCCATTGCTAAATTTTGTAATTTATTTATTTTTTTAATAATTTTTTTTTACTTTTGCAAGATCATTAAGAAGAATTTTATCGGTTACAAACTAAAGGAGAATCGTCGAAAAATTTTGTTTAACCAAAATAAATTAAATTTAGAAAATCGATTTTCTGATATCTTTTCTTTTTTTCTATAACTTTTGTTAAATTATTTATTATATAAGTAATTCATAGGGACAACTTTCGTGTGGCGCATTCGGGACATAAAATGTCAGATCCATCGGTGACGAATCCCTTTCCAACCAGCGATCTTTTACACATGCCGCACATAAAACAATCGTTGTGCCAGTTTCGATTTTCAAAAGTTATAAATCGTGTTCCTCCGATGCCTAAAAGGTAATTAGATTTTAAATTTCAGTTACAATAATTATGATTATTAATATACTAACACGAATTCCAGAAACCGACCTGTGATAGGTCTGTTGCAAGCGTGGCATCTCTTGGCAAATAATTCTCCATAACATTCGGCACAATATGGCTTCTCTTCTTTAGAAGTAAAGCGTTCTCCAGCCAGACACGTTTGACAATTTACGCAACAGAAACATTCCCGATGCCACGGTTCGTTGCGATATGTCACACCACCCGTTGTTATTATTTGGTTGCATTTGGTGCAACGAGTAGAAAACTTCTGCTCGTAGCATGTGGTGCAATATATATCATTATCTCTAGGGATAAAACTCTTACTTCCAATAGGATTTGTGCAGACGACGCAACAGAAACATTTCTCGTGCCACTGTTTGCCCTTATACTCCATCTTTTTAGTACCTGCAAGAAAGATGAAATTTCATGAGTCTAATGATGTTAATAATGGCACTAAGTTAGCAATATTTTTACCTGCACGAAATATTTCTTTACATCCATCGCATCTGGTAGCAAAAGCAGCGTCGTAACAACTCGTGCAATAAACTTTATCAGCTTTTGAAGCGAATGGTTTGTTTATCAATGAAGTATGGCACTTGCTACATAAAAAACAAGCTTCGTGCCAGTGTTTATCCTTGTAAGAAAGATCCTGAAAGAAAAACGTTTTGGCTTTTAATTGCAAACGTATGGAAGAAAATATAAATAAAAATTTGCAATAATTTTACCTTGGAATCTACACCTATGGAGCGTCCACACTCGTCACAGGTGTTGGAGAACAATCTCTCGTAGCAACGAATGCAAAAGGGATGCTCGTCACGCAATACGTACCGTTGTCCAGTCAGAGAATCCTCACATTTCCAGCAGCAGAAGTGAGTAGCGTGCCAATCTTTCGACATTGCTTTGGTGTACTCTCCGGCAAAGATTAACTGAAATTTAATGAGAAAAAATTATTTTGATATTCCGAATTCATGGACAATCTTAGAAAGATCTATAACCTCATCGCATGCTGCACATCTGGATCGGATCTGTTCCGCGTAATGACGTTCGCAATATATCATTCTATCTTTTACGCAGCAAGCCAAATCCACCAGCAGCTCTTTACAAACAGAACAGGCGAAACAAGCCGGATGGAATGGATATCTCTCACCTAATCTAGGAACAACCACTGCTATATCTCCATGAATCATACGTCCTTTGCATTGATAACATTCCTTTAAAAATAATCATTTTTTTTATATTAGAAAAATAAAAAAAGATTCTAAAATAAATACACAATGTGTTGTTGATTCTCACGTATGTCTGCTCCAAAATGCTTTTGACATAACCAATATCGAGTGCAGTTCTCTGTCGTTCGTTAATGAAATCTGCATATTGCTGTTGATATTCCTTTCCTAAAAACTTACAATAACGCGAAGAAAAATCTTGTTTGGGTAGTTGAACGATGAGTTGTTTTTCACGATGTTTCTCCCCTGGAGTTCCGAGCAAAGGCACTTTTTCAGATGGGATCTGAGCGAAGTATTCTTGTATCTAGAAATGTAGATGTTTAATGATTCTTGGATTTATAAATTAGCTAATAATGTAGCTTATAAAAAATGTACTTTATCATTAGATAAATCGGGTGGTATCCAGGCGTATCCTTCTTCCAAAGCATTCCGTTTAAATGATGACTTGTTCAATTGTCTTGGATCTTTCAGTCCTATTCTATCTCGGACGTTGACAATGTCATTATGGTAAATATCATGACATTCGCGTTCGCATTTACAGTTATCGCAGATAGTTCTGTTAAAGAAATTATTATTGACAACATAATCTGTATAATTACATTGCGGTAACAAGAATACTGACCTCCATGGATGAGGTTTGAATCCTACGCAGTTGTTTTTGCAGTCTAAACATCGTTGTCCCTCATCTATTTCTTGAATTAACACATCCTTCGGAAAGAAAATAATAGTGAAAATTTATACGTAAATAATAAATCAGCAGTTTTGAGTGCCCGATTTAAATATCACTGATATAAATAATCGCAAAATTAGAGTTAAATAAATGAAGCCTACCGAGATTCTATCATCCCTTCTCGCCATTTTTTTTCAATCTGCTCGTTTAAATAAAATTTCACTTTTATATAAGAGTAAAGGAAAGCCGGTGGAATTTTTCCGATTGATTGTTTCTGTTTGTTGTTACGTGGGTATTATTATTGCAGTGTTGTTTGTTAATTGTTATATTGATATTACGACCAATGACGAGTTGAAAAATGAAAAGTTCGAATTCATTAAATCCTGGAGACACGGGAAGGTCTTCTGCCTAGGCTATAAAGCCATTAGAACTGATATCTTGTAGTAAAACATTTCTTAACGATATTACTATTTAAATGCTACAACCTTGCGTATAAACAATAAGTACGATAGCATTAAATCCGGGCATGACAGCCTATCTTTTAGTGTCTGAATTGGTCAAACTCCCGTAAGTTGTAATTGGTTTTTGACCCAAATTTTGATTTCAGACTCATCCTCTGAAAAACAATTGCAATGAATTTCTTGAGATTTCTCCTATCCTCTTTCATGTGCTATCTGTCATGAAACATTAACTTGTCCTGGCTTGAGGAAATACAAGTAAAAGTGGTATAAAATTTTATGAGGCACTGAAGCAGATTTCTGTGTGATGAAGATGCCACGTTCAGCTGATGCTAATATCTCCACTTGTTTTTTCCCTTTCATTGACAAAACATTAGAATCCTTACTCAGGACTGTGCTGATGCAATCTCATCACAGTTATAGATACAACTAGGTGAAAAATGGGACATCATTTGGAACATTTCTGATTTCTCCAAACATGGACGACTCCGATGATAGCCTTTCTCTTGTATCTACGTACAAATTGTTAGCTAATCCAGCAGAAAAAAATAAAACTATTGAAAAGTCTTACATGCACTAACTTATGTAATTATCAATGTTGATACATTTGTTCAAAATTAATTTCAACTTACGCCCAGAAAACTTGTTTATGAGCTAAAGTTTATGCTTGTAATAGCCTCGATAATAGGCAGAAACAAAATGCAAACAAGCCGGAGTAAAGTGAAAAACTTTTCAGTTTGTCCCTTTCCATTCTGCCTCATGAGTAGCACAGGCACTAAAAATGTACATCCTCAAAAACAGTGTTCAAGTGAAGAAAACACAAATTGGATGCTATTATACATGGCTGTATATTCTTTAATATCGGTAAATTGCTAGATAAAATATTGCTAATAATTTCTCAACAATCCACCTTTCGGGCAACGTTCTCCATGTTTGATATTCTCCACTTTTAAGAGAAAAAAGAAAAAAAATTCAACATGGCATTCCATAACTACAAGAAAAATATTAACGTTTAATTTTTTATATTATAAACAGAGAAAAGGAATATCAGCGAAGAAAGAAGTAACTTATAAAATATCAATTTAGTAAAATTAAAAAACTTTTTATACATAAAAGAATTGTGAATGCTAATACCTACCCTACTCGAGATATAATACACGACCTTCTTTATCTCCCTACCCCTTCGGCCTTTAACCAACAAAATTTACTAATATCAATCGTCATAACACGCAGTTCTCCCTGCAAAATTTCAGAAATTTTCGATAAGAGGTACAAGAGTTATTAAGCTTCAAAATGGGTGAACAATATCGTGCCCCTTTCATACACACACACAAACAAGCATCTGTACATACAGAAAAATTCCGAATTTTTTATGTAAAAGTAGTTACAAACATGTAGGACGTTCTCTGTACATACAATCATGTAATCAGTGTTTCGATATTGTTTCGGAGATTTTGATAACAGAACGAATGATAAGAGTTGACTTACTTTAATGACAATATTCCTCTTGACGATGAAATCCAAAAGCGCAACACCGATTGCTGGTCCCGAAACTTCAAAGCCCAATAATTCGGCAATTCGTTTGTCTTTAATAATTAGGTTTATGAAGAAAAACATCACACTTGCAGACTTCGTACTCGTTTGTACCCTTGCCTAATTTGCACAACCTGGCATTACGAACTTATTGAAGCTACTGGGCATGGTTAAAAATTAAGTCAGCATGAACACAATTATTCCAGATATTAAAGGTTCTGACAAGTAAAGAATTTTCAGAGTTTTGCCACAAATAAGCTAAGTATTGATTATTGACCATTTGTGACATGTCCATCTAAAATTCATCTTACAAATATTACCGACACACAAATCACCGAATGGACAAAACACCGAACAATAGTATTTAACGTGAATACCCGCCTAACCAACACTTGAAGTTTTGCGGGCTTTCTTTACGTGTCTAAAATATAAATAGATGCCAGTTTGCCATAAAAACGCCTTTCTGAAGGCGTCCCCCTGGCATGTCACACACCTGTATATGCAACAATAAGATATTCATGAACAGCACGTCACTTCAGACTTTTTCGCAGGGCAAGTATGCAGGAAACAAAATTATTAATTGTTATTCCAGCTCCAAAAATTTTGGAAGAAAACTGAATTGGATGTAAAATACATCCGAAACGGTCACACCACTTCGATACAGGCATGACTCAGTTCAAAAACTCAGTTCTCAGTTCAGTTCAATTGAATCAATGAGTAATTTAATGGCACTCCTTGTCTAAAATGATTTTAACTCAAATATATTGAGTCATACTTTATGTACGTGCTGTATTTATGTATGCTGTCTGTATAGTGATGAAAAATCTTGTATTATTAAAGGGAATCGTTCCGGAGATAGATGAGATAATACTCGATAATCACTGTCACACCCTTAGTTTGACGGTAGGTGTTAAACCTGTATTTGGAATGCCTGTAAAGAATTCACTTTAGTAAAATTAGAATACTTAATTTAATGTAAAAAGGCTATTCATTTTACATACATCTCGATCCAGACGTCGGACATAACGTTAAACATTTATATTTTAGTGAGTTTGGTCCTAAACTCATCGTGTTTACACGAAAATAATCAAAATTATGCAGTCATTTTTGAAGGTGTGAAATTCAGAAATTCACACAAATAATATATCAATACTTACTTTGAAATATATTTTAAATCTCTTACATAGATTAAAAAATTTATTTACTGTAGATCATATGACTCAGGGCAACTTGAAACATCCAGAAATGCAATAAAATTCGGGTGTTTTCTGTATGTATAGATGTTTATGTGGGGGGACAGGCACGATTTTTTCACCGTTTGAAGCTTAATAACTCCTGTGCTTTTTGTTGAAAATTACTTAGTACAATAAATACATTTCTTACAAAAAATATTTATGTTAATATACCACGACACGATGTCTTCTACTTGCATTGTCATACCAGCAACGGTATGACAAGTAACAATTGACAAGTAAGAAATCATTTACATAATAAAAGTGTTACAGAAGTAACAGAAGTCCTAATTGTGACGAAACGTGAGTAATCACTAGTTTCGTCACAACTAGGTGAAGGACGTCGAGTATTTTTATTTATGCAAAGTGTAAAATAATCCATGAAAATTAAAATTGAATGTTTCGAGTATATTTTACATAAAGCACAAATTATTTTAATAATAATATAAATATTATTATTAGTTTTACCCATAACTTGGTAATTTTTTCTTGCAGCACCCATACTTCTTTAACATGAATGTCGATCCATAAGAAGCAGAGGGGTCCATATCCCTTCCAATATTCTGTACCAGTAAATTGTCTCCCTCCCAATGCATTGTTTTTCGCTTTCTCGATTCTGTTATTAAAATATATGAGAGGGGAAAATATCGAAAAACGACCCTTCAAGATTTTTACATTTGTGGACTCGGAGGATCTTCAAACGTCGAGAAATGCAAAAAAATTCCGGGATTTTTTCTGTATGTACGGATGTTTGTGTGATGGGCAACGTGAACAAACACGTTGCCCATCACACAAACATCCATACATACAGAAAACTCTTAATAATCCTGTACATACAGAAAACTCTTAATAATCCATACATACCAGAAAACTCTTAATAATTCCTGTGTCTTTTGTCGAAAATTTCTGAAATTTTGCAGGGAGGTTTGTGAATTAGGGTGATTGATGCTGTTAAATTTTGGTGGTTAAAGGTCGAGGGGGTGTGGAGATGAAGCGGGTCGTGTGTCACATCTCGAGTAAGGTAGGACTTAATGACGATCAGTATATGTTTGTTTATATATTGGGGGTCAGTATATGTTTGTTTATATAACAACTTTCAGGGTTTGAATTATATTCAAACCCTGAAAGTTGTTAGTAGCGAAATTTATTTAGAAGGAATTTGAATGTCCAATGTAAACAAAGTAATGTAGATAGTTACATGCATACAATTACCCGTCATACTTTTCCTTCATTTTATTTTGTTAATTAAAATTTATTCTATAAAAATTAAATCTAAAACGATAAATATGAAAAATAAAAGCTGTGTTACATTACACACGAGATAAAATATGTCATGGATTTCAAAAGATGACGACACACAAGCTTCGTTTCCAATCGAACGTGTCTCAATTGAGGTTAACAATAATTACAGTTTATCACAATAAAGAATAATTATTAAATTAATTTAAAATTTTTATTATTTAAAATTTAATATAAAACCGGTATAGTTATTGTGACATTGTCACAATGCCGGGCTGCAATTTTTAATAGTATTTTACAAGCTTGTTACCTAAATATAGAAGAAAGTGTTTTTTTTTTAAAGTTTAAAGAATTATATATATTTTGCATGAAAATAATTCCATGAGATTGCTCAACAATTAATTATTGCTGTAATTTAATTGTTATTTATTAATTTCAACGAGCAGAAATTATATGTAAATGAGAGCATCAGTTAATAATTGACTTGTTAAACACTGTCTTTATAGTTTATTTTGAAGACACGTGGCAAATTTTCATCGTTTAACTAAACTAAATAAAAGATAAACGATGAAAACTTGCTACGTGTCTTCAAAATACACTATAAAGTTAGTGTTTAACAAGTTAACAATACGAAAAGGACACGGTTTCATTAAAAAAAAATACAAATTATTGATTAACTTATAATTATAAATAATTTGATATATTGGAAATGACGAAAATAATCTTAAGGTTGTCTGGGAAATTAAAAATATTGCATTAATTATTAACAAACAACGTGCGTTTTACGATTAATTAACATGCTGCGTTTTGTCACATATTCTCTGTTTAGTATTACACGTGGCTCACTTTTGCATTCAATAACTTCTGTTATAAAAGTAGGTTCAAATTGCAGAAAATATCACTTCACCTCGACTTCGTCTAGAGAACAACACACCTCAAAAGAAATGAACAAGTTACATACTTATACTATTGTTGGTACGTATTGTCTCATAGACTTAATATTATTGCTGGAGTTAATGTTAAAAATGCAATTAAATTTATTCGTTTTTAATTAAAAATACTTTAGTTGCGTTTTTAACAATAAGATTTTTCATTATATATTTTTAAAACAGAAAATTATTCAATTTTCAATAATTAATCGATTATATATAATCGATTAATTATTGGCAATCGATTTCCAACAATTAATTTATTATATAATCGCTATCTATAATCGAATATAATCGAAATCTATTTCCAATTAATCGATTATGTAATTGATTAATTGTGTTTAATTAATTAATTAATCGATTATGTAATCGATTAATTAATAACGAAAAACGAAATTAAACATAAACGAAATTAATCGATTAATTAATCGATTTTTCCCCTAAATTTAGGAATTTTCAAGTTTTCCGGGAAATTTGGTAGTAAAAAGTAATCTAAAAATGTTTAAAGGTATTTTTTATGTGAATAATTTCAAATTCTAGAAATTTCAGAGGCTATGAAATTTAAAAATAAAACTGGACATGTATAGTTCTAGGGAAATTTCATGCAAAATAACAAACAATGGATAAAAACAGACATTACAGAATTTTGGAGCGCTATCAGATATTGATGAATCAGCATCAGCTTCGCAAAATTAGATGAAAAACCTTGTTTAACATTCAGCAGATGTTAAGTAGGTTTAACTTCATTATGTATAACCGTAAAATTAAAGAATAATGGAATGATTAGAAGAATTTTACACACTGAACTGTATTAATTTAATAGGATTAAACTGTTGTAATTAAATTTACGAAGTTTTCAGTTGCAATTAGGGAAAATGTTGATACATGTTTGGAAAATTTTTAAACGTTACAAAATGGAGAATTTCGTCGGTAGGTTGCAGGGTAAACACACATCTTACACGAACATAACGTTTACTTTTGTTCATGGGTAAAACGAACAGCGTTTATGCAAGAACAAGTGTCTGAGTGGGAGTCACGATTTTCTTCACCCTGTTTGAAGCTTAATAACTCCCGTTGTTTTTGTCGAAATTTTCTGAAATTTTGCAGAGAAGTTTGTGAATGAGAGAAATTGATGCTGTTAAATTTTGGTAGTTAAAGGTAGAGGGAGTGTGGAGATGAAGAGGGTTGTGTGCCATATCTCGAGTAGGATAGGACTTAAGGACGATTTTACTTGTTATTAGCATTTACAATTTTTTATAAAAACCCATACCTACCCTCAAAATTAAGCTATTTGCCATTTTATAATAATTAAAAATATAAAAGTTTTTAAAATAAAGTATTATAACAGATGACGCAAAACACGCAGTTTTAAATGCTGCCGGAAAAGTTAAGCAACTCGTTACTGGATTGTTTTCAAATTGGTAGGTGCATCTTCGTGAACATTTACGTACTTATCCTGTTTGTATGCTTTCTTGATTAGAGTTCTTACACAAATAATGATGGTCAAATGATTATCTGTTATTGATAATTTACCCATTAAGTTAAAATCATGATAAATAAATAATACTGTATATGTTAATAATTATCAAAGTATTTTAATTGAATTACTAACGATAATCCTTATTGTAGGCTTCATTTTCCTTGTGATCATCAAAGGAGCGAGTTTGGTAAGTGTAAAAGTTATTAATATTCTGAAGGAAACATTCTGAGATATGCCTGTCAGTCACGTTCTTTTCTTAAGAGTATTAAATGATTATTGTTTAATATAATTTTATTTTTTAATGTTAGCATGCTTATATATATATATATAGAGAGAGAGAGTTTCGCATATTTAAAACTAATTTTTATAAGGTTTAAAAACCACAGAACTTATAAGTTAAGTGATAAATATAGACTATATATTTGTAAATAATTTTATATTTCGTAACCTTTTTGAAGTCTTAAAACATAAAAGTATTCAAATTATTAGACGTTTTTTTTTTTGTTTTATTTATTTCAGAAATGTTTAATTTTAGAATTAATACTTTATTACTTTTTCATTTTGTTTCAGTCTGAAACTCGACCTGAAAATTCAAATAAACCTAATGGATTACGTGTATTAAGACACGTTGCTAAAATGAGGAGCATTGCATCTACACAACAGTCTGAGAATGCTGGAAATATAGATATACCTGACTCAGCACCAGGCTCCTCATCCGATTCTGCACCAGGATCAGCATCTAACTCAGCACCAGGATCATCAGCCGATTCAGCATCAGGATCAGCATCTGATTTAGTACCAGGCTCACCATCAGGATCAGCATCTGATTTATTACCAGGCTCATCATCAGGATCAGCATCTGATTTAGTACCAGGCTCATCATCAGGATCAGCNTTGATTAATTGTGTTTAATTAATTAATTAATCGATTACATAATCGATTAATTAATCGATTTTTCCCCTAAATTTAGGAATTTTCAAGTTTTCCGGGAAATTTGGTAGTAAAAAGTAATCTAAGAATGTTTAAAGGTATTTTTTATGTGAATAATTTCAAATTCTAGAAATTTCAGAGGCTATGAAATTTAAAAATAAAACTGGACATGTATAGTTCTAGGGAAATTTCATGCAAAATAACAAACAATGGATAAAAACAGACATTACAGAATTTTGGAGCGCTATCAGATATTGATGAATCAGCATCAGCTTCGCAAAATTAGATGAAAAACCTTGTTTAACATTCAGCAGATGTTAAGTAGGTTTAACTTCATTATGTATAACCGTAAAATTAAAGAATAATGGAATGATTAGAAGAATTTTACACACTGAACTGTATTAATTTAATAGGATTAAACTGTTGTAATTAAATTTACGAAGTTTTCAGTTGCAATNGAACATCGAGTGCGGCTTACAAGATAGCGGTGCTCGACGTTCCACGTTCACGTTTTACAGATAAAAACTTCGGCAGCAACCTCGCGATTAAAAAATCCTTTTTACAATAGAAATTTCGTAACACCTAAAAATAAATTTACGAAGTTTTCAGTTGCAATTAGGGAAAATGTTGATACATGTTTGGAAAATTTTTAAACGTTACAAAATGGAGAATTTCGTCGGTAGGTTGCAGGGTAAACACACATCTTACACGAACATAACGTTTACTTTTGTTCATGGGTAAAACCAACAACATTTATGCAATGACAACTGTCTGTGTAAGAGTCACGATTTTCTTCACCCTGTTTGAAGCTTGATAACTCCCGTTGTTTATGTCGAAAATTTCTGAAATTTTGCAGAGAAGTTTGTGAATTAGAGAAATTGATTCTGTTAAATTTTGGTAGTTAAAGGTCAAAGGGAGTGTGGAGATGAAGAGGGTTGTGTGCCATATCTGGAGTAGGGTAGAACTTAATGACGATTTTACTTGTTATTAGCATTTACAATTTTTTATAAAACCCATATCTACCCTCAAAATTAAGCTGTTTGGCATTTTATAATAATTAAAATTATAAAAGTTTCTAAAATAAAGTATTATAACAGATGACGCAACACACGCAGCTTTAAATGCTGCCGGAAAAGTTAAGCAACTCGTTACTGGATTGTTTTCAAATTGGTAGGTGCATCTTCGTGAACATTTACGTACTTATCCTGTTTGTATGCTTTCTTGATTAGAGTTCTTACACAAATAATGATGGTCAAATGATTATCTGTTGTTGATAATTTACCCATTAAGTTAAAATCATGATAAATAAATAATACTGTATATGTTAATAATTATCAAAGTATTTTAATTGAATTACTAACGATAATCCTTATTGTAGGCTTCATTTTCCTTGTGATCATCAAAGGAGCGAGTTTGGTAAGTGTAAAAGTTATTAATATTCTGAAGGAAACATTCTGAGATGTACCAGTAAATTGTCTCCCTCCCAATGCATTGTTTTTCGCTTTCTCGATTCTGTTATTAAAATATATGAGAGGGGAAAATATCGAAAAACGACCCTTCAAGATTTTTACATTTGTGGACTCGGAGGATCTTCAAACGTCGAGAAATGCAAAAAAATTCCGGGATTTTTTCTGTATGTACGGATGTTTGTGTGATGGGCAACGTGAACAAACACGTTGCCCATCACACAAACATCCATACATACAGAAAACTCTTAATAATCCTGTACATACAGAAAACTCTTAATAATCCATACATACCAGAAAACTCTTAATAATTCCTGTGTCTTTTGTCGAAAATTTCTGAAATTTTGCAGGGAGGTTTGTGAATTAGGGTGATTGATGCTGTTAAATTTTGGTGGTTAAAGGTCGAGGGGGTGTGGAGATGAAGCGGGTCGTGTGTCACATCTCGAGTAAGGTAGGACTTAATGACGATCAGTATATGTTTGTTTATATATTGGGGGTCAGTATATGTTTGTTTATATAACAACTTTCAGGGTTTGAATTATATTCAAACCCTGAAAGTTGTTAGTAGCGAAATTTATTTAGAAGGAATTTGAATGTCCAATGTAAACAAAGTAATGTAGATAGTTACATGCATACAATTACCCGTCATACTTTTCCTTCATTTTATTTTGTTAATTAAAATTTATTCTATAAAAATTAAATCTAAAACGATAAATATGAAAAANGGATCAGCATCTGGATCAGCATCTGATTTATTACCAGGCTCATCATCAGGATCAGCATCTGATTTAGTACCAGGCTCACCATCAGGATCAGCATCAGGATCAGCACCTGATTCAGCACCAGGATCCTCATCTGATTCAGCACCAGACTCTTCATCTGGTTCAGTACCGGGATCATCATGACTCAGCTCTAGGCTCGACAATTATATCCAAGACTGAAGTTTCTTTAACAGATAAAGAGAATTCATTTGTTTATGACGCATATTAAAGAAATAAAATATGTACTACGATGTAAAAAACCGTATAGAATAAATCTTTCAGAAATAAAGTCTTCTTTTTATTCTTCAAATATACAAACGAAAAAATAACTCAAAATTCGTAATTATTTGTCAGAAATTAAAATCTGTAATAAACGAAATTGCTATTACCCCCATTAATTTTTAACATCTATATTCGATCGTTCTTTTCACTTTCCTCTTTTCATTTGTCATTAGCGAGGTTGCTACCAAAGTTTTCATCTCTAAAACGTGAACGTCGAACATCGAGTGCGGCTTACAAGATAGCGGTGCTCCACGTTCACGTTTTACAGATAAAAACTTCGGCAGCAACCTCGCGATTAAAAAATCCTTTTTACAATAGAAATTTCGTAACACCTAAAAATAAAAAAACACATTTGTTACACCTTTTGTGTTTGGTATTTCGTATACCACCTTCATAGCTTTCAGGTAAGCAGTTATTATTTATCCTGTCATTAATGCACATTTCAGCGCATTATAATTATCAGTTTTTTTCCTGAAAACTTAATTTAACACACTTTAATCCATTTAATATATTTATTACTAAACATAATCATTAAGTTCACTAAGTATTCGAAATCTAGTATCTGGCAATATTGACTAAAGAGGATACATAGAGTCACTTATGCCAGATACATAGAGTCACTTATTTATTATATGTCTGCAAAATTTCCCCAAACTCTGGAATTTTATCGAAAAATTCCCTACAGTAATATCAATGTGAAATCTTTGAGTTAAGTAATTAATTAAGTACAGCGTGAGAGAAAAGTTTTAGAAGAATTACGATATTTATCAATTGTTGACGCATGAGAAAGTCGAAATTTAAGCAATTTCTTGGTGTGAATCTGACAACAAGTCAGATTCTCTCCGCCCTAACTGGGCCCCTCGATGACACATTTGAAGTGTCATCACTGGAACACATAAGGTCACCGGATCTAATTCCCACACTTGATGGAGATATAACGACCGCGCACCCGATCTTTGGGGCGATTCACCAAGAAGTGTCTTTTACATTGTGACTAGTGACACTAGGTCTTAGTCTCTTCGTTCCCCGGATATGTGCCATCTTGACTACCGAAACAACTGTAAAGAGATCCACGATCGTCTTGCCGACATCATATGAACGGATTAAGAAACATTGAGTTATTGTTACGAAGTATTGTACTTACAATGCTAAACTCTCTCTCTTATAAGTAGATAGTAACGCGGGAACGTTATTTCTTAACTAGTGTCAGAAAAAGAATCGGACGTAAGATCTTACGTTCTTACATTGGATTCTTAAAAGGAGTTTAAACCGATATTAATTGATCCCCCGGCTTCTCACATCAATGTTACAGATGTATTTTTCATATTTTCAATACATAAATTTCACTTTCCCGGTTCTTATGTAGCTAACTCGAGAAAGTATTGTAATCGTGTCAAATTTGATTTTTTGCAAATTTCCACGTGTTGAGACCCCTGAATCCAGAAAAAATAAAATAAAATTGGTAAACATTCCATGGGCGTGGCGTGCTTGCGTGTTGGAATCTAATTTACTTAATACCTCAGCATGGTGTAAAGATTAAGAAACGAAACTTGACATGCCAACTTGTATAGTACATAAGGGGCATTTATTCTATTAAATTTTCGACTACGGAACTCGAGGCTCCCCCAGTAGCCAAGCGGTCTTCTTTCACTGAACACTGGGAGTTCGGTTGTGAGTTTGCTCCTCGCTCGGATGGGCTAGCTACGTGGAGTTTTCCACGTCTGTAACGCCTAAATAAGGGCCAGTTTCCCTTAAAAAGACCTCCCGGAAGGCATCCCACTAGGCAGATCGCCAGTGTTGCGTTGCCATACCTAAACTAAACAAACAGACTACAGAACTCGAGGAGGGTAGAGAGAATGCAAATTATCAGACTACCTAATAGACCTCTTAACCTCATAACAAACCCCTTAATATCATAACAGATGGCGCCACACGTAATTTTTAAATGTTTTCGCCGGAAAAGTTACGCAACTCGTCGCTGGATTTTTATATTATCGATGTGTTTTAGATGGGTTTTTTTGTTTTTATCTTTCTTTTGTATTGCTGCAACTTTATTGTTTAGGCTTATTTTTTTAATTGGCATCGATTTACATAATTCTTGTAAAATAAAATATTTAAAAATAAATCATTTAAAAACATTGTAGGCATTGACTAAGCATTGTAGAGGTAAGAAAGAATCAATGATATTTATTAGAAGTAAAACAAAAGTGTTAGCCCTTTAGAATTTATCTTCAGAAATTATTCACTGAAAACATTCAGGAACAAGTTGCTTAGCTTTCCCAGCAACATTTAAAACTTCGTGTGTGGCGCTATCTGTTATGAAAGTTTATTATTAAATTTTTTATATTTTTAATTATTATAAAATAGCAAAACGCTTAATTTTGAGAGTAGAGACGGGATTTATAAAAACTTGTAAATGCTAATAACGAGTAAAATCGTCATTAAGTCTGACCCTACTGGAGATACGCACGACCCCTTTATCTTCCACCCCCTCGACTTTAACCATCAAAATTTAATATCATCGAGTCTCCTAATACATAAACTTTCCTGCAGAATTTCAGAAAATTTCGACAAAAAGCACAGGGCTTATTAAGCTTCAAAGAGGGTGAACATAATCGCACTCTCTACACAGACGTTAACATCTATACATACAAAAAAACCTCGAAATTTTCTGCATTTCTCGAGGTTTCAAAGTCCCAAAAATGTAAGAATCTTGGGGGTCTTTTTATGAACAATGTCTCTGTTATATAAAACTTAGTTTCAGTTCAATAGATAAAAGAACAGATGTTATACAAAGAAGGTATATGGAATATTATACACGTAACGTGTAACAATTAAGGTAAACGCACCGGTAGTGGACACTGCACGAGTAGTGGACACTTTGAACTTCAAATATGATTAATAAGGTTGTAGATGGCTTCACTGTTCAAACATACAAATCATTCAGTAAACAGAAGTTCTCAGCACCAGACTCTTCATCTGGTTCAGTACCGGGATCATCATGACTCAGCTCTAGGCTCGACAATTATATCCAAGACTGAAGCTTCTTTAACAGATAAAGAGAATTCATTTGTTTATGACGCATATTAAAGAAATAAAATATGTACTACGATGTAAAAAACCGTATAGAATAAATCTTTCAGAAATAAAGTCTTCTTTTTATTCTTCAAATATACAAACGAAAAAATAACTCAAAATTCGTAATTATTTGTCAGAAATTAAAATCTGTAATAAACGAAATTGCTATTACCCCCATTAATTTTTAACATCTATATTCGATCGTTCTTTTCACTTTCCTCTTTTCATTTGTCATTAGCGAGGTTGCTACCAAAGTTTTCATCTCTAAAACGTGAACGTCGAACATCGAGTGCGGCTTACAAGATAGCGGTGCTCCACGTTCACGTTTTACAGATAAAAACTTCGGCAGCAACCTCGCGATTAAAAAATCCTTTTTACAATAGAAATTTCGTAACACCTAAAAATAAAAAAACACATTTGTTACACCTTTTGTGTTTGGTATTTCGTATACCACGTTCATAGCTTTCAGGTAAGCAGTTATTATTTATCCTGTCATTAATGCACATTTCAGCGCATTATAATTATCAGTTTTTTTCCTGAAAACTTAATTTAACACACTTTAATCCATTTAATATATTTATTACTAAACATAATCATTAAGTTCACTAAGTATTCGAAATCTAGTATCTGGCAATATTGACTAAAGAGNAAATTTATATTGTAAAAAACCTTCCTAACAACAAATGAAATCAGGAAAGTGAAACCAGCTGCCAATAACAATATGAAAATAGGATAATAAAGAAAACGAGCAAACACAAATCTCATTTTACCATAAAGTTTAATTTATTACAATTAATTACATTTTCCGTTTGTAATTTTAAAAATTATAAAAGGTATTTCTCGGAGATATATTTTTGTGGTCATCATACTATCGTCTTTCATCTCTTTGACATGACTCTTGAAAAATTAATTTTCTTCTAACATCCTAGAAGAATTACTTGTGGATGTAGTTGATGGATGAGGTGTGGATATGGTTGATGGATGAGGTGTGGATATGGTTGATGGATGAGGTGTGGATATGGTTGATGGATGAGGTGTGGATATGGTTGATGGATGAGGTGTGGATGTGGTTGATGGTTCGGATGTGGATGTACTTGATGAATCGGGTGTGGATGTACTTGATGAATCGAGTGTGGATGTACTACTTGATGAATCGGATGTGGATGTACTTGATGAATCGGGTGTGGATGTACTTGATGAATCGGATGTGGATGTACTTGATGATGTACTTGATGAATCGGGTGTGGATAGAGACATACTACTACTTTCACCATTTCCTATTTCGATAACGTCAACTATATTAGATTGCCTTACATCATCTAATCCATCAACTTTATTTGAATTTTCGTGAGTTTCGGACTGAAAAATGAAAAATAATAAGGTATTAACGCTAAAATACAAAAAACTCTTCTGAAATTTTTACAATAGAGTAACCTTTTGAGATCTTTAAGACTTTGATGGACAGATATTCTTCAGCATTCTTCCTTCAGAATATTAATAAATTGTACACTTACCAAACTCTCTCCTTTGATGACCGCAAACAAAATGAAGCCTAAGACTGTCAGTAATACAATTATAGTATTTTAATGGAAAAGCAATAACTGCATCTTTAACAATTAACATTAAATGAGACAATACTTACCGACAATAGAGAAAACGTACAACTTATTCATCTCTTTGTGGTTTGAAGTTCTCTAGACGAAATCAAAGTAATATGATCGGTTCTACAATTTTCAACTCACTTTTATACGTAAAATATTGGTGGCAAAAATGAGTCACGTATAAAACTAAACAAAGAATGTGTAACAAAACACAGCACGCTAATTATAAGACAGGTGTTTGTAAATTATATAACGCGGAAAATATTTTTAAAATTTTTAAACCCAATATTTAAATTCTCCTTTAGAATATTCTAATTTACACAAAATTGCTGAAATAAAACACTTTGTTAACATGTGTTTCCTGAGAAAATTTTATGGTTTTGTATGTCATCGTTCTGATTAAAACGAATATTTTAATACAGTAGAGCGTCGTTTATCCGAATCAATTGGGGACTGGGGTGGTTCGGATAACTTATTTTTCGGATAACGAATCATGTACGAAAAAATATATTAATTTATCCCATGTTGAAATTTCTCTCCGTTGCGTGTCGCTTCGAGTTGAATTTTCGTCGATGTTAAGCCTAACGAAGACTATTGTATCGTTAAAAATTATTTTTTTATTTTGTACAAACAAAATAAAT